AGAGGAAGTAAAAGTCGTAACAAGGTTTCCGTAGGTGAACCTGCGGAAGGATCATTATTGAAATGCTGCTTCGGTGGCCAATAAACACACACCTTGTGAACCTATCCAGTTGCTTTGGCAGTGCCATCGGCGTCAAAACCGACTTGGAGGGAGGCTTCGGCCGAACTTCGGGAGCGCCTGCCACATATCAAACCCAGTTTTATATTTGCAGTCTGAAACAAAATGCTCGAAAGAGCGACCAAAAGAAACAAAACTTTCAACAATGGATCTCTTGGCTCCCACATCGATGAAGAACGCAGCGAAATGCGATACGTAATGTGAATTGCAGAATTCAGTGAATCATCGAATCTTTGAACGCACATTGCGCTCCCTGGTATTCCGGGGAGCATGCCTGTTTGAGCATCATTAAGAACCTCAAGCGAAAGCTTGGTTTTGGTCTTGCGCGGTTCGCCGTGCTGGTAGACTTACTTCTGAAGACCTTTGTGGAAAACTGTACGTATGTCCCAGCTGCCTGGGGTTGGGCCACGTCGCGTAGGGGTCGTGAAGTCGGTACGCGTACGAGGTGGGCAGACAGTATCTGAACTGACGGTGATGGACAGCAGACCATACGACGAAGGGTATGACGAGCAGGGAATGCGAACAATCAACGGGGTTTTCGAATTCGTACGTTGTATATAGTCGTCGCCTCGAACTTTAAACTCGTACGTAATTGACAAGACCCGCCAGCGCCGCCGTATAGCCCCTGTTGCGCCACGCCAGCACCGCGGATTCCAAACACTCACACCAAAGCCGAGCAACTGGACTCCCATACAATTATCGTCATGGTCTTATCAACAACAATTGCACGTCTGTTAGACGGTACGCGCCTCTCCACTCCGTTCACGGCTCTTTCCACAATCGAAGCGGTTGGTTGGCTGACGATGAGCTGTTTGCAAGTACAGGTCTCCCGCTCGCTGCGTCCGTGGAGGATCAATCCGAAGAGGAAAAGTTGGCCGAATACAAGAAGCAGGCAAAACTTGTCATCAGACAGCTGAACGACCAAAGCGAAACGCGAGCGTCGATTGAGTCTGGTGCTTATCTGTTACAGTATGTGACCACCCTGCCATGTCCGCTGCGCTATGGATCGCTGACTTCTGGACCTGCATCATAGTTATCTAATTGATCAAGGCATCGTCTATTTGGTTATCGCCAACAAGTCTTACCCCCGCGCCCTCGCATTTTCCTTCCTCTCCGACCTCGCCTCCGAATTTACAACATCCTACCCCCCCTCACAAACCGCCGACCCCCGCCTCCGACCATACGCCTTTGTCGCCTTCGACACATTCATGCAAAAAACCAAACGCGTCTACGCAGACCCCAGAGCCTTCCAAGAACACGGCGGTGGCACAAAAGGCGGCTTGGATCAATTGGAGAGTGAGTTGAAGGATGTGCAGAGAGTTATGACGAAGAATATTGAGGACTTGCTCTATCGGGGGGATAGTCTCAATCGGATGAGTGATTTGAGTAGTTCGCTGAGGGATGAGAGTAAAAGGTATCGGAAGAAGGCGAGGGATATTAATTTGGAGGCGATGTTGAGGCAGTATGGACCAATTGGTGCGATAGTGTTGTTCGTGCTGTTCATCTTCTGGTGGAGGTTTTTCTGAGTGATACGACAGTATGGGGTACGACGGGGATTGATTGGGATGGGGTTCGAGTAATGGAGTTTGCAAAAGAAGGAGGGCTCGTGAGGAGCCCGGTGAGCTTGAGTCGTCCTGAGCAGCACACTGGGGACGGTGCCACGATATGGAGAAACACGATACTCCTGGTACTCCAGGAGACAAGAACAAGAATATCTAGTACGAGGAGAAAGATTCGTTCTCGTACCATACCCAAGCCAACTTGCAGGCATCCCTCCCTCACGTGATTGCGTATGACGACAGGCTGTACGCTACGTCGATAACCCTGATAACGAGCAAGTACGACGAACAACCAGATACGGCTTGAGAGAGTGAAATCAATTTCAACCCGCCAAAGCAACATAGACGAGTCAGAAGAATCAACGTATCATCGATCATGTCCCTCGACGGCGAGGATTACGACATCCTCCCCTCCCTCCCCTCAACTCCCTCCAACGGCATCAAGCTTCTCTTCAGCAAGAGCAAAGTCTACGTTCATCCAACCTCTCGCAGTAAGGACAACGTCCCCGGCTTCAGCGCTTTGCAATCACGACCGAGTACCAAGCCCACGCCTGCTCGTACCGGCCTGGGAGCAGTGGCCACCGACGCAGCGGTAAGGGACGAAATCTACCTAAGCTGGGTCCCAGAAAGCGTCCTACAAAAACAGAAAAGCGAGGAGTATGAAGCCTACCTCGCTGTCGAATCTCGAACCGACACCGATTCGCCGGCCACTCGCTCAATCCAGGCATCCACCATCACGAACGAACAATACGCCTTTTCCATCCCCGTCTCCTCAATTTACTCCATTCTCGTTCGTCCACCCAATCTAGGATGGTGGTTCGGGAGTTTGGTAGTTAGTACTCGTGATGGAATCACCTACCCCGCGTTGTTCTTCCATGACGATGAGTGTCAGAGTACCATCCTCCAACGCAAACGCCGTCAAAAGGAATCGTTTGATCCATTTGCTTCAGACAACGGTGTCGTATTTTGGGGTGGAGACGAGGTTTTGAGGTGGATTAGGAGGTATGCGAGGGTTGAGAGGAGTACCGTCGAACCACAGTTGTACCTAATCGACCCCGAATCGGCGGATGTCTTGAGTCTCAGTACGAGGCCGACCGTGACCACAAAGAAAGCTGTGGGCGGGGGCGGTGAGATGAAACCCCTTGTTGCGACGTTGAAGGAGGCTAGGTGGGGCTTGTTATCGACGTTTGCGAAGGTCACGAGTAAGGCGAGGCAACTCCTCGAATCGAACAAAACCTTGGCCGAGAGTTTGCCGACGCCTGTGCAGGAGCTTTTGGGACATAGTCCTGAGGCGAGGAGGGTTGTAGAGGAGTTTGAGCAGGCGAGGTTGTATCTTGCGAAATGGGCCCAGGGCATCCATGAACGTGAGGAGAGGGCACAGATGCAGCAGACAACGAGGGTTTGGGGTGTCGAGGAAGTTGATGCGGATGATTTGGGCGAGGTTGGTGGCGCTTTTGAGTTGGTTCGCCTCGGCGACGTGGAGGATGAGGAAAGAGATGGTGATCGTGACCAAGTTAAACCTGTCACGAAGGAAGTGTGGGAGGGTTTCTTCGATCATACCGGACGTTTGATGGTTACGGTCCGCGAAGTGAAGCGCGCTATATTCTATGGGGTATGTTGATAATTCTACCTTCGACACATTCAAATTGCTGACGATTGTGCAACATACAGGGTCTCGAAGATGACGTACGTTCAGATGCGTGGATGTTCCTGTTGGGCGTTTACCCGTGGGACTCCTCTTCCGATGAGCGTAAAGCCATCATGGCGAGTAAGCGGGATGAATACGAGAGGCTGAAGGGTAGGGCGTGGTGTCGTGCCAACGGCGTCGACGTCGATGGACACGTCCCCACCGAAGAGGAAAAGCTCGCGTTGGTGGAAGAACGACACAGAATTGGTATGGTTTCCTTGACCCGCTCTCCTCGAGTACCCGGCCAATACTGATCTCCAGAAAATGCAGAAAAAGACGTCCACCGCACTGATCGTACACGGGACTTATTCCAAGCTGAGGATCTCCCGAATCCGCACTATGGAGAGGAAGAGGGCAGTGGACATGAGAAGACGAATGTTCACATGGAAGCTTGTAAGGAGATTTTGGTGGCGTATCATGAGTATAACCCCACTTTGGGTTACGTGCAAGGTCGTGTGCTCAAATGAGCTGTGCAAAAGACACGGACTGACTGGAACATTACAGGTATGAGTGATTTGCTGAGTCCTGTCTACGTGATCCTCGGAGACGAGGCCGCTTCTTTTTGGGCGTTCGTTGGGTTTATGGAGAGGATGGTATGTTGAAACACGCATTGTCAAGATACCGAAGCTGAACAGCGTCTGGTGAATGTAGCAACCCAACTTCTTGCGCGACCAAAGTGGCATGAGGAGGCAGTTGGTCGTTTTGGACCAACTCGTGCAGTTGATGGAGCCGAAGTTGTATAAGCATCTGGGTAAGTTACTGAAAGTCATCATGTTGCAACGTGCTGACCCGTAACCTACAGAGAAAGCTGACTCGACCAACTTCTTCTTCTTCTTTAGGAGCTTGTTAGTCTGGTTCAAGCGAGAGTTTGAGTGGCACGACGTGCTTCGTTTGTGGGAGGTACGCTGATGTCTTTGCATTTTCGCATTTGACAAAGTGTTTACAACGATCGGCATACAGGTTCTTTGGACAGATTTTAGGAGCAAGGAGTACCACCTCTTCTTCGCATTTGCTGTGTTGGAGAGGAACAAGGATGCCATCATGGGTACGGTGGTCTTTAGCGACGTGGACGGGATTTAGGGAGCTGATAATTCGCTACAGACAACCTGCAACGCTTTGATGAGATACTGAAGTACAGTAAGTTTCAAACCCGTCTGGTTTTTTGAAGAAGGATGTGCTAATTAAACTTGCAGTGAACGACCTCTCCATGAACATCGACCTCGAGCTCACCCTTCGCCGTGCGGATGTCCTCTTCACGCGTTTCCAACGCACAGTCGAGGCTATCGATCTCAAGCGAGCTGAGCAAGAGAGGGACTCTAGCAGTGGTTTGAGAAGGAGGTTGCCAGCCGGCGAGGCGAATACGAGTGGCACCGGTGAGAGCGAAACGGCGCAGGAGGCTGTTAAGTTGCCTGTCATTACGGAAGGGTTGAGGGGGTTGTTGGCGAAGTAAGAAGATGGTAGGTGGGGATTTGTAGGCTATAATTGGATGGGTATGGGTTATCTGGGCTGCTGTGGGAGTTATCGAATTGTTTGATTTCACACGAATCCGGAGGATGGTGTTCACACTTTCCATCGCGTTGCCGTCTGCCAAGATTACCACGAAACAGAACTTACCACGTAAAATAAGCTTGCCCTTGAGTTTCATCTACTTGACGGTCAGTAACGCTAATCATCAGGTAGTAGTAGTAATAGTAGTACTTGTAAACCGAATATTGCTCTAAGGCGATCCAGTATGGCCAATGAAAGTACGACGCTATCGTACAGAAACGGCAAACAAAACTTGAGTACAAGTCATCCCAGTGGGGCGTATCGCTGACTGTAAAGAAATGTTTTAAGTGGCGAAAGTGATGTGTGCCCCTGCTCGGGGACGGTTGGAAGATAACAGGCTCAACCCGTTCCTCCCAGAGCTTCCTCGTCGGCGACTCTGTTGACTTTGATAAGGAATGATCTGAGGGGACCCAGAACTTCCTTGGACTTGGAAGATATGAGTTTATCGAAGAAGCTACGTCTGTCGTTTGTGAGTACGAATTCCTCCCAGTAAAGGCTCAAGTCCTCGATCTTCCCATGAGGACCCTCCGCTGCTCATCTAACAGAGGACATTCCATAATCGCATGGAATTCGTCTTCGATCTTGAGGTTATTGCCGTCATGGTTGCATTGTTGACAAATCCTGAGCTCTCAAGGGATAAGTGGATGTTGATTGCGGCCTCTTTGTATTCCAAGGTTGTGGGCTGAGAATCGAAGTCTGGCGTGCGCACGAGCTTGTCGAAAGTGAAGGTACGTGTATGGTTGAGGACGGAGAGAGTTGTTGGTTGGCCGGTTAACATGGTCTGGGTGGGTGCGCAGGAACTGTAGTCTGGAGGATTTCTCAATCCTGTCGTGGTAGTCTGAGTGCCTTTTCTGTGTCATGCGTTCATGTAGTCGGGGGGCGAGGTGAGAGAATGTTGTCATGGCGTCGATGTCGGGGAATGGTTGACATGCGACATGAAGTTGACCATACCAACACCATTTCTTCCCATTCTGCCAGAGTTGTTGTGGCTGTAGATAAGCTTTCCATACCAGGTGATTTGGTCCCACATCGTTCTGAAGGTAGTCGTGGTATTTTAGGGCATGGTGAATTCGTTGATGAGAGAGTGGGAGTTTGCCAAGATTGTGGTACAGAGGTCATAGATCTGGGTGAGATACCTAGAGCAATCCGAGGGTCATTTTTGTGAAAGGTATCATACTCCTTCTGCGCCCAGGACCAGTGGAAGGAGGCTTTGGCACCAAAGATAAGGTAGTGTTCAATGTTCGCATGGTGGAGGTTGATCTGCTTTTTGGATGGAAGACGACCTATCACATGCCTGCATGCCTGCAAGAGGTTGAAGGCTCTGCGAGCAACGGGGAGACCAAATTGACAGTGCGACTTTTGGTACCATAGTCCACCATGGGAGGTAGAGAAACCATGTAATCAAATTTGTCCACAACTTTGAATGCTAGACCACCTGGTGATGTCTGTTTGTGTACCTGTCGAGAACGAGAGCACTCGAGACTTGGTAGAACTGATCAGGAGTCACCAGCGAGAACAGAATTTCCAAAGAGAGTTGACAAGTTCCTGGGAAGCATTCTCGTCGTGGGCCAATAGTGAGACGTCGTCGGCCAGCATAAGGCAGGGGACTGGGGTATCCATGAGTATTGGAGCTCCAGTGGAGGGTATATAAGTCGGTTTCGAGATCAGTGAAGAAGAGTGCGAAGAGGGTTGGTGAGATGGGGTCACCTTGGATAACACCATGGTCGAAGTCGAAGCAGTCGGAATACCTAGATCTGGAGCGGATGGCACGAGAGGTGCTGCAATAGAGAGCTTCAATAGCCCATATAACCTTGCCAGAACCTCCCATCATCCTAACCTTGGCCATCAAGAGAGCTCGGTCCAATGTGTCGAACGCCTTCACAAGCTCAATGAAAGCCATACGAAGTGGTTTCCTGGGTGCTCGGGCTGGTTCTCGAAGTACGCGAATCAAAAAGATGTTGTCCATTGTCTGTCTGCCTTTCCCGAACCCCTTCTGAGATTCTGTGAGAATTCACTCTGCCCACTCCGCAGGCGCATATTGAGGAGGGCGGTGTATACCTTTTGCACAATCAAGTGAAGAGTGATCCCACGGTAGTTGGCAGGATCCGTCAAATCACCTTTCTTGGGAATAGGCACAATGACGCCAATATCCCAGGCTTTGGGAGAGTGTCCTTCGACGAGGAGAGAGTTGTAGAAGTTGAGGAGGTTGAAGGAGGAGATGGAGCGCAACTGATCAAGTTCAACCTTGTTCAAGTCACTTGAGGATGAGCCTTTCCTTGAGCTGAGAGCTTTTTCCATCACCTCAGGGGTGAAAGGAGTGTCCAAACAAGTAGGGTCAACTCTCTGAGTTGCAGTTTGGGAGTAAAGAGGAACTGTTGCCGGAAAAGATTGTCAAAAGAATCACTTGCAATCCCAGATAGCAGGTTTTGAAAGATTGTTGCAAGGGTTTCTTCATCGACCTGAATCTTTTTGGAAGGTCGTGTTTGATAAAGTCTGCCAACTGCACCACCTTCCGGCCAGATTGGCCAAACTGAGCAAGACCAAAGACTCCCTGCCCCACGGAGGCACATCCAACAGACCGGCCGAAGAAGGCGACGGGCCAGTCCAATCATCACAAAACTGGGCTAAGCGTTCCACCAAGACTTTGAAATTGAACGGACCCGGTGGTACATAGCCTGGCAAACGATATGGAAGTGAGGACAGTGAATCATGGCATGGACTTCATCCTCGACCACCTCAATGCCATACCCTAACCCGACCAATAGAACGTGCCACCTTGAAAGGCTGATATAGATATGGCTGATGGCGTAGGCGGCATGTGGGAGAGGGAGGGAGGGAGTAGTTGAAACAGGCGAAGACGGCTACTGGAACTGACTGCTTCATTGAAGTTGTGTAACACTGAATTGCGAAGGGCTTGGTGACCAAGGGACCCCAAGCTTGCTGCGAGCCGCGTCAAAAGCTTTGCGTACTATGTCTTAGCAGCACCAGCCTTGCCAGATTGAACCACCCCTGCAGACTCCATGAGTGCCTGAGAAACCAGGTGATCAGGACTCAGCACACGAGCATAATCAAAAAAACCTAGCTGTGAGGTGCAACAAGCGTCCAGAAGAGTTACTTTCACCAGAACCAAGAGACAAAACCTGATTGGGGGTGCAGCAGTGTAACCCAAGTGCCATACGCAGTACTCATTGATAACCCCAAAATTAACTAACACCTTCGCCGAAGTGACGAGTCATATCGATATCGAAACACACTTCAAAGGCCCATAGCATATGCGGTTCAACATATGTCCTATAGAACTCCAGGAACTGAGATGGCTCCACCTGCCCAACAGCATTTCTCAATACATGAGCGCGGTCGTTCTGGAACAGCGCGCACTCCAGAATGGGGCAGTCCATCCAGCCCATATTGGAGTGCCATTCCAGAACGGCATACACCAAATTTCCTTGGCCCATTCTGGAACAGGCCAAGCCTTAAATCACCACAAACTTATATTGTAGCTGCCCCCACCCTGTGCCCACCACCACAAAACACCACCAGAGTGCAAAATCTTCAGCCAAATCATGCAGGAAGTTATTTTACTCAGTTTCTGAACGTAAACGCATTGTGTTTGCGGGCCGTATTGAGCTTGAAAACTTTCACAGGAAAAAGCTTGAGCTGGGATAGACAGTTCTTGAGTTCGTGCGCCTGATCGATGAGGACCGTGAATTTGTCTGGATGTTCATACCTCGTCGCAAGTTGCATATTGTTTGATCTTTGCACAATCATATTGATAGTTACTGTCTTTTGGCGTTTTTGGGTCTGGTTTTGGGATATATTACAGGTTTAGGAGTGGATTCAATTTCACAGCAAGTCTTTAGAAAAGAAACAATGCCGAGTTCAACCTCGTGAAGGTTCTCCGCCTTATACTTCTCCCCACCTCCTTTGTACTCCTCAAAATTGGCATGTTCCAATATGGCACTCATATACGTACTTGCCGTTCCGGACCGGCGACCGTTTGGGAATGGGCACAACGCATGAAAGGCAGCCAATTCGCGAGCAGCTGCCTTGAGGCCCGTACGAGCCTGTTTGGATGAGGTGATGGAACGGACCCTGCCTTTGTTCCCTGCACAAGTGCTTCCCCGGATTCCGAACGCTGAGGCCTGCGGTGCGACACCAGCCAGCCAGCTGAAGTACAAAGGACGACAATCATGCAACCGCGATTTTCAGTCACTATTTCGCCAACGGCCTCGCCCAAGGCAACGAGGGTTCGTCAAATTCTACCAACCAATAACACTACCGGATCATCCAGCGTGACCACTGCCAACGACGATTTGATCGAACGGGAAACCAGCATGGGCAGAAAGGCAAAATCGAGCAGTCGCCAGAAGAAAGATGGAAAAGCAAATAAAGAAGAAGCTGATGTCGATGTTGATGGGATTGCGGATCAGATCGATGAGTCAAAGCCATCAGTAGAGCGTGACTCAACAATCCAATCACGGGAACAGCAGGAGGAAGGTAATGTCGCGCTGGCACGCAGCCTAGCCTCGGAGGAAGGCAATACTCGGTCTGCACCAACATTCAATGAGAAGGATTCTACCTTACAGTCACGAGAGGGGGAAGATGAGGCCTTTGCGCGACAATCGGTCGCTGAGCAGGACGCAGAGTACGCACAACAGTCTAAAAGGAGACGTGGGAGACCGAAGGCCTCAGAGACAAAAGCGACTCCAAGACCAACAGCAGCTAAGAGGACTCGACGGAAGAGCACGAAGGCGAAATCACTGGAAGAAGACACCGTGGAATTCGACGATGATGTGAAGGCATCTGCACCAGCACCAGCGTCGTCACCGCCTACTCGACGGTCTGGACGAGCGAGGACTACTACCAAACGCTCTTATAACGAAGATGATGAAGACGACGAAGACGAATTGGTCGTCGACGACTCTGAGTCCACACCTGTTAAACCCTCGAAATTTCCTGCTTCAGCACCTTCGACCGCCAAGAAAAGACGCGGCAAGGCCATTGTCAATATGGACACGACGCATCTTCTCACATCGGACAAGAGTCGATTGTTGGACGTCGACCTGCATGACATCATCAACCAAGAGATGTGGGATATCCTGACGCCAGATCAAAAGGCGGAATGTCTGGCCCTTGTGCCCGATCTCGACCGAGTCTACCCACAAGACACCGACACCGACCCCCCAGAAAAATACCTATCCAAAGCCGACCTCATACCCTCCTTCTTCCAACGCAATCAATTTCTCCGCGAAGCAATCGCAGACTTTGTCGCCTGCCTCGAATCCGACGCCTACGGCAACGAAGCCCTCAAAACCGCCCTCGCAACCAACGAACAACGCAAACAGGGCAAATTCGACGCCTGGAAAGACCAGGAATTCGAGAGGTATTGGGGACAGAAGCAGAGGTTGGACTCGTATGCGGTGGCAGGGGATGCAAGGGGTGTGAGTTTTGCGGATGTGGTGAAGGCGAGTGGGGCGTGTGTTGGTGATGTGTGGGTCTATCATAGGAGTTTCGGGAAGGGGAAGGGACGGGCTGCGATTCCGGTTCGAAAGGAAATCCACCTCATGGCTATCGATCCGCAGACATCGGCCCTGACATTCTCTGTCCCAGCTGGTGTACTTGAGTTACTCACCCCCGACGGACCTGCCCTGACTGTCGAGAACATCATCAGCGCTACCGGACTCGAAACAGTGATTTTGGATATCGATAGTCGTACTACGAAGCAGACCAGACCGAACGGTAATGCGTGGAAACGCTTCAGGGTGAGGAGGCGGAACCAGGATTTGGGCTCGTTATTTGAGATTCGGCAGAGGGTTTGGGGAGGTTTGCAGGAATGACGAGCAGTCTACGTGCGAGATGACTTGTGGAGTTAAGGTCCATATTTACTGGCCAAGGCGTTATACTGGTGATTGCTCAGTTGATACATACCCATTATTCCTATCCGTCGGTGAGCTGGGCAACCATGGCACACCCTGGAATGTGCATGATACCATTTGCGCTTCAGTAGTGGGTGTTGGCCAATAGTTGTGATCTCGTCAACGCGAGCTATCTAGGTGGATCCTTCACTTCCCGTGCTTCGCACCCAGACCTTCTTCGCCTTTGACTTCCTACCAATGGTGTACGGCGACAATGGACTTCCCGGCATTCCCGACACCACCGGAGACCCCGACGACCCAGTCGACGGAGAAGATCCCGGCCTCAAGCTCAATGTAGGCGTCCTCCTCCTCTGATCCGGTGTCCACGTAACCTTCGCCGTTTCTATACTACCAACACTCTCAGCTGACCCGAACCTCATGGGCATCGGTCTCCCTCCATCTGTCGACCTCGAACTTCCTGGACGTTGGTTGTCATCGCTCATCGGAGTTAAATGTACCGTCTCATTTTTGTGCTGTGAACACCATTCCTCGAGCCAAGTCTCCAGATCTGCCCATCCACCGCCTACGCGGACCATCATGCGGTGTTTGAGGAGGCTGCAGAAGATTGTTGTGCTTGTTGAGGAGGAGATGAGGGTGTATTTCGTGCCTTGTGATGAATGGGTGGAAGGTGAAGAACGGTTGGTTGGTGTAGATGTAAGTGGTGAACCTCTGAGGAACTTTGAGGGAGGGGTGGAAGGAGCGAGGTGGAGGCCGTGAGGGAGGGGAACGGAGGAGATCGCGGATGCGAGGCCAATGGGGTACTCCAGGGCAGTGGTTGACGGAGGTGGAAGGAATGTCTTTGCGGTTAGACGCGGAGGGGTCGCAGGAGGTGTTGACGGCCCTGTAAAATCTGATACTGGCGACGGCGACGGCGACTCATGTACCCTGTCGCTGGGAGATGTAGTCCTATACGGTCGACCGGTGAGACTTCCGCCCGGACCAAATGGACTGGACAGTAGAGGTGAGGCTCTCGTTAGCGACAGCTTCTTCAGCCAGCTCTGTGGTAGCTCAACCCTCTCTTGAACCGCCATGATCTGCATCCGATCAAGCAAATCCCGCGCCATCTCTCTGTCCTCAACCACATCCAACGCAATAACTTCTGACCAAAGTCTAAGCAGCTCAACACGCGTCGTCAATACGTCCAACATCTTCGTAATCCTCGCCAACATCGGCAACAAAGCCAGTAATTAACAAGTGACATTCAGAACATCCGTCGCATATGGACCAGAATGTTGGTGAAAAACTCGAACTGCAGTTTTAGCTGCCTCGATCTCCCATGAATCGATTTCCTGACTCACTCCATCAAGTTCCAACACAACCCCCGCAACAGTCTCCTCCGTCCAGACATCCCAGTTGCGGTCATCTTGGAGCACAGTTAGGAGATTCAGTATGGCAGCAGCTGAAGTCAAACAGGCTTCAAGATGTAGGCCGAGAGAAGACGACATAGCGACGATTCATGGTCGAACGTTAAAGAAAACATCGTGATAATCTGGTACATATTGCGCTGTTGGTGGTGCAGTTGTTAGAGTGCCACACGGATCGCTCGATGACGGGGCCCGAGTGCACCCGGGCATGCCAGGGTAAACAGGTGTCACCAGTTGAGTGAATGTGGTCAAGGTGTGTTGAGAGCAGCTGGAAAGGATTTCTTAACGGGCGTTCCAAAAGGCTGTAAAGATCAAGTAGGCAGCGGAACAAAGCAATACATCTGTGATTGAGGCATGACGCATTGACAGGAAGGCGTGGGAACCAACTTCATCAACAAATATATGATCAAGTGAAAGATGAGAGTCTTCAGTATATCCCAGTCAGCGTGTCCGAGTGGTTAAGGAGAGAGATTAGAAATCTCTTACGGTCTCCGTGCGCAGGTTCGAGTCCTGTCGCTGACGTCAACTTTTTTCATTCTGTCACTTCTTCGTTCTTGCCTGTCCGGAGTTTGTGTGTTTGCCGTCGTAATCCCCGAAGGTTAAGTTCGCTTGCAGCGTCAGGAACCCAAGTATGAAGAGTACCAGATTGCTTCCCGTGAATCGTCGTCCTGCTAGTACTGGTACGTCGCCTTACGTATTCGCATGCCTTGTTGCAATCTCAGACAACCTTAAGTTGGAAGATGATTGTACTTGAAAGAATAAGTATTAGAGGGTACCTAGGTATATAAGTCATAATCGACTTGAAAACTCCGTCCACCGAATGTACTAGCGATAATGTCCAAACCCTTCAAACCCCAATCATCCCTTCCATATCCCGTCAACGCTCACTCAACTCACCCCAACCACACCCTCACCTCGAAACCCACCCCTCCGGCACCCCCCTCCCAACCCTCCCCGCAACACACCCCCAATGCCCCCAATTAACCTGCTCCTGCCTCCCCGCCTTCGCCCCCTTCCCCCCCCTCTCCCAAACCCCCCTCGCAACCTCTCCCGCCATTCCACACCAAACCTCATCCCTCGCCTTTTTCGCAACAACATACGCCGACGTCGACATCGCCTCACCCTGTGCAGGATTGATATGCGCAAAGATATGGGAAAGTGCGGTGAGCGTCAGTGTACGGAGGTGTGTATTAGCGTGGGCGGACGAGAGTGTGAATGTCGAGTCGAGGAGGTGACGGTGTAGGAGGGTGTTTGTAGCGATTTCGCTGGGTGTGTGAAGACACGTCGCGCGAAGTAATTGCCACGCAGTCTTCAAACTCGTATTCTTCGACGCCATACACCGCGTCTCCACATCCACCAACATCCTCTCAGCAAGATCTCGGCCTTCCGATTGCATCCCTCTCATCATCGCAACAGAATTCAGCAAATTCAACAGCAACAACTCCTCATCCTGCGTCTGTTGCGGAATGGTAGCCGACAAAGCGAGAGCCTCATCGAACTTCCCCGTACTTTGCAAATACGCAACCTTCCCCATCGTCCTCATCGGTCCCAAAATCCCCACCCCAGGCCCAATCTGATCCAACGCATTCAACCTCACCAACGCCGCATCGAACTCCGACCTCAACAATAGCGCAAACACCATATACGTCAACAAATACTCCCTCATCACATCCACCCTCCCCCTCCTCTCCACAACCTCGCTGATGGAACCAGGGGTAGTGGCCGCGTTAGCGGAGAGAATGGCCACCATTTTGAGGCCCTCCTCCAAAAACATGATGGATTTCGAGGAAGCGTAGTTGGGCAGATGACAAACCCCACTCAACAAATACCCAAACGCAAACAACTCCAGCTTCTCACACCACTTAACCCTCACCCCCACCACTCTCCCCACCTGACTCTCATGAGCTCGCACCGGAATCACGAACGACCCGTCCGGTGTCCAATTCGGATCAGACGCGAGTGCGTCGAGTGCGTGGTGAAGCATCCCGAGTTCGCGTAATGCCTCTCCCGTCCGCGCACCCATCCCCAACCGTAAAATCCCCAACACGAGCCCCATGAGCCTAATCTCATTCCGCACAGGCACACCCCTTGTGACGAGTAACTCCTCATACCCCCTCAAACACTCCCCAGCCCTTTCTATACCCTCAACCCCTGTTCGGAGATACTGCGCTGCCTCCACCAACAACGCATAGACACCAACCTCCCCATCCCCTCTTTGGAGTGCAAAACCCCTCATCCCACGCGCAGAGACGTCGAGTTCAATTTCGAGCATCAAAAACGCATAACTCCACTCCGGCACAACCTCCCTCTCCTGACATTCTTTGAGACAACTCCTCAACACCTGTCGGCCCGCACCCACACTCCGCGGATGGGAAACGAGGATTTTGATCAGGAGATGCTGACATGCGAATTTGATATGTACATGCTGCTGATTTCCTCCCTGTCGTGCAAGAATAATCGCTTTCGACAAGATCCCCTCCACGGCCTTCCCATCCTTACACTCATCCCACAACACCTCCGCCAGCCTCAACCGCGTCCGTAACTCTACACTCGTTGCGAGTCGTTTGCCTGATTTCAGTATCGCGTCTAACGCCGTGATCGCACCTCGGACGAGCTGCGTATACCGCTCCCGCGCACGGTGGATATCAACCTGAACGGAAGAGGAGGAGGAGTGGGGTGGGGGCAAGAGGCATGGCGAGAGTGCGTGGGCGGCGGTGAGGTAGGATTCTGCGAGGTGCCATAGGAGGAGGTGAGGAGGTGCTCCCTGCGGGGGCTTCGGTGTCGGTGGCATTTCCGTATAACTGGTATTGAGGCCGGGATGTATGCGCTTTGTTGACGCGTAGAATGAAGGTGTAGGGTCGCGGCGTTGCCTCTTGGTGGAGGAGTTTGGGGAGAGACGCGACATGAACGGGGTCCGGGGGCCGTGCATGCAGGAGATCATTTCGTATATATCGATACCGTACCGTACAGATAAAATGATGCCCATAGCGAGATAAATTTCTAGAATAAACCCCAAAAACGCCAGTATGAAATCCAAAACAGAATGCAAATCACTCTCATCTCCTCTCCCTCTCCCTTCCACTCTCTCCCACTTCAAGCAAACCGCACCCCCTTCGTCTTCTTCTTCTCCCCCTCCCCTCCCTCCTTCTCCTTAGAGTCCTTCCCCCTCCTCAACTCCCTCCCAACCTCCTTTCTCTCCCTCTTCCCCCTCTTAATCTTCCCCTTTGCATCCTCCAACTTCTTCGTCTTCTCCGCCTCCTTCTTCGCCTGTTCCGCGCGTTTGGCTTGGCGGATGACTTCTAAATCCCGCGCACGTTGGAGTTTTGAGCGGATTGTCGTGTCGGATTTGTCGTTTACGTCGGCTAGGATACTCAATAAACTCGACTGTACACACACGCACACTATCAGCATTCATTCCCACATAGAGGGAGTGGGAGGGCTTACGGTGTCTTCGACAAACGTCTTCCCCTTCTTCTTCCCCTTCGGCTTCACGATCCCGGCCGGCGCAATCCCATTCAATTTCGGGATGCCGAGATCCTTGAGCTGCCTCTCGGTCAAAGCCTTCTTTGTCTTTTCGGTTGTTGCGGGGCCCTTGCCTTTGGAGCGGTTCTTCTTCTTGATGCGGGGTCCGGGGGCGAGACCTTTGGCCATGGTGAATTGTAGGAGAAGGGTGGTGTACGTAAGGGAGGGAGGAGGCCGAGGGTTATCGATGCAGGGGTGGGAAAATTCCTGTGGCGAGGGTGGCTGGTCACGTTATCGATAAGCTTATCGAGCGTGTCCCCACAAGATAAGCTCCCCAGTGTGACTTGCAGAATCAAGATAAGATATCACTCCTGACGCTGCCGTCCCTCAAACAACCTCGCAAACCACACAGGCGTACCAAGCACCCTCACCCCCCCACTCGCCTCCTGCTCCGGCCACACGTCCTGCAAGAAATAGTAAACATGTCCAACAGCAATCCCAATCAGATCACCCCGAGGTAACGAATTATTGAGTATGAAGCTGAACGCTAACAACACCCACGGCAACCACGGTGCCCGAAATACAAATAACCCCAGGAAACTCAGCCGTACGCCAGTGTTTCGGCGTGACCAGATATAGACCAGTACGAAACTCAGACTTCCGGCGAGGAATGGGATACCTACCATCCCACCCAGGAAAAGGAGAGATAGCGAGGAGAAGAGGAGGAGGAAGGCGAAATCTGGGGTCGAGTTCGGTAGTGATTCTTCGAGCATGCGGGAGTAGCGGGCCATGAAGAAGATATGGAAAAGGAAGTCTAGCGAAAGGGGACCGTAAAAAATAAATGTCGTGATCAATCGCCAATACTGTGAATCCCGCGTTAGCAAGGCATGTAAAAGTGACCGGAAGGAAAGGAACGTACTTGTTGTTTTCCCCATACCGTATGCCAGCTGAAGAAGAGTTTGTAGGGCGTTACGAGATCGCATTGCTGTAGGCAGATTATGAGCAACGGTAATAGCATCCCGTTCAAAAGCCAACCCACCACTGCCAGTGAACAGAGTATTGCCCCTGCGACGTAGTATTTCGTTACCGCTGGTATGTCATCGAATGGCATCTTGCCAAGCTTAGGACTAGGTGGTCGGGACCAATCGCAGGCGGAAGTCCGATACAGGTTGGGCGAAGACAAGCCGAAGGACTGAGAACGATCCGTCCCTCAAAAGACGCAGAACAAAGGGTCTACCGATTCCTTTCGAATATGGTAATTGCTGCCACGTCAGATCTTGTAACGTAGACACGCAGTAGCCGCACCGCTTCCCCATTCGGTGAGCTGCATGTACATGTGACACAGCGCATTTGGCAGCAAACACAAACGTTTAACGCGCGAAAGGGAGAACAACGAAATCACCCTGACTTTCACAATTAACCAACAAACACCAAACCTTACAAAAGCCTAATCCATCATCCGAGACTGTCATAGATCGATTTGCCTCACTGAGCTCTATCGAACGATACGCGACATACCCCTACTTAGCCACCTGTGCAAAAACGCGACCGTGATCATTTTCACCACCGCGAACGAACGAACGAAAAGAAGCAGAAAAACACGTTCATAAACGCGTCATAGAAGGCGCAAAACAAGGAAGAATATGGCACGAGAAAAGCAACGACCGATGACGACGGCAGGGACGAAAGGTCGGCGAAAATCCGGTGCGCAGCGTACGTGCCCCCACTCACGCGTCCCCGTCCCACACGTTCCATCCTGCTCAAAGCATCATGCTAACATCTTTTTGTTACCCACAGCCGGCGACCCAGTCCCAAAGGGAAAATCCCGCCGGTATCGCCCCGGCACCCTCGCCCTTCGCGAAATCCGCCGCTACCAAAAATCCACAGACCTCCTCCTCAGCAAACTCCCCTTCTCCCGCCTCGTCCGCGAAATAACAACCGAATACATCCCGGAAGGACTGAGATGGCAAAGTCTCGCGATCCAGTGTTTACAGGAAGCCGCGGAAGCTTATTTGGTGCATTTGTTTGAGGATACGAATTTGTGTGCGATTCATGCGAGGAGGGTTACGATTATGCAGAGGGATATTCAGTTGGCGAGGAGGTTGAGGAGGATGGGATAGTCCGTACTCGGAAAGAGTGCGATTATGATGAAGGAGGAACGGGATGTGGCCTAGAGCCTACCGAGAGAGACGAACGAAAGCGAATAACCCGAGGACAAAGGGTAGATCGAAATACAGTGCCTGGAGCACGCCGGAATGGATTTTATTGGACTTCTTTGATTGTTAGCACGCGCGGGTTTACTTTAGTTAATACGAACACACGTACCCGTGGCCCATAAAAGTCGGCCGCGAGGGCCGGCGAGGAACGCCGGTAAAGTTAGAAGTTGGAAATTCGCTGAAACGATTTGAAAAACGTCTTATTTAAAGCAAAATAAACACATATTTAAGAGGACAACTCCCTAATTACTGTATTCGCGGGTGTCCTTCCTGAGTGCCCCACTGGCTCCATCCAACACCCCCCTCCTCACCCTCGCAAGTAAACCTCAATGCCTTGTATGACCCCCCTTAACATCGTACAGGTCCTTCACCCTCTGGGGCATCGATTCAATGAGCTTCCGGAGGTATTCGAGAGGAATCTTTTCCCCATTCCTCCAGTGCCCACTCCCATAGTTCATCGAGGTCTTTTGCAACCGTAGCTCGCTTTTCCAGGCGTTTGGAGATCAGGCACCACAAGTCCTCAATGGGGTTCATATCAGGTGAGTATGCCGGCCAGGGTAGGACTCTGTATCCCTCCCTTTCGTAGGATTCTTTGCAGCAGGGCGCGTGAAACTTGGCGTCGTTGTCATGTTGGATTGTGAGATTGATGTCGGCTTCCCTGAACTCCTGAAGCTTGGGAAGTAGAAAGTCTTCAACAAAGTCAAGCATCACGAACTTGTCGACCGTTGGGACCTGCGAACGAGCGAGTTTTGTGGCCCCCCACCAGCACATTCCACCAAACACGAAGATACTCCTGAGCTTCTTTGCACGAGCATATTGCAGCGAGTGATGCGTATGCCAAAACGACAGATGATTGTTCTCAATGATTCCTTGTTGCCCATAACATGATAGACATGTAGAGAGGGAGGAGCGATTGGATTTGATTGTAACTGCAGCTGGGAGGTTCCTCGACAGACACCAGAATCTGAATCGGAGCTAGGGCTTTAACACGTACAACCACAGACTGCCCTCCTCGAGCTCGACCGGCCACTCACTCCCGCTCTCTCGAGCCTGGCCAAGCTTACTACATAGTACTTAAGTTCTGACGAGTTACAGCAAAAAAGCAAAAAAGATACAGCACCCGAGTATTCCCAGCTGGTCTCCCACGCTAGTACTGACTGGGCCCTATGATGCTTAACTTAGGAGATCGGACGGGATCCTGTGCTTTCATCATGGTATGGCCGTATCTGACTGTTTTACCTTCAATCCTCCTCATTTTTTATTCTCGCCGTCAGAATTCACACGGGGTCAAGCGGCTTTCCAACCTCCGGTGCGCGCTGCTGCAGAGCTCACCGCGTACGAGGTCATGCGCCGAGGCCTACACCGCTCAAGTCATCTTCAACCACAACAAACCGTACGAGGAGCTCAAGGGAATGAGCGATTCGATCCCTCTACGTACATTCCGAAAATCAATAAGAGACGAAGACAGCGACGATGACGATTTCCTGGATCGATTGGGCGAGGTAGAGGAGGGAAGGTTCCGGAGCGAGGATGATCTCGAGAGACCGTTGATCGGGAATGGTGTCAATCGCACTGAGAAGGTAATAATTCGGCGAAAGAGTTAGATGTGCTTTGATTAACCGTGTCTCACAGCAACCACCCCGTTCATCCCTCGAATCACGAACAGTCAACTTCACGGCCACCACCCGACCAGAACCGAGCAAGGCGTTCCCACCCAACACAATCTCAAATACACTTTACACCCCACTCACATTCCTCCCTCTAACTCTCTACCACCAATTCCGCTCCTTTTTCAACCTCTACTTCCTCCTCATTGCACTCTCCCAAGCGATCCCCGTATTGCGGATCGGGTATCTGAGCACGTATATTGCGCCGCTTGTTTTTGTGCTGGGGGTCACGCTTGCGAGGGAAGCTGTTGACGATCTGACGAGGAGGAGACGAGATCGGGAGGCGAACAGTGAGTTATATGAGACTGTGGGTGGAGAATGGGTTAGGGCGGGGCAGTTACGGGTTGGTGATGTCGTCCGCCTTGAAAAGGATAGGAGGGTGCCAGCTGATGTGGTTCTGATCTCCACCGGCAGCAACGGGAACGCAGACGAAGAAGGTGAGGTCTTTATTAGGACGGATCAACTCGACGGAGAAACAGACTGGAAACTCCGTGTCCCCGCTCTCCCCTCCACCGTTTCCCTCCTCAGCGGACGTATCGAAGCCGAGGGTCCATCGCGGTATATCCACAATTTCGCGGGAAGGCTGGTGTTGGCTGATGGTGGGATGATCCCACTGAGTGTCGAGAACGCGTTGTGGACGAATACCGTTTTGGCGAGCGGTACAGCAATCGGAGTAGTCGTCTACACCGGTCGTGAAACTCGGGCCGGAATGTCAAGCACCAAAACCAGCGGCGGCAAAACCGGCAAACTCGAATTCGAAATCAACAACCTCTCCAAAATCCTCTGCGCCCTAACCCTCTCCCTCTCCATCGGCCTCGTAGCCGCAGGCGGCTTCGACAACGGCTCCTGGTACATCGACATAACCCGCTTCCTCATCCTCTTCTCCACCATCATCCCCGTCTCCCTCCGCGTCAACCTCGACCTCTCCAAATCCGTGTACGCGCATCAAATCGAACACGACGCCACCATACCAGATACGATCGTCCGAACGAGTACGATTCCGGAAGAGTTGGGGAGGGTGGAGTATTTGTTGACGGATAAGACGGGGACGTTGACGAGGAATGAGATGGAGATGAGGAGGGTGCATGTTGGGAGTGTGGGGTTTGGGGAGGAGGATGTGGATGATGTGCGGTCTTTTGTCGCGAATCAGAGAAACACTACAGGGGGGAGGGGAAAGAGGGAGGTTGGGCAGAAGGTGAGGGACCTGGTTCTTGCGATGGCGTTGTGTCATAACGTCACGCCTACGAATGATGCGAATGGGTTTACCACGTATCAGGCAGCAAGTCCAGACGAGATCGCGATCGTGAAGTGGACGGAGGAGGTCGGGTTAACACTCAAGGCACGTGACCGGAGGAGTATCACGCTGTGGAATAGTCAGGCCAGGGAGAATGTTGTGTATGATGTTTTACATTTGTTTCCGTTCACGAGTGAGACGAAGAGGATGGGAATTGTCGTTCGTGAGCGCAAGCAGAAACCGGAGAAGGTGGACGGAGATATTGGTGAAACGGGGGAGGACGGAGGGGACGATGTCTGGTTCTTTGAAAAGGGTGCGGATGTCGCCATGCAGAAGATCGTGAAAGCAAATGACTGGGTCGAGGAGGAAGGTGGGAATATGGCCCGCGAAGGTCTCCGTACCCTCGTTGTGGGACGAAAGAGGTTGAACAACGATGAATATGAGTCGTTCAGGGAGAGATATGAGAAGGCGGGGATGTTGTTGCAAGGGAGGGATGTCGCTATGCAGAGTGTCGTGAGTGGGGTGTTGGAGCGGGATGTGGAGTTGTTGGGGATGACGGGTGTGGAGGATAAGTTGCAGGATGACGTTAAGCCCAGTCTTGAGGTGCTAAGGAATGCCGGGGTGAAGATTTGGATGTTGACGGGTGATAAAGTGGAGACGGCGAAGTGTGTCGCTATAAGCGCAAAGCTGGTCGCGAGGGGACAGTATATCCATACCGTCACTCGCCTCCAACACCGAGAGGACGCGATCCGCGAGTTGGAGTTCTTGGGGAGTAAGACTGATTCGTGTCTGTTGATTGATGGAGAGTCGATTCAGTTGTTTTTGGATACGATGAGGAGTGAGTTCGTCGGTGTCGCGACTGTGTTACCGGCGGTTATCGCGTGTCGCTGTACACCCACCCAGAAGGCCGATATCGCAATGATGATTAAGGAGTATACGAAGCGGAGGGTGTGTTGTATTGGAGATGGTGGAAATGACGTTTCGATGATTCAGGCTGCAGATGTTGGGGTTGGTATCGTTGGGAAAGAGGGTAAGCAGGCTTCTCTCGCTGCGGATTTCTCCGTGCTGCAGTTTAGCTTTTTGACGAAGCTCCTGCTGTGGCATGGACGGAACTCGTATAAACGGAGTGCAAAACTGGCGCAGTTTGTTATTCATCGTGGGTTGGTGATTGCGGTGTGTCAGACTGTCTTCAGCGTGAGTTCGAAGTATGCGCCGATTGCTTTGCATCAGGTATTGTTTTCATTTATTTGCGTCAGAGATGTTGTGCTAATATGCGATCATACAGGGATGGTTGTTGGTTGGGTACGCGACGATTTATACCATGTTCCCTGTTTTCTCGTTTGTCTTGGATCGTGATGTGAGTGAGGGGTTGGCACAGATGTATCCGGAGTTGTATAAGGAGTTGAAGGAGGGACGTACGCTGAGTTACCGAAGTTTCTTTGTATGGGTTGCCGTTTCGGTGTATCAAGGTACGCTTCGTCGGACTATGTGTGGGAACCTGCTAAGTCTTTCAACGTACAGGTTGTGTCATTCAGATTCTCGCGCAGTTTCTCGTCGGCTTAATTGGATCTAACGACGCTCCGAATGCGAAGATGGTTGCTGTGAGCTTCACTGCATTGGTTTTAAACGAGCTTGCTATGGCTGCTTTTGAGATCACTACGTGGTAAGTTGCAGCTGCCCTTTGCCACATCTTCGCCGTGCTGACTGAGTTGCACTTACAGGCATCGCTACATGATCATTGCGCAAATCTGTACGGCTACAGTTTACTTTGTCTCCATCCCATTCCTCGGCGATTACTTTGATTTGGCGTATGTCGTGTCGATACCGTTCGTGTGGAAGACGGCGTTGGTCTTGGGGATCAGTTTGATTCCGCCGATTGCTGCGAGATGGATTAGGAGGAGGTTAAAACCACCGAGTTATGTGCGGTTGCAGAGGTAGTTTACTGTCATCTAGTTATGGAATATACTGGATTCAGAGATGTTCAGGGTCTACTGAAGACAACATGTGCAGGGGAATGATTAAGGACAATGCGTGAAAAGGAAACGCCAAGGTGTATAATAGTCTATAACCAAAACCCATAACCCAAAACATGCAAGCAAGTAATCGATTTCCGCCTAACCCATGACTATCTGGATCTTTGGCGCCTTCTCTCCAATCCAAGTGTTCCCTACCCCGAATGACCCTCTGACCAGTAATTTTCCATCCCGACAAACATTCGTCCTTCCTAGCCAAGATCCTCAACTTCTCCAGCTCTCACTCCATCTCGTCGATCACGTCCCAAATCTTTTTGCCCGTTTCGTAGATGGGACTAACAACATCCGCCACCATATATCCAGCAGCCGTTGCCACGTCGACAGCTCCAGCCATGAGCCCACCAAGTGTCCATCCTTCACCCAGGAAGTAACTAGGCTCAGCGGTGGGAAGATAAGTCGTGGCAGGGAACGGAGCTTTGTCGATCCTGCGGCGAGGAGTGAGGGACTTCCTTGAACATGTCAACCAGTCCCTCGGCATGCGCTGCTCCATCGGGATATCCTTCAACACATATCCATATTCAAGCGCGATCTTCGCTGCACAATGTTGAGAACACCACCATTTCTCAGGCTCACCCGGGATCAGGGCATTCATACAAGTCTGCTTCTTCGAACCCTCGAGCTCTTTGGGAGTATACTGAGGGCAAGGCGCCCAGCAGGCTGACTTGTACTCCTTCTTCCAGTAGTCAGCACGCTTCGGATCGTTGATATCTCTGAGCATGCGATGGGGGTCCGCCCAGCGCTGTGAGATAGCCAGTTTCAGTTGGTCGGGCGTGAGATGGCTGTAGTCAACGCCCGGGATGGGGAGCGCCCTGACAGAGGTCGGCTTTTTGTCGATGGAAATGATGTAACGCTTTTCATGGCCAGGTGGTTTGTTCAACGGTGGCTCGCGGTAGCCATGCGGGATGTCGAGGGGCACCGGCCATGGAGCCAACTTGGGTTTCCCGTTGCACATGCGAGCAGCTTCTTTCTCGCGAGCAACCCTTTCAACAGCGGCTTTTCTGTAAGCCGCCTTTTCGAGCGCAGCCTTCTCCGCTTTGCGTTCCTTCTTCTCTCTCCTAATCTTGCTGATCTTCTTGGACGCCAAGGTAAATGGCGCAAACATCAGGGCCAAAGGGCCCAAGCAGCCGTAAATCAGGCAACAGGGAAGATTGCAAGCCATTTTGGTGATAAGAGTGTCGATAGTGTTTGGTAAAGGTAACTCAAGGCTTCGTTACTGTTGCGAAGCTTTTGGAAGTGTTGTGAAGCTCTTTGACAGTTGTGGCAGCGAGTTGGAGAGGTGGATCGAAGGGTGGATGGGCCGCTCTTTTTATGCTACCTCGAAAATTCACGTTTGGGTCGCAAACGCGCTAACTAGGTGGCGGATTCTTTCTGGTTCTCTGCTTAACCCATCACATCTGGCATCCATGACCTCACACGTTCAGCTGTGTGGATCATGGTGGTGAGTTTTCCGCATCCGGAAATTCAAGGTCGACGCTATAGCCGCTATGCGGGCAGTCCAAATCAACGCGGCTAGACTAGTAGACCGGAGGACGAACGAACTTCGAGAACGACTCTGAAACGATAGGTGGGTCAACGCTTGCCTTTTATAGTCTGATTAAGTCATCTTTATCTCCATTTGTAGCTCCCGTAACCTGGACACCGTGTACGTCATCTGTTTCCCACGCTGTTCCTGCACCGGATCCGGTCAATACGTAGGGACTTCCACAGTAGGATATACTCCCTCCCTCCCTCCCTCGCAGCAGTACCATGTTTCCCACCTAAACCAACACCACAACCCTCCTGCGATACGCCTCAACCGCATCCCTGACCTCCTGTCCATCCTCCACCCCAAACTCCTCACGTACCTCCTCCGCGACCGCTGAGAGGTGACTGCCGTTTTCGGCGTCATTCAGAACAGTGGCGAGGAAGAGGATGTCGAAGTGAAGTTGAGCGGCGAGTTTCGCAGATACATCTGTGGTGGTGGTGCCGTTTGGCGCGTCGTTGGACTTTGTCTCCGTGTCTGCAGCCGAACTACCCTGCTCACCCCGTCCCCCACCCGCCCCAACCCCAACCCCCCTCTCCTCCAACGCACTCACCAACCCCCTCCACATCCTAACCCACCGCTCCCCCGCCCTCGCTCTAACCACCCCCAAAACCTCCCCCGTAAGCATATGTACTCCATACCCATACACTTCCTCCGCTAACGTCAGTGCTGTACGGTAGGTTCCTAGTGTAGGTTGTGTTGGGTGCGCGGTGTCTGTGAGAACCGTTCTGTCAGCAGGCTGGACAGCGCTAGCCATAAACGAGGAGATACTCACCGTTGAACAATCTCAGTTCAGGTAGTTCCTCGGTCCAGTTTTGGGGCAGGGTATGCGCGGCTAGGACTTCCGTCGCGCGTATGGTGACGGCATCAGCGAACAGCGCCTCCAAGCGCCTCAACACCTCCTCTCCCTTCGTCTTATCGAGTGGAGATGTTTCGCGGACGTGCCGCACGATCCTGACCAACCCCGCCGCTCGCGCCGCCTGCATTCCACCGTCCTCATCCACGACATGTTCTAAAGCGGAGAATACGGCTGCGTAACCTTCTTCCACGACCCCCCTCTGATATTCTCGAAGTTCATCCCTCTCCGCATCCAACCCAAACACCTCCACAACCTCCCCCTCTTCCTCCCCATCCCCTAAAAGCTTAACCCAAGTCTCCAGGGTAGAAGAATCGGAATGGATTCGGGTTGTGGCCACAGTCCACGAAGCGAAGAATGCGGCGTTTGAGGATGTCTGGGCTCGTGTCCGGTCTCTGATTTGGGAGAGGAAGTTCTTGGCGCCTTTGGTGGAAGGGAGGGATGTTAGTTCGTCTGACCATAGTTCGACTTTACCCGAAGCAGGGCGGATGGTGTGGATACACCCCGCGAGGGAGTTCGCGTCCTGTTCCAGTAATTCCTTCACCCGCTCGCGTACGGCGCCAGCGATGCTTTTCCGCCATACGTCGATATTCTCCCCATTCCCCCTTCCCCTTCGCTTACGCCCGCTGCCGTTGCTGGTGGTCGTCTGCGTGATGACCTTCAATACCTCATTCCTCAACCCCCGCACCCCCTCCACACCCCCAACCCCACCCAAAACAACCCGTGCCCCCCTCCCAATAACATCAAGAATCTCGCTAATGAACGCCTTCCGGTATTCCGAGATCGTGGTTGACAATAGCGGTTCGGATGGTGTCCATGGCGTGAAGTGGCGGATATCTTCGGATAGCCAGTGGGTGAGTTTGTCGAGCCCGAGTTGGCTTAATGCGAGGAGGGCGGGGCCGGTGAGGGTTGGGGTGGGGGAGAGGAGGGTCGGGAAGATGGTGGTGATGGCGTGGAGGGATGTGGTATACACCCCCACAGCTTTCAATAACTCCTCTGTGCTCGGAGCGGAGGAGAGGAGTTCGCGGGCACTGTCAAGCCGCACAGACAAAAAATGCTGTAACACATCTCCCTGTCCCGCCGCATGCAACACCGCAAACGCAGCTAGGGCGTTGACTAAGACCCCTGTTTCTACCCCCTCCGCGGCGAGTACGTTGTCGATTTTGCGGGCGATGAGGGGACGGAGGGTGGAGATTCGGGTGTCGAGGGTGGAGATGTAGGGTAAGGGTGAGGGGGTTGTGGGGAGGGATTTGAGGATGGAGCGGGAGAGGAGGAATAGTTTTGTTGCTGCGAGGAGGTTGGTGGAGAGTAGTGACCGGATTGCGGAAGGGATGGATTTGAGGAGGGAGAGGCGGGCGGCTAGGGAGTGCTTTTCTGCGACTGTGTGTTTTGGGTCAGTATGCCAAGCTATGAGCTTGAGCGAAACGTCACAGCGACGCACCTTTTGCGTTTTTCTCGATTTCCCAGGCGGATTGGGCGCGTGCGAGGCGCTGGAGGGTGTCATAATCCGATACCGACAATGCATCGGAGACCTTTGCGTTCAATTGCGTACACGACTCGCGGAGGGTGGAGAGGGTGTCGGTTGTCGAGAGTAGATCACGGTATGAATCACTGTACGCTTATCATCAGCCTACAAATCCCATTTCTGGCATTCCAGAACCAAACTAAACGTACTTGACCAGATCCAACAACTCCTTCTTCTTACTCTGCACCCGTTCCCTAACCAAACTTGTGTCAGCTTGGCTGCTACCTATGTACGCAGGAGTGAATGGGGAGGTTCGTACCGTAACGCACGCTCGATCTGTACGACGTCCTGGACTGGATATCTCCTGAAAACATCCTCCCATCCTCCCAAATTCTCCAAATCGATATCCATCCCCTAAGTAAGCTTCTCCTTGGTGTGGTGTTTGCGCCGTGTTGGAGCGGGTCGGGAACCCTGCCCGCAGATTCACGTGAGACCACACCCAACCTCCAACCCTCCAAACCCACCCAGATTTCCATACAGGACGGATGTTGACGAAGGAAGTCATACTCGCAACAGACGCACGCGTCGAAGAACTCTTTGCCGAACTCCCGGATCCGAGGGGGTTGTATGCGAGGTTTGAGGCGGTGTGGGAGATGACGGAGCGCAAGCTGAAGAGGACTCGCGAGGAAAGGAAACGCGTGGTAGGCGTGACTCGGGGACGTGGGAGGGGACGGCCGAGAGGGAGGGGGAGGGGTGCGGCGGGGACGGGGACGGGGAGTCGAACTGTCAGTCCTCAGATCTATAGCGTTGGAGCGGACGCGATGGATGTGGACCCACCGGCTGCGAAACGCGTGCGGAAACCGAGTGCAGTGAGGAGGGAAACAATGGAGGTCGAACAACTCTATGCGGAGGGTGTCGTTGTCCCTCCCTCACGAGCACAAACACCCGAACCAGAACCCTTTACCACAACCACCACAACCGCCAAACACCCCCGGAAATCCCAACCACCGACCACAACCACCACCGCCGCCGCTGTACCAGCTGTCTCAATCATCGAGAAAAGCCCAATGAACCCACTAAAACTCGCACGTCTATCCAAAACCAAAACCCACCCCGTGGCCCGTTCCTCCCTCGAACCACGAAAACCGCAATCACACTCACACTCAACCACCACCACAACCGAGATTGCGATCTTGAGACGCGCCCGAACTCCCCTCCTCTTCCCCGGCCGCACATTCACCCTACACCTCACTCCCACTCCCACTTCCTCGCCCTCATTACATCCTCCTCGGCATCATATGACTACGACGAAGAAGAATTCAAGGGGGAGGATTGATTTGGATGCTTTATGGGCTGCGCATTGGAGGAATAAGGGGAGGGTTGGGGAGAATAGGGTAGGAGGAGGCAAGGGGGTTGAGTTGGGGGTATGGATGAGGGGGAGGGTGGGGAGGAGGGGGATATGAATGGGGAAAGCAGGATCGAGTAAGGTGCGCGAGAAGGGGGTCCCAAAAGTCGTGCCCTCGCTAATCTTTTGCGAACAGAACTCGCATACGATCTCTGGCGACTATCACACCGACGCACCGTATACGAGCGGATACGATATCCACGCTGGACTATGCGGTCATGTTTAGATATCGCCGACAAGTGAAGTCAAGGTAAGCCCCCCCCTCCTGTCCCTTCCCTACCCCTCCCGGCACACACACACACACACATCGCACACATACCACACCGAACACCCGCAATGATGACAACCCTGGTAAAAGGTCCGACGAAACCCCTCCTCCTACAATGATCCACCCTCACCTTACCCGAATCCCGCGTGCCAGTCTCTGTACTATGTTACACCTTCACAAGAGCTCTGCACTCAACTCCCTCTGTCGCTCGTGCTCGCTGTGGTCGATGGCAGACGAGCCCCATCTTTCTCCTGGCTTCGGCTGCGGGTGAGGGGTGTCAATGGCTCATCGTCCGTCCCGCCGAACTCTGGACACGGATTCATACTCGAGGACGAGTTTGAAGAGCGAGCAAAGATGAAAAAGCATACGCGACCTCTTCTCATAACGGAGTCCACACCCCCGAGTCAATGGGTGTTTCTTGGATCTAAAGGCCGAAGAGGACATCTATCTCCCGTCTTTTTATATGGGGGGTAAGGGTGTAAGTGTGGATTCGTGGATTCGTGGATTCGTGATGTTGAGGTGTGGATTGGGGTGGTCAAGGGCGTTTGTGTGACGTACGAAAAAAAAAGATAAACTGAAAAGATCTGAGCGGGTGGTGTTCTGTGTCTGTGTGCGAATGTGTATGCTACCGTGGGGGACGGGGGCAGTGATTGGCGATACATGTGACATGCGAGCATGTTTGCTAATTGTCGTGGAGTTTAGGTATACGACACATTTGGGGCCATCTGTCAGACGAGAGACGAAGAATGAAGAATTGTATAATGCTCGAGGGATATGTGCGCACGTCATCTGCGTCCACGGAGGAACACGGTTTAGGCGTGGAAACGCGTGGAAACAGATACGCGGTAAACGGAGTGCGTGTCCGTATGGCGATGTTATGATCAGAGAGGGAATATCAGATCGACCGAGATCTCTGACGGTGCGAAAAAACAAGGCGCGTCATGGGAATACTTTCTAGAGACAATTGGCAGATACGTTGCAAACAGCACGCACAATTACCAATTCCAACCAGGCCTCCTTCGCTAGTTCCCGGCTTCGTTTCCCTAATCCGGGGTTCGCCCACGAAACCCCAAAAAGGGACTAGGGCGGGGGGTTGCATGCCCTACGCTCCGCGGGCAATTGGCTCTGCAAGTGGATGGCCGTGGGCGTCGGGTAGAGCTCGCAGTCGTCCTGGTTGAGAACCAGAGTAGAAAACATCACCGGTTTTATCACTTCCAATCAACGACGGTCTTAATTGAGTCCAATTGCAAGTCAAGTGATCAGTCGCTGCTCGTCACTCGCGCAACGCCTCGCGCTATCCCGGATCCCGTGCTCAGCTAGCCCATCTCAACCACACACCTGCCTGCCTGCCTGCCTGCCTGCCTGCCTGCCTGCTTGCTTTTAACAACGACTGCCTCCAACAAAGCTTAAGCTTCGACGTAATCACGGAGCAGCGGCTGTCATTGCGATTGACTTCCCGCTCGCATTCATCTCCACTCACCAGTTCAGCTACGCGTAGCCGAAACGTCTACGTGGAGTCTGTCCAAAGCCGAAGCTTAAGCGACAAGACACGTTAGCGACGGACATAGCGACAATCGTCAGTTCGCGTACACATCAACGTATATCTCGGTGATCCGCTCTCTTGTGCGCCGGTTGTACGTCTCTCACCCACCACCACCACCACCACCACCACCACCACCACCACCACCACCACCACCACCACCACCACCACCACCACCACCACCACCACCACCACTACACACACACCAATTTGAACAATGGCCGCTCACGCCCCCTTTCAAGGCATGCGCCTAACCGAAATGGACCCCGGCAAAATCATCAAAGAAACTGTCCAAGACGGAAAATCCGGACTCTCCCGAACCCTCTCCTACACCGCTTGCAAAATCGTCGGAAACGGCAGTTTTGGGGTCGTGTTCTCTACGCGATTGTTGGCGGGGGAGGGAGGACAGGTGGAGGAGGAAGCGGCGATTAAGAGGGTTTTGCAGGATAAGAGGTTCAAGAATCGGGAGTTGCAGATTATGAGGTTGGTTAGGCATCGGAATATCGTGGATTTGAAGGCGTTTTTTTATTCGAATGGGGAGAGGGTATGTCACTTTCGAGCAATGAATGCGGAGCATTTATTCCGGGATCTTCTTGCGCAATTGGGCAAAAGGGCGATTGGATGAATGCGACGCATTTTCTTACCCGTGACGAATGAATGCTAACAAGTGTTGAATCGCAGAAAGACGAAGTCTACCTCAACCTCATCCTCGAATACGTCCCCGAAACCGTCTACCGCGCCTCCCGCTACTTCGCAAAACTCAAAACCGTCATGCCCATGATCGAAGTAAAACTCTACATCTACCAACTCTTCCGTTCCCTCGCCTACATCCACTCCCTCGGAATCTGCCACCGCGATATCAAGCCCCAGAATTTGTTGCTCAATCCGGCGACGGGCGTGTTGAAGTTGTGTGATTTTGGGTCGGCGAAGATTTTGCAGCCGGGGGAGCCGAATGTTAGTTATATTTGTTCGAGGTATTATCGGGCGCCGGAGTTGATTTTTGGGGCGACGAATTATACTACGAAGATTGGTATGTCTATTGCCCTCAGAGGGTTGATTGGAATGCTAATGATTTGTGGACAGATGTCTGGTCAACTGGTTGTGTCATGGCCGAACTCATGCTCGGACAACCCCTCTTCCCCGGCGAATCCGGCATCGACCAACTCGTCGAAATCATCAAAGTCCTCGGCACCCCAACCCGCGAACAAATCAAAACCATGAACCCAAACTACATGGAACACAAATTCCCCCAAATCAAACCCCACCCATTCTCCAAGATCTTCCGAAAGGGCACCCCCGCGGACGCGATCGACCTCATCACCAAACTCCTCGAATACACACCCTCTGCCAGACTTTCCGCCGTCGAGGCGATGTGTCACCCGTTTTTCGATGAGTTGAGGGATCCGCATACGAGGTTGCCGGAGAGTAGGAATCCGGGTGGTGGGATGAAGGATTTACCCGTGCTTTTTGATTTTGATGAGAGGGAGTTGAGTGTTGCGCCTGAGAGGAATGAGGTACTCGTTCCGGGGCATGCGAGGGAGGGGTTGCTTGCGAGGGGGATTGATTTGGCGAATTTTAGGCCGATGACGGTGGAGGAGATGAGGGTTACGTTGGATTAGTGGAGGTCGTGAAGGAAAGATGAGATGGAAGGGAGAGAGTGTGGATATTAACATCGGAGTGCGATGAATATTTCTTCTGCTTATTTTGTATTTTTTTGCCATGTCATGTCGGTGGTCATGCTCGAGAAGGGGTCTTGTGAGGAGAATGCTCACTCATTAATGGAACGTACGGCTGGGCCCGGACTCCGAGCAGGCAGCTCAAGGAAAGAGAGGGGATGAGATGGAGATGTGGGGGCTTGTATTATCTATCGTCGTCGTCGTCGTCGTCGTTTTTGTTTTAGTGGTTTCCTTTTTGTATGTTATGTTGGTTTAAGTTTATTGAGGTTCATCGTTGGGCGCCCCCTGGGACCTCGGTGCTTTGACGTACGACGCGGACATCCGGGGACCCTGCCCACCAACAAAACAGAATGGCTTCACGGCGAAGAGAAGTCGTCACCATGATCAGATCTATAGCTGGCTCATCATCCCGTTCGTCTTCTGCTTTTCCCGTTGTGCGTGTGTTAGAGTGCTTACACCCAAAGATCAGGAGCCACGGTACATCTTCCATTCCTCTACCCAACAACATACATCACCGTCCGGCGGGAAGCAACAGCAACGGCAGCCCAAGCCCAAGACCGGGCTCCAGTACTAGAAGAAGCCACAGCTACTCAAGTCCAAGACCAGGCTCCAGTATCAGAAGAAACACCAAATATCACACTCCAACCAAACGCAACAATCATGAACTTCGGCGTATCAACAAATGAACCAAACGGAGGATCAGCTGGCCATGCCAATGGACAATCAGCGAGTTCGACACTCCGTGGGGTTGGGACGACGCATCATTTCGATACGCATAAGATCGTGAAGAACTTAGAGGCAAGTGGGTACACACACGGACAAGCTACGGTGATGATGAAGGCACTGAGGGCTTTGTTGGTGATTAAGGTTGAGACTGCCAAGGCTGAGTATTTGTCTCGTGTGGATCTCGCGAATGTATATCTTCCAACCCTCCTCTTCCTCCCCGTAAGACTGTGTGCTGATGCGTGTGGCATAGCAAACATATTTATTTAAAGCCGCTATGGCCGAACTACGGCAGGAGACTATCGCCTTCCGCCGCTCCAGATCCGAAGCCCTCCACGCCGAACTGGTCGCCCTCCAACAGGCAACCGACTCCCTCGAGCAACACATCTCCGAACGCATTGTCTACCTCAACAACGAAACCGCCATCGACGTCAACTCCTATAAAGCCGGAAACCGGGCCGTCACAAACGCGAGGGATATAAGTATCCAGGAATTGGGGCATAAGTTGACGGTCGCATTGAGTAGGTTGGGGACAACTGTGGAGAGAAATCGGTGGATTGTTACGAAGTATTATTTTACTGGGGTGATCTGTTTTGCGTTCATGATGATTTCTATTGTGAATGTGACTATGGAGGAGGACGAGCCGCCTGATATGGGGAAACAGATGTCGATACTGGCGAAATGGAGGGCGAAATGGAGGGCGAAAAGGAAGGATTGGGGGAGGGATCCGGGGAGGGATCGGGAGGAGAAGCATGGGGGTGGACATGAGGTTGAGGATGATGGACGGAGGTGGAGGTTGAGGGATACGGCAAAAGGGGCTACGGAGGTTGCGTGGGTGTCGTTGGGATGATGCATTCGGCGTTACGGGCGTTACTATACACACTCGATACCCTAATTCACCTCGCACCACACAAAAAGTATGGAGAGGGTTGAAGGGAAAACAGTCAGATACGGCCATACCATGATGAAAGCACAGGATCCCGTCCGATCTCCTAAGTTAAGCATCATAGGGCCCAGTCAGTACTAGCGTGGGAGACCAGCTGGGAATACTCGGGTGCTGTATCTTTTCTCTTTTGCACTCCTCAGCTTTTTAGTTCTTGTTCTTGTTGGAACACGGACACTGGGGGACGGGCGACATTCATGTCTCGCAATAATGATATTTTAAGCTCGCCCACGGCGTTGGAGTTCTAAGTATATCTCGCGTGTTCGTCCTCCTCTCTCCTCGCTCTTTCAAACCTTTCACTCCTGCCTCACATATCGTTCGACTCACAACTCCCTCTTCATGTTGGGAGTAGTGACAGGGGTCATCTTATACGTCTTGACTCCACGCGACGGGACCTCGACAGTCCCAACCTGGCTGCTCGCCATCCCTGTCTCGTTCGTCCACAACCCCTTCCAGCTGCATGTCTGCTTCCTGAACGTAGCGCCATAGTCCACGAAGACATCACTGAAGCTGGCCGTGATGTTCTGCGCCTCCTTCGGTATATTCAACCAATCACGGCGTAAGATCCGTTACTAAGAGCTCCCTCCCAGACCTGAATGCCAGTATCCACATCATTGAACATCCTCTGCGCTGCCGCTCCAGCAGGATCCTGGATAAGCGCAACGATCTCCTGAAAATGATGATGGAACGTGTCTCATCCGTCATATTCGAGATATCATTCCCCAACAACAACAACGAACTCTTAACCGCAGCCCACATCGAGAAATGCGTCTTATACTCCTCGTACCCCATCCCTCTATTCCCACCCTCGAGCATATCCAGATCCGCCCATCCTCCGAACTGCGCCGAGTTCTTCTGTAAGACCGGCGCGGCTTTGTTGAGGATGGAACGGTGGTAGCCGGGGAGTGCGCAGTCGTATGTCTGGCATGGACACCTGTTGTTCCGGACGGGCAAAGTTATCGTAGATACCACCGTGATAGGCCATGAGTTCGCAATGGTACTTCCCCAATTCCAAACGCCGTCTTCGCCCCAATTGCACAGCGAATACAGAATCGGCCGACCCGTTGCGTTGAGCGCATCAGTCATCCGCTCATATCCCTCATACGAGATATTCGCCGTTCCAGACCGTCCCTCGTCGAAACAGTTGCCGTATTTGAGGTAATCGACACCCCCTGCCGCAAACGTCTCCGCATGAATCGTCTCATGGTCCAACGATCCGGCATACCCACCGCAAGTATACTTCCCCGCATCCGAATACATCCCAAACTTCAATCCCATACCATGGACCTCATCGACCAACGGTCCGATCCCCCTTGGGAATTTTGTCGTGTTGGCTTGAAGATGTCCGGTTGAGTTGCGGCTTGCGGACCAGCAATCATCCATGACGAGGTATTCATACCCGAGGTCGAGGAGGCATTCGGAGACGAGTTGTTGGGCGGAGGTGAGGACGCCGTATTCGTTGATGTTGCAGGCGTAGTGATTCCAAGTGTTCCAGCCCATCTGAGGGATTTTGGCGAGGCCGTTGTCGTGGGAGAGGGCGGTGGGGATTAAAATTGGAAGCATTGGGATGGAAGACCAGAAAAGGTAAAGCCATGACTACCATCACCGAAGATGTTGCAAACGTCTCTTGAGGTTCTGCGGAAAACAACTGTCAGATACGGCCATACCATGATGAAAGCACAGGATCCCGTCCGATCTCCTAAGTTAAGCATCATAGGGCCCAGTCAGTACTAGCGTGGGAGACCAGCTGGGAATACTCGGGTGCTGTATCTTTTTTGCTGTAACTCGTCATTCTGTGTGTAACCATCCCCTTTGATGATGTGAACAGGAACGTGATCGATGTTATTGACAAGCTGCCGGCAAATTATCTCGGGATGATCTCGGTGAGAACTCGAGTAACCAGTCAGAGCGGGTGCGCTTAACACCCAGCTGAGAACTTGGCGAGGTGATCATGTAGGCTGCCATCCAGGTTACGCTGGAAGTCTCGCCGGATGATAAGATATCAGGCGATGGGAAAGCGTGACGCGTCTGATGATGAACCACAGTGCGGAGACGAGAAGGATCAAGCGGAGAAGTGTGGGGATTGATCCTGATCAGCTCCTCCTTGCTCGCCTATAAAGTCTCCAGGACATTTCCTATAGCTCCCCCTACACACTCTCCACACACACCAACCTCCAAAAGATGTTTTCCCTCCTGGCAATCGCCTCGCTCTTAGGGCTCCTATCTTCCCGCTCTCATCCTTCCCACTATAGAGGAAAAGATCATCATCCGGATCCTCCGGCTGCAGATCATAGTCATCCTCACTCCCCGGCTCATACTACATACTTCCCTCATCTCCCTTCTCCTCCATCTCCCCACCCAAATCCTGCGCACTGAGATGCGGCAACATGACACCCTCCTTCTGCTTCCTCTCTCTTTCCGTCGTGCCCAAGTTAAATGTCGTCAGCCCTGCCATAAAATCGTCAACACTTGGCTCTTCCTTGGGTGATGGTAGAGATGGTGCTGGTGGTGTGTATAGCCTCACTGTCGTGGAAACGATGGTACGCATGGCATAACCAATTCGGACATTTAAATCTCTAACGAATGCATTCTGATTGAGGTATCACATAACTAAAGATACTGCTTAAACATAACGCCTGTAATGAAGGTCCTTTCGTTGCCCATGCTCTTACTTTTGCTCCGCGAAGACATCGACGTACTTCGCCCTAGCGGCCTTCCTGCCAACAGTTGCGCTTTTCCTTGGTGGGGGACGAGTGAGCAGATCATCGAGACTGTCGCCTCCAGCTGCGGCGGGCTTTGGTGGACCTGCCGGAGCAGCGGTGGCGGGACGAGGCGGCATGCTTGAGGGAGGAGGCGCCATACCCCCCGCACCCGGTGCAGGACTAACACCGGCGCTCTGAGTGTGCGAGGCGAAAGCGGATGGCGGTGGTGGACCAATTGATGGTGTATTCACCGGTGGTCCCGGAGCCGGTGGTGCAGCGTGGGGTGCAGGCTTCGCTTTAGGCGGAGGAGGCAAGGGCGCTGGCGCAGCAGCATCCGCACCCGCCTTCTTGTTCACCCACTTCTTGAGCTCAGCATCATAGTAGAAGGTACTCTCCTCACCTAGCTTCGCCTTAATCGGCTTACCAGGCTTGACCTCAGCCTCCTTCTTCTTCCAGCCAAACCATCCACCACCAGCGGACTTCGGCTCCTCCTTCGGCTCCTCCTTCTTCGGCTCTTCCACGACAGGTTTGGGTTCCGGAGCGGGGCTTTCGGCCTTGGATGACGATCCCCAACCGAACCAGCCCTTCTTCTGCTCTTCCCTCTTCTCGTCCTTCTTCTCCTCGGATTGATCCTGCTGCTGCTCGGGCTTCTGTGCCTTCGGAGTAGGGTTGTTGCCGAAACCGAGGTCATCGAACCCATCGTCACCAGCTGGAGGCTGATACTGTTGCTGGAAGTTTGGTGGCGCGTAAGGGCTACTCATGCCAGGCTGGGGCGTGTACGCATCCATAGACGAAGCAAACGCTCCAGCGGCGGCATCCATACCGAAACTCTGCTCCTGACCGTGGTGCGCGGGCTGAGGCTCGTAGGGGTTTATCACACCCTGCGATGGCTCATACATGGAATTCGCCATTGCACTATACGGCCCAGCGTTATCCGGTTGGCCATACGGGTTCGGCGCAACAGAGTTCGAGGGTTCATACAGGCTTGTCGAAGGAGTCTGCTCCTCGTACATCGTTGGCGGTGCGTAAGGGTTGGCATTCTGATATGCCGGGTATCCGTAAGCTGAGCTGGCCGAAGACGAGTATGGGGCCTGCTCGAAGCTGGTCCTTGCCTGATCCATAGATGCCCTCGGGGAAGCGATGGCACTGCCGCTGCCAATCGGCGAAGTAGTTCTGTTGAAGTTTCCGTACATATCCGCCATGGAATGCACTCTTGACAAGGCCGGGTTCGACTCCGCAATCCTGGTAAACGGAGATTGCCCATCATCAGTCTCCTTCGGTGCCTTCTTCTCACCATTCTCATCACCCGCAACGAATTTGTTAAAACTGGTCTCCAACGATCCCCAGAGATTGTCAAGCTTTGGCCTAGCCATTTTCTTGCCAAGCCATGATCCAGGCTGGTCGCCAGCATCACCCGCAGCCACAAGTCTCTCAGTAAGTTGTCTGAGCTCATTGATCAAAACAGGATGGAAGTATGGAGAACCCTTGGTCTGTTTCATGTAGTTTGCGATAGTCTCGCAGTACTTCTGTGCATCCGTGATGCAACCAAGATCAGCCAAAACACGGGCACGGTAGACCTTGTAAGCCTGCAAGTGCGGCAACCCAGGTTGAGGGACACCACTAAGGGCAATAGCCAATTCGTAGACCTCGGTGAGAACAATGCTGTCAAGCTGTTGACCAAAGTCGCCGCGTTTATGGTCGGCGCCGAGGAGAACGAAATGCACATCAGGCGCATCCAATCCAGAAAGGTTTGCTATACCACCACTGAAGAGATAGCAGGTGTGTGCTGCATTCGTCCATCCATGCTGATCCAGAAGCTTACCAAGCCCCAAGATAGCGGCATGGTCTCCCGGAGTCCTGTTAGACAAAATCAATCCCAGAGTCTCCTTCCACCTCGCAAGCTTGTCAAAGCTACTCGACTCACGGCGACTCCTCTGACCAGTGAGAGTCTGTGCGAGCATGTCAGATGCCGGAACAAGCTCCTCAACAGCTTCGGCACCATGCCCGGCGAACACTTCGTACAGTACACTCAAACTGTCTGCACCAGGGTGGTCGCAGCTCTTGAGCTCAGTACGGACAAACTCCTTCACGGCACTCTTAAAGGACTCGCTGCTGACTGAACTGGCGATCAGCAGAGCATGTGCCCAAAGCTTACGGGTGAGAGCAAGACGCACGGCTGCTTCCCGGTCGCCTCTCAACAGGCAGTTACGAATAGCATCGATGGAACCAGACGTAACAGTGTACGCTGCCAAAGGAGCCGTCTCGGAGTTCCGTCGAGGCACGTTAACCAAGTCAGCAACAACCGTGAAGGAAGCAGCATCACCTGAGTTGGCATCATCGCCAGCTGCTCCAGGAGTGAGGATCTCGCGAATGAGCTTCAAAGCCGCAGGCTTGCCATCGATAACACCATCGTTATCCAAGATAATCTTGACGACCTGCCACAAGACAGCCTGATTCTCAATCTCAAGCTTCACATCATCGTCGACCTCGTTCTCAGCTTCTTGCTTGATCTTCTCAATCTTGCTTTCCATCCACTTGGTGACCTCCTTCTTCTTCGTCTTGTTCGAGCCCTTGTTAGTGGCAGAAAATACAGGTCCAGGGAAGAGTTCAGCAACATGGGTTTCCGGCAGGATGGACTTGAGAGTCTGCACCTTGAGCTCGCCAGGTGCATAACGAGTAACGGGTCCATCACTAGTATACCTCTGTACTTGCTGCTGAAAGTTCGTCACGACTTTGCCACCGAATCCGAAGTTGACCACCGGCGAAGCCCCACGGCAGTAAGGCGGGTATAACTTACGCTCCTCCTCAGGCTCGGTTGGGGCAGCGACGGGCGCATACGGCGACACTGGCCTAGGTCCCACCTCCGACAAGGGTGCCAAAGTCAAGGGAGCATTGGGGCTCGTCGACAACGCACGAGGATCGGCCTGGGGCGCATACTGACCTGCACCGGCCGAAGCATACAAAGACGTAACCGATGGCCTCTTCATCGAAGCGTGCGGGTCCTGCATATCGACCGATCGCCTTGGTGCATACGGATTTTCAGCACGAGGCACATAAGGGTTCGCTGAGGAAGGTCTCGGAGGAGGAGCCATAGCCTGAGGTGGAGGTATAACGGAAGGAAGCTGCTCTTCCTTCGCAACCGCATCAACGGCGTGCTGGAAGCCTGTAACACCGGTCTGCATAGCCTGGAAGCCGCTTTGAGGGTAGTCCTGGAGGGCTCCATTCTTCTCTTCAGCGACAACCGGAGCATAGGCTTCCTGAGCCGGAACACCTCCTTCCTCATCATCCATTGCCAAGGCGGCTGTCCTATCAGCCAGATCCTCAAGAGCGTTCTCCTCCTCCAGCACCTCAAATCCGTTGTGCACCGCAGGAAGGCTCTCAGGCGCTTCGTGAGCAGACGCGCGTGGGAAGGCATCACCCTCCAACACCTCCTGCTGCGGGGCATACTCCTCCATATCGTGAATGGCTTCTTCCATAGAATGCTCCAACTGAGGCTGGGCAGGTAACTCCACATGAGGAGCATAAAGCTGATGTGCAGGCTCCTGGTACGATGAGGGTTGGAACGCCTCTTGCGGGTGAACTTCAGCCCCGATAGGTGCCGGCAAGCTCGACGGCGGCATACGGTGGGGATGCTGCTGGACAGGAGGTGTAGGTACCGCATCCACCCTTGTCATCTGAGGAGAGTGACGAAGGGGAGCAGCAGGAGGTGGCCGCGCATATGGGTTGGTTGCCGCCCTAGGAGCAACAGGAGACCTCTTCAGCTGAGATATCGCTGCCTGCGGAGGAGCGTAAGGACTAGTCGGACCCGGTGCAGCTGCTGCACTGGGTGGAATAAGCTGTGCACTCCCAAAAGCCGGCGCCTGTGCCATAGCAGGAGCAGCTTGCTGTCCATTACCTGGCGGAGCGTAGGGGTTAGTTGCCGTCCTATCAGTGGGCTGATACGGGTTCTGGACAGGCTGAGCCGGGGGTGCGTATGGACTCTTCATCGGAGCAGCAGCCGAGGCCGGAGCATACGGATTCGCAGCGGGAGGAGCATACACCCCAGGCGCCTGCAGGGGCGCCGTAGCAGGTACCGCTGGTCCCGCATAGGCATTCGCGCTCTGACTCGAGATTGACAAATTCCTCTGTTGGCTATACGGCGGAACAGGAACGCCGCGTTCACTCTGCGGACTCATCATACCCATGGCCGGAGCGGGAGGGGCATACGGATCAGCTTGACGCTGCGCCCTCGGGCTGGGTGGAGCGTACGGATTCGCACGCATATCCTTTGGTGGCAGAGGTGGTGGTGGTTGTGCGTACCCAGCACCAGCACTCGCATTACTCACCGTCCTTGACCTTGGGTGCGCAGAAGCGACGTTCGGCGACTGCGGCGCATACGGGTTCGGTCTGCCCGCGGGTTGCGGCGCATACGGGTTCGCAGCCGGTGTGCGTACAGCAGGCACGGTGGGCGGAGCGTAGGGGTCCGTAGGCGGTGGTGCATACCCAGCTACCGCCATCGCACTCGCAGCACGAGGTGGTGCCAGAGCTTGCGGTGGAGCAGCCGTTGTTGGAGGCGGCTTGACATATGGCGGTTGACCCTGTACACCCACACCCATCGGTGGACCCGCAGCTGCTGCTGCCAGCGGAGGCGGAAACGCCTGCATCCCCTGCCCAGGCGCAAAAGGCGGGCTCGTAACCCTACTCCTCACTGGCTTCGCCGCACTAACAACATCCGTCGGTAGATCATACGGACTAGAATAACTCGTATTTGCCTTCAAGAAACTCGGTGCGGACTTTATTTCAGGCTTTGTCTGCTCCGTGGGTTGGTTGAAGAAGGAGGGGGTTGCAGGGGGTACGGTCGTTTGGGTTTGTGCAAAGTAGGAGGGCTGAGGGGGGAGGACCATGGATTGGGACATGAGGTCGTAGAGGCCGGTCTGTTGCTGGGCAGGTAGGACCATAGACTGAGACATCGGATCATATGCGTTCCTCTGTTGCGGCACGTATGGATTCGCTTTCGGTGCTGGTGCTGGTGCATACGGGTTCGTAGTTGGCGCAGCCTCCGTTACCGGGAAATAAGGATTAACAGCTGCCTGCTCCGGTTCCGGCGCAACCGCCTCATCCTCCGACGGCAGAAACCCATCCTCATCTGACAAAAACCCATCTTCGTCGAAATTAGGCAACTTGGCAAAGAAGTTCTCGGGTCCGGCTACGGCGCCAAAGGCATCATCATCTCCTTCTGCGCCTCCGAATAGGGCCGAGGTATCGGTGGGGGCATTACCAAAATCTAGGGTAGGTTCGGCTGCAGGAGCGGGGATATCGAACGCAGCCGACTCTCCGAACTCCAGTTCGCCTCCTTGCTGCTCCTGCACAGCCAGCGTAGCAGCTCCGAACCCAGCGAAATCCTCCACTTGATCATGCGATGGCAACCCAACATCGAATGCGCCTTGTCCCGTCTCTTCACCGAAGTTGATGCCTTGCTCCTGTGTTGACTCTTGCTGTGAAGGTTGCCCTGGTTCCGGTTCTGCTTCTGCTGCACCGAAACCGGCGAAATCTTCGACCTGGTCATGCGCCGGTAATCCGATGTCAAAGGCGCTTTGTCCTGTCTCCTCTCCGAAATCGATGTGAGCCTCCTGTTGTACAAACCCCGCCGACTCTGGTTCTGGTTCCGCTTCGGCTGCTCCAAAACCAGCCAAGTCCTCAATCTTATCATGTGCCGGCAACCCGATATCAAACGCACTCTGTCCAGTCTCCTCCCCAAAATCAATACGCGCCTCCTCCTCCTTCTCCTCCGCAGCAGTTTCAAGTTCAGGTGCCGGAGTCGGTCGTTCCGAGGGCGTAGCAGCCGAGAATGCAGCGATATCCTCAATGGGGTCGTGTGCCGGTAACCCAATATCAAACGCATGTTGTCCGCTTTCTTCGCCGAAATGAAGGGTTGGCGTAGAGTCGTGTCGGTCCTCACCTTCATCCACCTTGATCGTTTCTGAGCTGGGTGGTGAGTCCTCCCCGTCCGCCGCAGTATCATTAACCAAAACCGTAATCCCATGATCCTGTCCCTCAGCCTGTCCCTCTACCGATGACCCAAACCAATCCTTCTCCTCGACTTCGGGCTCCTCGAGCGCATCACTCCTCAAAACCCCAAAAAAGGTACTCGGATGCCTAACATGTCTCGGCCGTCCCCTTCTCTCCTCCTCCTCGTCTTCCTCCTCCGCGACTTTGGGGGACGCAACCCTCGATGGCGCACGAGAGGGATCACGGCTCCATCCACCTTGTTCGCCGTCTGGGTCAAGGCTGTTCACGTCCTCTACGTGGAATGTTGCGGGTATGGGACTTGCTTGGGTGGTGTTTATAGTCACTGTCCGAGGCGGCGTCGTTGGCCGCGCAGATTCCGAGGGTTCGCTCATGATGTATGCTGACTCGCCGTTCGAATTGACTCGGCTGACTGGCGTCGTCGTTCGGGGTCGTCGGTCGTGTTGGAGGTTTGCTGTTGAGTGTATGCTGTATGCGCTGGTTGGGTGACGTGCGGCGCGTGTGGGTGGACTGCAGGGGTTGCAATCGGTACCGTGAGCGCGGAGACTGACAGCCTGAGCAATTGCATCTTGAAGCTGAAGCATCTGGGCAGTTCAGAACACGGCTACGAAGGTGATGGGCAATAAAGACAGGCAAGAACAAAGAAGTGACAGAATGAAAAAAGTTAACGTCAGCGACAGGACTCGAACCTGCGCACGGAGACCGTAAGAGATTTCTAATCTCTCTCCTTAACCACTCGGACACGCTGACTGGACGTGGGAAAGTGGGTTGTCGTTTGAACACGTAGAGCACAATCATCGATATCTAAGCGTTGGATGAGCAGGAATTTGGGACACCATCAGAGAGAGTCTTTACAGTACGCAAACAGAAAGGATTTTGCAGTCCAAAACATGATATTCGGGCTAATGAGACCCTTGCTGAACTGCACAACGTAAAACATCCACATCCTTCTCTCCCAGCAAACAAGCCAAGTCTCCGAAAAGACAAGTCCACTAAGAACTACTCCCATCATCAATGTCGAACAATATGTACAACACTCATATAACAATCACGACGAATGTCGTACGCCCACTGAGGTTCAACAGTACAACTTCCCTCTTCTCCTCAGCGGTCCTCATCCACCGCCGCAACAAACTCCATCAAACTTCCACCTTCACACCTCCATAAGAACGACCCCATTCCCACCACCACCCGCCTTTCACTCCTTCAGGCACACCATCATTATTAGAACGGTGGAAATAGCCGATCCGAACACCAGTCTGCCAACCCCGAGAACCCAGAAACCGCAATGAATAGCCGATTGCCAAGTCCAGTTCAAAGACGTCACATCTGGTAAGAGGCAATCCCGGCAAAACGACCAAAGCCGTCTTCCCAAGATCCAATACCCATACACCGAAACAGATGAAAAAAAAAGAAAAAAGCCGACCGCACAAACCCCCAACTAGTCCAATAAGCCGAGAGGAAGCCATAGCCACGTCCAGCTCAAATCAACAATCACAAACAACAGCACACAGAGAAAAGCAAAGAACGCCACGTCTCCGGAAATCCCGTTCCAACTCCCACTAATCCGGGGAGGCAATAGAGAACCCATCGAACATGTAAAAACAATAAACAGCGAAACCACGAAAACGAAAACGAAAACGAAAACGAAAACGCCGGTGATGCGAAAGGTATGGCCCATCACACCAGAACCAGAAACATCCATAAGAAAAAAACGAAAAGCAAGAGCGATAAATAAGCATCAGCATGAGCATGAGCAAACGACGTCGAAGAACCCAAACACGCTGACCCACGACCCGAAACAGTGCGGTGCGGTGCCAAATAAATAACTGAGCATGAAAGCAAGCCGGTTGATGCATGTCGAGGGTGTCCTTCAGGGAATCCAGATAATCATAGCAGACAAATAAAGAGCAAACGCCAATCATAGAGTCCAGATCCACCAGAGAAAAAGGATTCGCACGTTGCGGGTGTGTGCGTCAAGTGTCGAGTCGAAAGTCAAAGTCGTGTCGAAAATAAGCCAAGCATGCGATAAAAAGAGAAATCCAAAAACTGAAACCACGATGTCGAGTAGGTCGCGTAAAATATAAGACCGTTGTTCGTTGCTGTACACCGCCTCAACCCCCCTCACCTCACCCCACCTCTCCCTCTCTCACAAAAGCAAGCCCATATTAGGCCAACTTCAACACCCTCCTCAAATCCAACTCCATCTGCATAACCTGCTCCCCAACCGGCACAACACCAGCCCCAACCCCAACCCCAATAGGTGTGGGGCTCCCATGCACCTGCTGCTGCTGCCACTGCTGCTCCATATGCACCCCAATCGGATTCATCATCGGCGTAACAGGCGGGCTGAGAGGATGCGCCATCCCCATCCCCATGGGCATCGGATGCGCATGGTGCAATTGTGGGCTAGGGACATACGCCGGCGGAACCATCGAATAGAAGTTCCCTTGTCCGGGTCCGTAACCCCTGGTAGCATACGGGTGCTGGAATGGCACGACGGGACCCGCGGACTGATGTGCGTAAGTTTGGGGTGGGGAGTGTTGAGGGTGTCGGAATTGGTGAGGAGCACTCGTGAAGTGCTGGCCCTGTGCGGTAGGGACGGGTTCGGACGAGACGGAAGAAGTGGTCGTTGACGAGAAGAACGGAGCGGCGGAGTCGGAGCTGGAGGGTGGGGAGAGCATATCCTTCAACGCCCTGCTCTTAGCGCGAAGGTGGTCCTCGGACTCGGATGAGGAGGGACGGTCTTCGTATAAATCCGAGTTCGGACGTTGGAGGATGGGTTGCTTGGTTGGGGTATATGACTTCGTGGGACTTGTGCTTCCATTCTTCGCGTCACGATCCGCACGGAAGAGTTTGGCGAGGGGACTCTCGTCAACAGGAACGTTCATATCGCGATCAGTCAACTGTCCAGCGACCTCAGCTCCAGCCTTGCGCGACGGAAGGGATTTGGTCATGAACGCAGGAAGAGGGAGTGCTGAAGCCGCAGGAGAGGAATGGAAAGTTGGACCAGCATAATGCGCCGCGGCAGCCTGTGCCGCGGTCTTCGGTGGACTCTGACCTCCAACAGTAGTGGTAGTGGTAGCCGGACGAGCATTCGTAGATGCTGGGGTAACAGGTTGAGGAGGCGAAGACGCAGGAGGGGAAACAGGACGGTTCCCTGATGGCTCCGTAGCCGCACGGCGAACATTCGACGAACGCTGGCGCGACGACGGGTAAACCTGCTGCTGTACGGGCTTCTGCTGGTGTTGAGCAGGAGCCGTACGGCGGGAATTCGAGTGAGAAGCGGGACGGGGTTGAGCATGTCGTGATGCTGGCGAGTTGGAGCGGGAGCGTATATGCGGCACTGCTTGCACCACCTGCTTCACAGGCTGCGACAGCTGCGCCGGTGATCCATGCGGTTTAGGCGCCGATACTGGACGCTGTTGTACTTGAAGCTGCTGCTGGCCAGGTTGACGACGTGCCATGGATGTAGTTGTAGTTGTAGTTGTTGTAGAAAAAGGAGGAGAGGACGTAGGAGTATCGGACAAAAATAACGGATGATCCAAGATGTTGAATGCTTATATAGAACAAGGAGACTGCTTCAAAACTTCCGTCGATGGATGTCTTTGTCGATATAATAACATTCGTTGGGGTTGATGTGTTGGTGGTGAGGAAGCGGGCTCTACTTGAGCGGGTAGGGCTGGGGTGGTATATTTGCGAGGCGGCGGTTAGTGAGGGGCGGTGCAACCCGGCGTCTGACCAGCAACACCAGAACATACGGAAGCGGTAATAACGGAGGATTCAGTCAAGGGAAGACGAGTCGTCGTTGGAACAATCAACAAAGACGACAAGCCGTATTCTCGGTATCGGTGACGTCGACGTCGACGCTACAGGCTTCAGAGCTCATCGCCCTTTGTACGTCACAAGTTGAGCGATCGCGCCGGTACAGCTTACAGCCCGAGCACCGGACCCACAAGAAGGATCTCAACTCAGCGCACCATCGCAATAATGGAAGGCCCGGCAGCACCCGGTCCCGGTATGCAAGCAAACGGAGCTCCCGTCCCTCAGCCTACCAACATCAAGCTCTTCTTCAACCCGAACGCCAGCGATGTGCGTCATAACGTCATGCGATTTCACTCCACCAAAGATGTCGACATAAATAACTTCTCCAAACCCGTCAAACTTCACCGTCGCCATCCTAATGCTACGCGGGCTGCGCTGGCTGCTTCTACCATTGGGGTTGTTGATGGAGAGAATGCATCAGGAAGTGGTGCGGAGGGATCAGGCGATACTGCACCAGCTGCCCCAAAGCCTCGCTCAAATCTTTTCAAGAAGAAGTTGGCTCAGGTTTACCACGCAGATAAGGATGCTTGGCGGTTGAAGCAGGAAGAAAGTGCACCGTGGGTTCTTGAGGATGATGGCGGTAGTAACACATGGGTTGGAAGCCTCGAAGCAAGTCAAGCGGCATACGTCGTCTTCGTCCCGCATGGAGATGGGTTCATGGTCATCCCCGCAGATCGGTGGTACAAATTTGCAAACAAGAGCAAGAGTCGGGGAATGACGCTGGAGGAGGCAGAGGAGGAGATGACCAAAAGATCCAAAGTCCCAAAATGGTATCGAGAGAAGTTGGAACAGAAAGTGAAAGAAGAGCAGGAGAACAAACCCGTGAAGCCATCTGGTGTACTTGGGAGGAAACCGGCTAGTGCTTCTGTTCAGCGTCGGGCTGGGGATGAAGGAGATCTTGATTTTGAGGAGGAGTTTGCGGATGATGAGGAAGTCCAACTTGGTGGTGATGATGAGGAGTTGTCGAAGGCATTGGAGGCCCGGATTAAGGAGGAACAGTTGTCTGCCAACGCAATGGGTGAGGCGGAGTATAACTTCGACGAGGATGAGGATGACGACAAACCAAAGTACAACAAGGCTGGAAAGCGCACGAACAAGCTTTTGAGGAATGTCGAGAAGAATATTGCGTATGGATCAGATGAGGAGAACCCTTACGAATCAGAGGTATGTTGTATGTCATGGATTTGTGAACTGAACTAAACGGCATCTTTACAGGATGAGGATACAGACTCAGAGGACCTATTCGGTGACGGACCCAAACAGGATACAATCGTCAAAAAGGAAACATCAGACCCCAGATCGCTTTCGAACCTCATCCCGCACCGCCAACGACCCGAGCATCTCATCCTCAAGCTTACACCCACTGTTTTGTCAAGGTTCTCCGCCCTGCCGAACAGGCCATGGGTTTCCCGCTCTTTGCGTGCGGTCATTGGCGGACCTCCGTTGAAGCGTCGCTTGGCAGGAAGTGATACCGAGAGTACGGGAGAGATGTCTGAAGGAAGTGGTACGGAAGGTCGATCGAGGAAGAACAAAGTCCCGCGCACAGGTTCGCCCTCTGCCAGCAGTCCTGCACAGAGTCCTGGTGCCGCTGCAGTTGATCCAGGTGTGTCATAACCTTCCTTACCCAGACTCACCAAGAACTGTTGAGCTAACTGTGAATTACTAGGTTCCTGGATCACCGGAGACGAAATGAAACGAGCTCTGGGATCTCAGCCGTCTATCACGATCAAGGGATTGCTACATATCTTTGCCGTCAAGCTCAAGAAGAACCCAGAGAACAAGCCGTTGTTGGCGCCGATGTTGAAGAAGTTTGCGGATAAGCTGGAGGATGGGAAGTTGAAGTTGAAGGCGGAGTTTGCGTAGGTTGAGAAATAGAGAATCATTTACTTCGCGACTACAACCGGCTGCCATCCCCCTTCGATGTCGCTCTCCGAGACGCTCAGCCGGCCTCTCTCGCCACATGCGCCCCGCTGTACCTCCACTGCACCCAAAATTCCAGTGCCGCACGTCAGCCAAACTGCCAGAGCACTTTAAACCTCGAAGGCCACGAACACTCCTTCAAGTCCTCTCCTCCGATAATCCAGGATGTCGTCCACCGACCAAAACGCCGACCAAAATGTCGAGATGTGGAAGATCAAGAAATTGATCAAATCCCTCGAAGCCGCCCGCGGAAACGGTACTTCCATGATCTCGCTCGTCATCCCGCCCAAGGACCAAATCTCCCGTGTCAACGCAATGTTGGCGAACGAGTTCGGTACTGCGTCGAACATCAAGTCGCGTGTCAACAGGTTGTCTGTGTTGGGCGCTATCACCTCCACGCAGCAGAGGTTGAAGTTGTACTCGCGTGTCCCGCCGAATGGGTTGGTTATCTACTGTGGTGAAATCATCACTGACACCGGAAAGGAGAGGAAGATCAATATCGATTTCGAGCCCTTCAAGCCGATCAACACCTCTCTCTACCTCTGCGACAACAAATTTCATGTCGAGGCGCTTTCTGAACTCTTGGAGTCTGACTCCAAGTTCGGATTCATCATCATGGACGGTAATGGTTCGTTGTATGGTACCGTCTCGGGTAACACCCGTGAGGTTTTGCACAAATTCTCTGTCGATTTGCCCAAGAAGCACGGTCGTGGTGGACAATCTGCGCTTCGTTTCTCGCGTTTGAGAGAGGAGGCTCGTCACAACTACGTTCGTAAAGTCGGAGAAATCGCCGTGCAGATGTTTATTTCCAACGACAAGGTTAACGTCAATGGTATTATTCTCGCCGGTTCCGCCGATTTCAAGAATGTTCTTCAGGCTTCTGACTTGCTCGACGGGCGTTTGTTGGCCAAGGTCATCAAGGTCGTCGATGTCTCGTACGGTGGCGAGAACGGCTTCAACCAGGCTATCGAGTTATCCGCCGAGACCCTCTCCAACGTCAAGTTCATCCAGGAGAAGAAGCTCATCCAGAAGTACTTCGACGAAGTCTCCCAAGACACCGGCAAATACTGTTACGGAGTCGACGACACCCTCAAAGGTCTCGAACTCGGCGCCATCGAAACCCTCATCGTCTGGGAAAACCTCGACGTCACTCGCTACGTCCTCAAAGACTCCTCCGGCGCCGAAATCACCCTTCACTACACCAAAGAACAAGCCGCCGCCAACAAAGAATCCTTCCTCGACAAGGACTCCGGACAAGAAATGACCATCGTCACCCAAGAATCCCTCCTCGAGTGGCTCTCGGTCAAATACAAGGACTTTGGCGCAAACTTGGAGTTTGTTACGGATCGGTCGCAGGAGGGTGCGCAGTTTTGTAGGGGTTTCGGTGCGATTGGGGGGTTGTTGAGGTATAAGGTTAATTTTGAGCAGTTGCAGGATGATGATGAGGATGAGTATTGGTCTGATTAGGGGGGGTGGTACCCCTCTCTGTGTTTTTCCTGTGAGGGGGGGTGCGCGAACCGGACTCGCTGTTTCTATGGTCCGAGGGCGCTGCCTCTGCCTGTTTTTGCCCAGGGTTTTGGTGTAGGGCTGGAGCTTTTGTTGGATGTCTCGCGTTGAACGTGAGATGTGACTGTGTGGTTTTCATTTGGTTCTTGGCCTGGCTTGTCGTTTTGCATGTCATGGATGGGCTCTAGAAAAAAGTTGTGGAATCTTTTCTTTTCGTTTTTTGTATGTATGGGTTTAACGTTACCTGACGCCATGGCTATGGTGCCTCGATTGGGCTTTACTCGTTATGTCTTTCGATTGCTATATTACTTTTGCATTTTGAGTATTTATAGAGTATGGTCGAAGTCGAAGGTCTTCATGTCCTCCTGGCGCACCACCCCTAGCGCAGACCGGTCCGTGAAAGCGTTGGCACTACGGGTCGGGTAAGCAAACATAACCAGCGGTATGTGTAGAAGGAGCAGAAGGTCCAGCCGTATCTATCGCCGTGACATCTCTGCCAAATGACTCCTTTCTGCGCCGCGCGGGGACTCATGATCAGCCGAGCCTCGTACACCAGCTGTTGGCCGCCAGCCAACTCATACGCCGAACACATGACTCGAGACTGCTACACCATGCAAAATGACTCGCGTACTATAGCTATAGGGGTTGAATGCTATAAAAGGCTTGCCTTCCCTTTCTTCAATGCAATTGCAATTGACTACTACAAACAATCGAAACATCCATCATGGTAGTAGCTAGTGAACCAGAATCCTACCTCCCTTCACCAGCTGCCTCCCACACCACAGCAGCCAATGACTCCTCCTCCTCCTCCACCACAGCAGCCGGTCTCCCTCCCCAAAGAACGAGCCCACACCCCTACCACCCCCACCTTCGCCACGTCTCCCTCCGCCGCTCAACCCGCACCCGCTCCTCCTCCCTCGGCTACCGCACCGCAGTCTTTACCACAAAACCCACCCAACTCGAACGCGTCATCCTCCTCCTCCACAACAACCCCTTCATCCCTCCCAACTCCATCCGCGAGGAAGTCGAATGGTTTTACGAGTCCTTGGGGATCGATGATACATACTTTGCGCTGCAGGATGAGGAGATCATCGCGAGACATGTGTTGGCGTTGTGGAGTGCGAAGATTGGGGCGTATGTTAATAGTGAGAGGGAGTTGGATGTGCATTTGAAGCAGGAGGATGAGGATGGAGCTGTGTTTATTCATTCGACGGTGCCGGGGCATCAGGTACCTCCTTCGCCCACTGCTACGGTGACCTCGTTTTCGACGGCGGGACCGAGTGCGGTGGGGGCGGGTGGTGCTGCGAGTAGGAGTGATACACCGCATGGACATTATGAGAGGACGATTGAGGATAAATACCTCGATTCGCCTCCCGCGGATCACATCTACCGCCTCGAATCCTACCGTTCGCAGGCTCATATCGAACACCCCCTCCGCTCCTACTTCGTCACGCGTTGTCACTTCCCCACCCCCTCCTCAGACGCCTCTTCCTCCACGGATGCGTTCAACATCCGTGCAGTTTCAGACATTGGATTCTTGGAGAAAGTCTCGGAGAGTGCGTTGGCGAGGTATTCCAGGATCGTCAGGCAAGTCGTCGAGAGGAAGGGTATCGTCGTCGAACAACACCTTGGATCGGGTGGGTCCGGAGGCGGCGAAGTCAGGCTCTACCTCGGCTTCCAACGGCTGAGCGCGAAGGGGTTCTTCACCACCCTTACCGATTTGTACCATTACTATGGTCTTACCAGTACGCGAAAGTACGTAGAGCAGTTCTCGAATGGTGCCACGGTTGTCTGCGTTCACCTCACCAACTTTCCCCAATCCGAGGACAAAGCGGAACGGGAGGGCAAAGTCCAGTGGATCTTGACACAGTTGACGCGTGATGCTTCACTCTTGTATTGTCTCCCCAGCACGCCTCTCCAGCACCTCTTTTCAGGTCAACTCTTGTCGGTACAGGAATCCGTGTACGCCTACACCGGCTGGATATTCGCTCAGCATTTCCTGAATCGGTTGGGGACGGAGTACGCTACCCTCCAACGTTTGTTGACGAAGGGTGGTGAGGAGGATGGAGCCGTCGCGGGTGTATTGGCGAAGTTGAAGAAGAGGTTGAGGGAGGTGACGTATACGCGTCAAGAAGTCCTGGACGTGATTACTGCGTATCCAGAGTTGATCAGGAGCTGTTATAAGATGTTTGAGAGGGTTCATGGTGTCAATGCGAGTAATCGCCGTGCGCCGAGTCCGTCGCCGTATGCGAATGAGGAGTATGATGCAGCGGGGATTATGGAGAAGATCGAGAGTGTCGTGGCGAATGAGCACGAGGTCGCGGTTTTCCAGGCGTTCGTGACGTTCAATCAAGCGGTACTCAAGACGAACTTCTACCAACCCACCAAAGTCGCTCTCAGTTTCCGTCTTGACTCGGCGTGGTTACCTGAAATCGAATACCCCATGCCACTCTACGGGATGTTTCTCATCATCGGATCGGAGTTTAGGGGATTCCATTTGAGGTTTAGGGATGTCGCACGGGGTGGGATCAGGATTGTGCAGTCCCGAAACAGGGAGAGTTACTCGATTAATTTGAGGAGTTTGTTTGATGAGAATTATGCGTTGGCGAGTACGCAGCAGAAGAAGAATAAGGATATCCCCGAAGGTGGTAGTAAGGGTACTATTCTTCTCGATTATGGGGTTGGTGCGATTCCGAGGGTCGCGTTCGAGAAGTATGTCGATGCGATGTTGGACCTCCTTATTCCGGGACAGACGCCGGGGATTAAGGAACCGATTGTTGATTTGCTTGGGAAGGAGGAGATCCTCTTCTTTGGGCCGGATGAGGGAACGGCGGAGTTCATGGATTGGGCGAGTTTGCATGCGAGACATCGTGGTGCTGGATTCTGGAAGGCGTTCACGACGGGGAAGGGAGCGGGGATGGGTGGGATTCCGCACGACACGTATGGGATGACGACGAGGTCGATTCATCAGTACGTGTTGGGGATTTACCGTAAGTTGGGGTTGGAGGAGGGTATGGTGAGGAAGATTCAGACGGGAGGGCCGGATGGGGACCTGGGAAGTAATGAGGTGAAGATCTCGGGTGATAGGACTGTTGCGATCGCTGACGGAAACGGAGTCCTCTACGACCCGCAGGGGATCGATCGTGGTGAGTTGATGAGGCTGGCGGGGGAGAGGAAAGCTTGTGGAGCGTTCGACGTGAAGAAATTGGGGAAAGGCGGATTCAGGGTCTTGGTTGATGAGACGAAGGTTACGTTGCCGGATGGGAGTGTCGTGGAGAATGGATTCAAGTTCAGGAATGAGTTTCATTTGGATAAGTTGGCGCAGGCGGAGTTGTTTGTGCCGTGTGGTGGACGGCCGGAGAGTGTGAACTTGACGAATGTGCATCGGTTGTTGGATGAGGATGGTGTACCGAGGTGGAAGTATGTCGTCGAGGGCGCGAACTTGTTCTTCACGCAGGAAGCAAGGTTGTTCTTGGAGAAGAAGGGCGTGGTTATCTTCAAGGACGCTAGTGCGAACAAAGGTGGTGTCACTTCCAGTTCCCTCGAAGTCCTCGCCGCTTTGGCTTTGAACGACGACGAGTTTGCGCAGCACATGCAAGTCAAGGGTGATGTTGTCCCGCCCTTCTACGAGAAGTATGTCGAGGAGGTCCAAACTATCATCGAGAGGAACGCGAGGGCGGAGTTCGAGTGTATCTGGCGTGAACACGATCGTCTCAAGATCCCGCGCTCAATCCTCACCGACCAGATCTCCATCGCGATCGTCAAGCTAAACGAGGAAATCCAGCAAAACCCGGTCTTGTGGGATGACATCCCTCTCCGTCGTCTCGTTCTCTCCGAAGCTCTCCCGAAGTTGTTGTTGGAGCAGTTGGGGTTGGATACGATCCTCAAGCGTGTTCCAGACAACTATGTCAGAGCGATCTTTGGGAGTTGGTTGGCGAGTCGGTTCGTGTATGAGTTTGGGCATGAGAGTGGGCAGTTTGCGTTCTTGCAGTTTATGTTGGGGTATTTTGGGAAGTTGGGACAGGAATGAAGATCTGATGGACGTCGATATCGTGTACATGTGGGGAACTCAAGTAATGGGGGTTTGCTTGTGGACGGGAGCTCGGTTGTGAGGCGCTTACTATGATTTCGATATACCAGACCAGAATACCTGTGATTTGTCTTGCTTATTAGCTACGCTTGTTATACACGTTTCACGCTACCTTGAATAAGAGAATTTGGATTAACCTTCAGATACGGCCATACCATGATGAAAGCACAGGATCCCGTCCGATCTCCTAAGTTAAGCATCATAGGGCCCAGTCAGTACTAGCGTGGGAGACCAGCTGGGAATACTCGGGTGCTGTATCTTTTTGTCCATCCTCTCTCTTACCTCCCACCTCATTCATGACTGTAGTCCACCATGACTGTAGTCCACCATGACTGTAGTCGCCCATTTCATCCTGCAGTTTCATCGCGATGCGTCGCCCTTATGATACCGTGACTCTCGTTTCCCACGAAATGAAGCCTCAGAAACTCTTACGGTTAATCATCTACAATTCCGTAACTTGAAACTATGTTGGCCGCCCAAAAAACTTTCGTTTGTTACGATGAAATTCCAGTACTTTCGCTTTCCCACGCAAAGTTTTCCAAAAATTTCCTACACTTGCAATTGTGGGCACCGTTTTGGGCGACGCCCCCGATACTTTCTGCCCATACATAGTTATGGAGCAATATTAAAGCCCCTAGTTGGAGTAGGAGCTGCTGCTGTCAGCCTCATGCTGTACATTCTTTTGCGTGATTTCTTAAGCTTGCGAGGCGCGGCAGCTGTGAAAGACTTGGATAAATGTGTGCTGTGTGATCATGCCGTGTTCGACTTGATTCATTCGTATGCAGCATTTGTACTGCACTATCATGGCTCCAGCCGCTTGCGTTCGTATTTCGCTTCTCACCAGGGATATCGATAACTATATTCATGTATCTAACGTCAGCGACCGCTCCGGCGTTCGTACCATTTGCATCGCAATCACAAATCGCAAAAGGCACGTTTCGAGCGATCCTCCTACATGCCGCGAGTCAAGTAAAAATTATGTTACTGCGGATAGATATAGCACAAACGGCCGGCCGCGGCTTCCTGACCGTGTACTCAAAAGGCTTTGTATGGTAACGTGGCGAAGTCCAAAAGCTTTGTACTCATTTACGTGGCACAAGTCTGAACAGCAGCAGATGATGGCATAAAGTGTCCAAATGCGTATTCTCAGACTGTTCTCAGTTCTACCAGATACCCTTACGTAAAAGGTCCCTCTAACCCCCGGGCCCAATAATAATGCAATCCCATGGCCACTTCTCTTCTTAGTAAAATGCAACCAGTGCTCCGTTTCCCAAAGGGCATGCCCAACTCTCATCGTTTCCATGCACATCCGATGTTCAATACCAACACGACGCACCCCCAACCTTCCACTCCCACCCTCCCACCTCCTCCTCATCAACCACCCACCTCAAAAACTCCACCATCCGCTCATGTCTCCTTACCCCCATCCGCCTCCCTTCCTCCGTTTTGAGCATATCTTTCAGTCTCAATAACTTATCCGGAAAATGTCGCGTTGCGGTTGGGGGGCCTGCGCCTAATCTTAGGTTCGCTAAGCTATCTTCGTCGTTGTCGTGGCCCTGTGGGTGGGTAGCGGGGATGGTGGTGGGGGGATTAGTCGAGGTGCGAATGCCGTACGGTAGGTGTAATGGTTGTCCAAGTCTAACACTGAATGAAGCCGCGCGCATAACCCCAACAGCACCCATCGCATCCAACATATCAGCATCCTGTACACACCACAACTCGCAACACCCCTCTCTCCACCCACACCTCCCCCCATCTCCCTCCTCCTCCACTTTCCTCCGGTATGCGACTTCTTTCTTGTAGGAAACCGTACCGACGATACGGAGGATATCGGAGACGAGGGGGGGTGGGAGGAGGAGGGTGTGGGAGAGGTGGGTGGAGAGGGCGAGGTGGGCGGCGGTGGGGGAGGCGTGGAATTTGGAGTCGAGGAGGTCGTGGTAGAGTGCCGCTAACTCCACCAGTACCAGATCTGGGAGGGGGTTGAGGGTTCGGGCTATCCGTAGTGCTATCCCTCAGTGTTAAAAACTGCTAATGGAGCGAGGGAGAAGAAGAGATACGTACCGGTATCCCGGACACGAGCGACGTGCCACCAGTCGTGACATGGATCGGCGTATTTTGCCATGTGTTCTTTTGCGTATGCTTCTGCCTCTTCCCTAATCGCGTCCATGTTGACCGTTACTGTTGGAGGCTCTTCAACCGTCATCTTCAATATGAACGGTTGCCGTCTTTGGAGGTATCGGTTGTTTTGACCGCGACCGCGTGCTATATATATAGGGAGTTCAGGAGCAAGCTTGAGGGCACCCGCAACCGCGTAATCAGATGAACCTCAACACCAAGAAATCCATAACGGATCAATGTCATTCAGATCACGGAAACCAAAGGCGAAGATCATTGCACAACGAGAAGATGAGGAGGAAGATACGGGTCCCGTCGCGGCAGATACACCGGCGACAGTAGTGACGGGGGCGGAGGAAAGTCCAGCGACAATGGCGTCACCGGCCTCGACAATAATCAAAAAGAAGACGAAGCGGCCAACAGCGGGACTCTCAAAGATGTCCTTCGGTGGCGATGAGGAAGAAGCGGATACCGGGATACCCTCCTTCATCCCCAAGAAATCCGCACTGTCCCAATCAACAACCTCTCTACGAAAACTTACTCTTTCAACACCGACTTCCTCACCCACAGCGTCCACCACCGCTCCCTCCGCAGCAGTACGGTCCGCGTACACGAAGAGTTATTTGAGCGAATTAGCATCCAGTACACCGAACACGCCGAAAGCGTTCTCGACACCCGGCGCGACGGGGGATGCGTTAGATATTGAGGCGAAGTTTGGACGCGGCGCGGGGGTCAAGCCGGTCGAGATATTAGATGAGGGAATCGTGCGGGAACTCAAAGCACGTCGAGCCCGCGCCGCACGGCTAGGGCAGGTCATCGCACACTCCAACGACGTTGAAGACGAAGACGACGACGAAAACAGAGTCGAGGGAAGAGAAGTTTTCATCCCACTACGAGAGACTAAAAAAGAGAGAAGATTGCAGAGAGAAGATGATGATGTCCTCGGCGACGGCACGGAAGGTATCGAGGGGTACGTCGAACACCCCATCATCCTCTCACGTGACGCCCACCGCCTTGAAGCACGCAGACTGCGATCCGAGATCCGGGATGCGCTCGAGCCCTGCACAGACGACGAGGAAGTCGAAGCCGAAGACCCGGAGTGGGAATGGGCTCAGCTTCGCCGAACACTCCCGCCCACCTCCTCCATGCGGCACCCCTCATCGCGTTCGCACTTGGTCGCACCACCGATAACCACACCGCTCCCGACCCTATCCGCTGCTCTCGCACGACTGAGGAAGACTTTGGAGGGGATGAAGGAGGGACGCGACAAGCATGTCAAGGAATTGGAGAGGTTGGGGGTTGAGAGGGGGGAGGTGACGCAAAGAGAAGAGGAGGTGGGAAAGGGGTTGGAGGGGGTTGGGAGGGAGTATGTTGGGTTGAGGGGGAGTATGGGGGTGATTGATACGGTGGAAGGGAAGGGGAAGGATGGCGTGGCGGGTGTGGAAGGGGTGGAGAGCAATGGGGGTACGGGTGATGTGATGGACGTGGAGGTGGGGGTGGAGGCATAGCTATGAGGTTACGGCAATACCATCTAGGATACTTCCACTGAAAATTTATTGCATGTCAAGAGCAACTTTGTATCTGTTCAGGAGTTCCGGAGATTTTGCCTCGGGAATGACGGGTATGCACTCCACACCTGCGCAACGTGATAAAACCGAGCGGCCTCTACACCAAAACCTCAACCGACCAGCTGGACATCAACGACGATGATCCGTTCAATACGCCTCCCAATCCGTCAACTACGGCTACCAACAGCTGGCCTAGCTGCTACAGGCTCTAGATCATTCGCCTCAGCCGCGGCTCGGCGAGAAAGCTGTGCATGCGGCTCCAACACCCACCTAACCTACCCCGACTTTAAACTCCCCCTCAATACAACAACCCCCCTCTCCACAACCGGCCCCTCCCTCTGGCGCCACATCATCCTCGCCACCGGTCCCAAAACTCAAGACACCTGGCCCCACAACCCCAACAAAGACCCTGACTCCATCGCCGGCGTATTGGAGAAAATGCAAAAAGAGCGTCCAGACGCACGAGAGAAACCAATCATGATCGGGCTGGCTACGTTACCGAAGAGTACGGTGGAGGGGATGGAGAGGTTATGGGTGTTTCCGGAGGGTGTGTGTGTTGATGTTTCGAGTGCTGATGTGGAGAGCGGGCGGATCGATGTATGGCGACATCTCCTGAAACCCTCCGAGGAGCTGGAGGAGATGTTTGGGCCCGAGGAAGGAGAGGAGGGTGGAGTTATCCTGATCTGTGGCCACACAGCCCGCGACCCCCGCTGCGCCCTCGCCGGCCCCATCCTCCTCTCCCAATTCCTCTCACCCACCTCACCCTCCTCCCAACTACCGCCAAATTGGAAAGTAGCGTTGACGACCCACGTCGGCGGCCACGCCTACGCTGGAAACGTCATCGTCTACTCCAGACACCCAAAGAGGGGTGTGTGGTATGGACGGGTTACGCCGTGTGATGTTGAGGAGATTGTGGGGAGGACGGTTAGGGGTGGGGAGGTTGTTGAGAGGTTGCTGAGGGGGGTTGTGGAGGTTGAGGCAGGTTGAGGCAGGTGGAGAGGGGGAGAAAGGAGAGGAGGAGGGAGGGGGGGGTGATGGAGAGGGGTTGAGGTCGGGTGACGGCGAAGGGAGAGGAGAAGGTGTACGACATTGGGTATGGTATTGAGTTAAGATAGCTCAACATAGTGCTAGCATAGCATCTAAAGTGACGTATAGGATAGACATAAAGCGCCCAAACGCTCGCTGATCTTCATCACCTGCAGCGCTGGGGAGGGGTACAAAAGAGAAAAGATACAGCACCCGAGTATTCCCAGCTGGTCTCCCACGCTAGTACTGACTGGGCCCTATGATGCTTAACTTAGGAGATCGGACGGGATCCTGTGCTTTCATCATGGTATGGCCGTATCTGGAAGTTAATGCAGATTTTACTTTATATACGCACGTTCCCATCGAAATATTCGAATCCGAGATCGACGTTCTATTTTTAGCACCGACACTCGGGCCCGAAAAGTTGGGTAACGTAGTCAACCCTCGCCATATGTACCAATGCCCGAACGAATACACGATGTAACTGCGTACACAGGACGAAGAGCACCAAAACACACGTCAGATGCGACATCATATCACTGCCCCTGCCTTCCATCATCCGGCAAAGTCCTCCTGTTCTATCGGTACTTTGCGAACCCGCCTCGACATCCCTTCCTCGACTCCCGCCAATGTCTTGAACTGGCACGGTGGCATGAGGAGACGTGTACAGCGTTGAACTTGACGGGGAAGATCCGGATAGCAGGGGAGGGGTTCAATGTGACGGTTGCTGGGCGGGATGAGGAGGTTGAGGAGTATGTTAAGCGGTGTTGTGCGCATCGGTCGTTTGCTGGATTGCGACTCGGATCTAAGGACGAAACGGAGAAGTACTTTAAGCCGACGCCGGGGTGTGCGCATGTCTTTGAGGAATTGAGCGTCAAGATCACTGATGAAGCCACACCTTTCAGTGTCACCTCTTATACACCCTCAGACTGGATCACTCCTCCGCCCGGGCCCGCCGAGGAGGAAGATCAATCACTAATAACCTATCTGTCTCCGCCCGCCTTCCACGCACTCCTCTCTTCTATTCCCTCCGACGAAAAAGACAAAATCCTCCTCGACACCCGAAACCACTACGAATCATCCCTCGGCCAGTTCACCACACCAACACTCGCCCCTCACCTCCCGCCCATCCGAAAATTCTCCTCACTTCCAGCATACCTTGAACCCGCCAAATCCACCTGGGAAGGAAAAGAGGTAATCACATACTGTACGGGTGGAATCAGATGCGAGAAGGCGGCGCGTTATATCGCGGATACATTACCGGTACGGCGGGTATACACTCTACATGGCGGAATTCAGTCCTATTTGACGTGGTTTTCGGAGCAGTTGAGGTTGGGGTTGGTTAAGCCTGAGCACTCGGTATGGAAGGGGAGGAATTATGTGTTTGATGCACGGGGGAGTACGGGGATTGAGGGTGATGAAGGGCGAGTAGGCATGATTGGCAAATGCGGATTGTGTGGGAAGGAGGAGAGTGCGGAGGTTGTAGGGAAGTGTGCGGTGAAGGGGTGTCATCTCGTCGTGTTGGCATGTAAGCCGTGTGCGGAGGATAAAGCTGCTACAGGGAAGGACTGGGAGTGTTGCGGAGTGTGCGTCCGAATGACGGCCGAGGCAAGGAATGGGAAGAGAAAGGGACTTTGCACTTGCGAGCAGGCCCGTGTTTCTAGGCTTAACGAGAATAACCCTTGATACCAGTATAGTGTCAGAATTTCCTCCACCCCTCACCACCGAGAGTCATGCCTTTGCTCTGCTCTTTCAGATCTTCCCTCGCACTATATGCTCCACCACGAACCACATCTTCCCAGCTGGCTTTCCTCCACTTGCCCTTCGTCCCAGCAGTATTTGTCCAGGATGTGTCTGCGCGTGGAGTACAAGTTGCGATCCACACGTCCTGGTCAATCTCCACAAGTTCAAAAGACCGCGGCTCAACTTGACCATGGACTTGAACTTTCGCGCCAATACCTGCTCTAACATTTACAAAACTGATGGCAGGGAGGTTGGTGACTAGGCCGGTTCCAGTCGCCTTCACATATGACTCTTTCAAGGCCCAGTGCCAGTAAAAGACTTTCAGCCTCTCCTTTGCATCCTTAACTGATTTGATATTGTTAAACTCGTCTTGCGAGAACACCTCCTGGAAGTCATCCAGCCACGAGTCGTCTTTGGGCATCTCCTTGAATCCTGGTGGAAACTGCGAGACAACAATATCAACACCAACCCGTCTCCCACCCTTAGTGTCACCGACTAGAGCGACATAGCCTTCTTGGTGTGAGATATTGTAGTCCACTGCCTTCATTTCCTTTGCATCAAGCCCACTTGCGTTCAAATCAATGGATGGACGACGACCTTCATCACGACTGATCTTGACTTGTGAGATAGGGATGTGATACTGCGCCGCGAGGAAGTAGTGCTGAAGGAGAGCAGAGGCAAGTGCATGCTTCTGATCCTGTGGGAAGTGGTATGACTGGATGTCTTCGTGTAGCGTCTTTGGGACCAGGAAGAGAGCTTTGTTGAACTGTAAGATACGCCTGTTAGCTTTCTTTCCATTCGGAAAAGCAGACTTCGCACCGATTCAGAGTCGTTCCAAATGGGACGGACGTCAATCCAGACCCGTACGCATCCGTCTCCGCTGCCGACAGCACCCGGTGCCTCCAAGACACCACGCACGTCCTGCACGCCGCCTTCCTTCCCATAATGTTCAACAGCCCACCTTAGTACGCTCTTAATCTCTTCCAAACTCTTCTTTCTCAACCCCTCATACTTCTCCAACGCCTCCCCGGTCGGCATCGGCGAATTCGGATGTTTCTTCACATTCTCAATACCATCCACAAATCCCTTGGGATCCTCAAGCACCTCCCTCAACATGGGATGCTTGATATCATCGTACCAACATCTCGCATTTTCGTAATCTCCTTCGATGCGGTGGAGGATTCCATGCCACCAGTCGCCGGTGAGTTCACCTTGCATGTGCCGGCAGAGGAAGTGCGCGGAGTAGAGGTCGTCGTTGAGGAGGTGAATGCCGATTTCGACACGGGGGTCAAGCTGGAGGGCGGAGATAGAGGCGCGGAGGGAGAGGGAGTAGGGGTGGGGTGGATGACATAAGGGTGGAGGTGGTGAGCGGCCGAGGAGGGTGGTGAGGATGTCGTCGAATGTGAGGCTCGCCATCGCGTCGTCGTGATGCCTGAGGTTATGGACGATGGTACGCTGATCTTGGGAGTGAATCTGAATATGGGTTCCGTTGTGCGGAGTATTTGTGTCGTTCGAGTTTTCGATTTCCACTTTCCAGTGGTGACATCAAGACTTCGAATTTGCTTGTAACGTAGACATTGCGCCTTCCCAATTCGGCACATGCCATGCCATCCACCTCATTCAATTAAGCTGCACCAAAAAAACAGCCAGATACGGCCATACCATGATGAAAGCACAGGATCCCGTCCGATCTCCTAAGTTAAGCATCATAGGGCCCAGTCAGTACTAGCGTGGGAGACCAGCTGGGAATACTCGGGTGCTGTATCTTTTGGCTTTTGCACTCCTCAGCTTTTTAGGTCTTGTTCTTGTTAGAAGTTGGTGGAAGCGGCTTAATTCATTTCCCGTTCACTGACGAAGACGTCCTTGTACTCCGAATCTTCCAATTGCGAGCGAGAGAAGTGTAGATGCCTATGAATCACGACGTACACGTGGCACGGTAACATGATCCTACTCGAATTTGGTCGACGGACTTGCAATTCAGCGAGCGGACGGCTTGTGAGAGACTCTGCACGGACCAAGGCAGGTCTCGTATGAAGTCCAAGAAGCTTTTGATCAAGTTACAGGAGCACAAAGAGAGAGCGGATCGCGAACGAAGAAGTATGCATATGAATATATTCAGAGACAAAAAGGTATATACGCTACGTTAATCTTACATCCCCTCAAAACTTATCTTATTCCTTCACTCTTTCACAGACGAGCAGCAGACAATCTATTGCTTCTTCTTCTCACGCTGTCCGTAAGCCTTGGTAGCGTAATCACCCTTCTCCACGATAACATCAGGAGGGTTCTGCTCCTCGCCCTTGATGTACCTCTCAATGATGTCCTTCGTACCCTGCGCATACCTAATCTGCGCATCAAGGGTAGTACCAGAGTAGTGGGGTGTCATCGCGTTTCCTCCACCAAGGGGGTTACGCATCTTGCGCCAAGGGTGGTCCTTGGGAGCGGGCTGAGGGTACCACACATCACCACCGTATCCAGAGAGCTGGCCAGAGGCGAGAGCGTCAGCAATGTCGTTCTCGTTACAGATCGCACCACGGGCGGTGTTGACGAGGAATGCGCCCTTCTTCATGTGGGAGATGAGTTCCTTGTTGAACATTCCTTTGGTGGATTCGGAGAGGGGAGCGTTGATGGTAACGACGTCGCATTGGGAGAGCATCTCCTTCAAGTCGTTGATGCGGCGGCATCCAATCTCCTTCTCCTTCTGGGGGTCGAGGGCTTGGTAGTCGAAGTACAACAACTCCTTACAGTCGAAAGCCTTCAAACGACGGAGGACACGCTCACCGATACGGCCGATAGCAACGGTTCCGACGACCTTGTTCTCGAGGTCGAAGGCGCCGCGGGCGATCTCGGCGACGTTCCAGTTTCCGGCCATGACTTGCTCGTGGGCGGGGACGAAGTTGCGGACGAGGTTGAGGATGGTCATGACGACGTGCTCAGCGACTGAGACGACGTTGGAGCCCGTGACCTCAGCGACCAGGAGACCCTTCTCGTTGGCGGCGGTGAGGTCGACGTGGTCGGATCCGACACCAGCGGTGATACAGGCCTTGAGGTTCTTGGCCTTCTCGATACGCTCACGGGTGATGTAAGCGGGGTGGAAGGGGGTGGAGATAACGATCTCGGCATCGACGATGTGCTTGTCGAGCTCAGAGTTGGCACCCTCCTTGTCGGAGGTAACGATGTACTCGTGACCCTGATCCTCGAGCCACTTGCGGAGACCGAGCTCGTTCTGGACAGTACCGAGGAGACGAGATTCCTCAACGGCGTGCTTACCGCCTTCGTAGAGAACTGCGAGAACCTTCATGTTGTTTGGAGTAGTAGTTGAGAAGTTGCGTGGGAGAGAGGATGTTGCTTGATGAGCAAGTTGAGAGACGGTGGGACGGGCAGCCCTATTTATGGTGGAAGCGATGCGGAACATTGTGGATCGGATCAATTGGTTGCAGTGTGTAGAGGTTGTCAGGTGGTGAGGGGTAATGGAAGTGGACTTTCGGGGCGGAATAAATAGGCGGGAGAATCAATTGAGGAGAAGGGAGGTCTTGGAGGCGCGTGACGTAGCGCAACCTGATCCGCCATTCCGATTAAAACGCGGAAGAAGGTTAAGGGTTTGGGCTGGATCGGCACAGGAATTGCCGTGTACAAGTGGTTGCAACGGCCGTGCGACGGGGAACCTGGGCAGCTCGCGGAGGGCGAACGTCACTGGTTGCTTGCAGCCCGCGCGCCAACGCAAGGGAGCCTCTGATAGGCAGAGGATAGGAGAATTCACACGACAAGCCTACAGCTGCTTTGAACAATCCTCCTTGTCGTACGAATCCTCAGTCGCAATCCTCTCGCTCCCTTCTGCCCCTCGTATGCCTCATCTCCTTATTCACGATCAGCACAATGGCCCACGACAGCCGCGATCACCCCACCCTTCATCTCCTCATCCCTCGCCTCCCTCCCTTGATCCGATATCTCCCTCACCAGCAAATCATCCGTATCGCATTCCTAGAAAGAGGTATCCTGGTTTCACCGTTAATTTCACCTCCAGGTGGCGTGGAGGAGGGGGCGAGCCTTGGAGCACCTAGGAGGGGCAGGGTGGGGCCCCAAGTGGAGCACCCCAGCGGTGCCCCACTTTGACGGGGGATTTGGGCATGCCCCGCTGGGACATGTGTCAGAGGTAGCGACGTCGAGAAGGATAAGGCGATGAGGCACCCAACGATTATCAGAAGGTAAAAGAAAGAAAGGAGAAGGAGAAGGAGAGGAGCAGAGTAAGAATGCAATTGACGTCACGGACTACAGATCACGATGTCCCTCGACCTCGTCCCCGTCTACCCACCCTACGTGACAACCCCCGCTCATCTCTTCCCAGTGATCGACACGTCAGTTACCCACCCCTCGGGCCATTCCCCAACCCACGCCATCGCCTCCAGCTGTCTCATGATCCATCAACCCCATGCCCATCTCAATCGGTTATGGCATCTCTCATCCTTTTCGACATGATCATCAACCCTTACGCGTACACTTCCCCACCTCGAAAAATTCCCTTTGACGCTGATCCACGAACTGTTGACGTGTCATGCCATGGCGGAGAGGTCCGTGTGTTCCATTCCACCGCAATGGCCGACTTATCCGACTTTCCCGCTCGTTACGAGTTTCTGTATCGCGGCTGGCGTGAAACATCGGCATGGAGGTCACGTAAAGTGGTGAGACCAGTGTTAAAGATTGACAACGAGAATACTCCACAGTCATGGGGCTTGAGGAGGACTGGGAGGCATGATTGGAGGGGTGACCCCGCTCGAGCTCTGGTGCTGTGCTTCAGGATCACGTTGGTTCTCCAGAAGGGATGTCTAGTTCTATGATCGCCGTGACGTATCACCTCCTGATACATAGCTTCCCGTGATCACATACAGGCCTGCACTGGTGAGGTTGGGAGAGAGTATGGGATTCGAAGTGCAGAGTCCGTACGGTTCGGTATTCACGTCCTCAAGAAGCAGGTAGGAGGAGCGACGCAATCTTGTAGATGCGATTTCCAATCGTAGTAACAGTAACTTCGAATTGGTCTGTGCTCTTTATCTCCTACTTAAAGCGTTGACAAGTGTCTCTTCAAAATCTCTCAGGTCAAGTAGCTATGCCACACGTTTGCGGCTAACCTTAAGGTTGACGATGATCGGACAGCTACAGACTTTTGAGTATGAAACGCAACGAGTGGATTTACTACGATGGGTTCCAGTGCGTTGAGCGTGTTCTTGGGCACCATTTCCGGCAATGAGCAAGTGCCCACCGGCTCATCGAGCTCGAGGACGCGTGGGAATAACATGCCAAGATACGACGAGGGTTTGAGACCGAGGAAGAGAAGTTCTGAGCCGGTGCAGCTCTTAGAGAGTCAGCACAACGGTATAATTGCTTTACTGTGCAAGATGCTCTGCGTTTCGATTGTCGTGAGCCCCCTTGCCCTTCCCTACTGCTGGAGCGGCCCGTCTCGAGCACGAACGCCCATGAATGTGACAACCACGACAAACGTGAATCCATTAGAAATTTCTGCTTCGTTCTGGTGTGTCAATTGTCTTTGAGTAAGCTACAATCGGAGCAGAAACGAAAAGATACAGCACCCGAGTATTCCCAGCTGGTCTCCCACGCTAGTACTGACTGGGCCCTATGATGCTTAACTTAGGAGATCGGACGGGATCCTGTGCTTTCATCATGGTATGGCCGTATCTGACAGTATGTCCAAAATAACATAAACAAACACGTATTTACCATCGTATCCAGACGTTCCGTCTCACGGTATATAAGGTATCCGCCTCTATGTACATACATCCACTTCGACCTATCACAACCTTGCCTTCTTCGCCCGATCCCGCCACTTCATCTTCTTAGGTTCCCATTCCCTACTCTGCCTCGTATCCAAAAACCTCGGAAACGTACCTCTCCCCGTCACCCCCGGGGAACCGCTGCTTGAGCTCCTTCACAAACTGCTCATCTGTGAAGCCCAGACCATTATCCCTGACGCGCAACTTCTGCTTCAAAACCTCCTGCACAACTTTAAGGAACTTTTCCTTGCCTTTGTGCTCTGCAAGTGGTTTAATTTCGATAAGTTGGCCTGTCGGAACGTGCAAGAGTTTATACTTCCGACCTGGCTTCCCCTTTGTATCGAGCAAAGCGTAGGTCGCTAGTTGTAAGACATGCTCCGTACGCAATGTGTCCGTCCACTTCAACTCAAACACGGTATTGTAATCGATTGCATCAACCCTTCCACGAACCGGCTGATCCTGATCACCCGCGGGCACACGATCCTGAATACGCACCTCATACCTGGTCTGATCGCCCAAGTGATGGCGTAAACTTCTCATGCCCTCCGTGAAGTATTCTTCCGTCAACCAGTTATACCGGTTCCGCGGGAGCGACACTAACTTGGTCACGTACAAAGATTGTAACGAGTTCGCCACGTTTGCCAAGGATGAAGAGTCACCAAGCGACATATATGCCGGATCAAGCTTCTGAAACCCATCTTCTGCCAATCCCCGTCCTCCTCTGAAGCCTTTTGGAATCCTCCAGGACGTTCTGGAGGTGATATCCGCAACCCCTTCCTCCAATCCATTCGGTAGCCTTTTACTGGTATCAGGCCGTACGCGATACATTCTCGCCGGCCTCTCCAATACACACTCAAAGAAACTCAACATCAAACTTGTCCGGGACGTTTCTTGTCAAGACCGTTCCCGCGCCATCCACTTTTTCCTTTTCGTATGAGTTCTTCCTCCTCAGCGCCAATTGCTGATCTTCTTGTTCCACCTCCGTAGCGCTTCAACGCGACAACCTCACGATACTTCTTCAACTCCTTCCTTGTCCGGTCTCGTCCCGCATGCGGCAGAAACCTTCTGGAAAGGTTCTTTGTGATGGTGTATCAAAGTCAAAAACTTCTTTACTCGAGTCGCGCCAACATACTGCACGTTCGTACATGCTTCGTGGTACTTATGCCCAGTCCTGTCGAAAAACTGGTTGAAGTAACTCTCGTCGAAACTAAAATCAATCGCCGCGTCGCGCTCGATTCCCTTCACCTGAAGGTACGACACAAACAAGATCTTACCATCCGAGACACCTGGCGGAACTTCCTGCCCATCCGTAGATGGGACAGATACCGCAATCGTTCAAAGAGCGAGAACGTCGTAATGGAACAACAGAGAGGAAGAAGTAGTAGTAGAAGCAGAAGCAACAAAGTACATCTCATTCAATTAAGAAAAAAGCATAAACCTAACCCGTCCCATACAAACACCGGCTCAAAAGAAAGAGGAAAAAACCCGACACAACGACGCTCAACGTAAACGCTTGCTCAAAACAGACTTCAAGTCTAGTCATACACTTCCCTTCTTGATCTCCTTTTCATGCAATACAACTCGTCCGAGCGGAAAAGAGGTTACACACGGTCCTCGACCATGGGCTCACCACGAGCACCACCAGTCAAACCACCGGCACCGCCACCGAGGTGGTGGGGGAGCTTGTTGGCGGCACCACCGTTGGCCTCGACCTTAGGGGTCTCACCGACGAAGGTCTGGCAGACGGCACCACGGCCTTCAACGGAACCACCAGCGGCGCGGAACTCCTCCATGGTCATCGTAGGCTGGACAGTAGGCTTGTGACTGTCCCAGATTATTAGCATACATTCGATGAAGATGAGAAGAGAAAACCGGGTAAGACGTACACAATAGGAGCCTCAGTGATGTGCTCGTGGATAGGCACAGTAGTATGCACAACTTTGGACTGAACAACCTCCCTCTCGATCACAGGCTGAATAACCTCCTGAACATGGTGGTGGACGTGCTCGGTGGCGACAGCGCCCTTGTTGACCTCGACACGCTGGGTGGGGAGAACGGTGCGCTCATCGTGGAAAGCGGCAGACTGAGCCTCGAGAGCACGAGCGGCTTCGGGGGCCATCTCGGCCGCGACACGGCGCTCGGTTACGGGGACGACGTTGTGGACGTGCTCCTCGGCCATAACCTGGCGGTCAGCGATGGGCCTGTAGGTCAATAGTTAGCATATAATTCCGGCGCGAAATCGGGGATGAATGCGGGAGAAAAACGTACTGGACGCGTTGCTGGTAGTGAGTAATGTGCCTCTCACGGTCAATAGCCTCCGTAACCTCCTCCCTCTCGTTGGCCTGAACGACCTCGTGAACAACGGCGGGCTTGACCTCCTCGCAGACATCAGTGGTGTCGCGCTGGCCCTGGACGAACTGAGCGGCAGTGTTGGAGATGGAAGACATTATGGTATAGGTTGGTTTGGGTTGGTTTGGTTTGCAAGTGTTTGTGTTATGGGGAAAGTGCAGTGGACGGGGGATGTCGAGGGTTTATATGCGATGAGAGGAGCAGGCTAAGAGGTGTGGTGACGTCTGCGCGAAGAGACCAAGATTCGGGAGGAGGGTGACGTCATAATCAAAACACGGCGAAAATCAGGGGGGGCAGCCGCAGACCGAGACGACTCGACAAAGGCATGACAGCTCCCCCCCATTCACCAATTAACAAAGCTCTTTCTGGTCCCCCCCTCCCAATCTCGGCGTCGTTGCCCTGCGCAACCTGCAAGCTCCCCACACAGCAAACAAGCATGCGATCATTGACTACGCCCTAACGGCGCTAACCCCCAACTCTTATGTCACAGCTTCTAGCGAGGGGCAAGGCGATCCAGGGTTCGGTGACAGCGAGCGACGGCGGAGCTAGTGGGTGGCCACTTACGCTGGGGTTGCCACTGCTGGCTGACGAGGGTGGCGATGCAGTTATGGACGAACGGCAGATGTCAATTCTGGTGAGACGAGACACGGCCCATCTCCAGCATCGAAGATTAGGTTTGCTGGTGATCTGCGACGGGTGCTGGATTACCTAAGCCTGCAAATGCAATTGAATGCTCGAGTTCGATGACCTACCGTAAGATTTCCCGTAGGAATTGCAATGGTGTAGAAAACAAGAATTCGAAGTTTATTCGGTACCAGACCACTAGCATACAACCCCCAATCAACGTCTTCTCTTTCCAATTCATAGCATCCATCGCAACCAGAACGAATAAGCTTAAGCATTAACGAACCACAGCCATTACTCATAGCGAACAAAAAAGACCAGTCCGTTCCTTCCATTACACCCTCACACCGTCCTCCTTCCTCTCGCTCACCTCATGCCTCCACAACCTCCCCGGCGCAATCCTCCCCTCTCCCTCAAACCCCTCCACGCCCTCGATCCCCGTCTTAGGAAGAACATAACCACCCCCCGCACCCACACTAACACCCCTCGCAACCCCCAACCCAACCGGCTCCACAATCCCCGTAGTAGAAAGCACGTCCGGCCGTCCCTCCTCAACCGCAACCTCATGCCACTGACGCTCAACAACAAGGAGCGCATGTCGACGCACAACCTCACGCGCAATAGAAAGCTCGACTTCAGTCGCTTCTTTGAGCGACGAGGTCTGAACTTCGATGAAGTCCTCGATGCGGTTATACACGTCATTCGTCGCGCTCTCCTTCTTCACGACCTCGATGACCTTCACACCCTCAACTCCACGCCACTCGACAGGAGTCAACCCATACTTTGCGTTGATTCTGTCCGAATCGAGTTCATACCACCTGCCGTCCTCTTTCTCCAATACGTGGATAGGTGGCAAGAAGACTCGCTCCAACACGGGTACAACCAAGGGCTGCACATGTGTAACGTGGCGATCGCGGGTGATGACTTGCGTGAATTCTTCGCGTTCGTGGGGGATGACAGTTTCGTGGATGACGGGCGGGGCGATGGTGGAGGTAAGGTCAGTCGTGTTTGGTTGCGCACGGGACGCGATCCATTCTTCCGCCGTTAATGATCCCACGCCACTCTCAAACCTGGACTCCTGAGCAAGAGTCGGGCTTTCGCGAAGAGCTGGAGCGGCGGTAGAGGGTGGAGTAGGTTCAGCGCTCCTCGGGTGCTTCGGGTTATCTCCCTCGAGGCGTGTCGTCGGCACCTGACTCATGAATTGGTCCGCAATGGGCGTTCTCTCCGCACCCGCGGGAACGGGCACGGACCCACCGGCTCCAGCACCAACCGCGCCCGCAGCCTGCGCAGCTCCAACAATACTCGCATTCGGCTGAAGAAGGGTGGTCGTAGGCGCCGGGGCAGCAGGGAGGTCTTTGTTCACACGCTGCCGAGTGGGAGAGTTGAGTCCCATATTTTGCGTCTGGTTCGCGAGCTCGGAATCCTCATGAATCGTATCATGCTGCAAACTCGTTCGCTTCCTCTGCGCATTCGGCGAAGATTGGGGGGAGGGGTCAGCGCGGCCTTTTCCCTTCTCGGCGGCGGTAGGGGAGGAGGAGGTTTGGGAGTGGGAGGAGTCGAGGGAGCCGGAGCGTTTGTGGATTAGCTTTTTGAAGGAGTCTTTGATTGTCATCGTCGTCGGTTGATGGTGACAGGTATATGTGGTGGTGTAGAAGGATTGATGGGAGGGCGAGTGATATAAGGTGGGTGTCCTTTGGTGGTGAGTTTTGGGAACCTCGCCATCGGAGGCGAAACATGTGACGTCACTCCGATTGTCAGACGCGGCTTTGACAAGTAAAGCACGTTGGTCTAGAAGATGGGACTCGAAAAAGCATCTGTGGCGATCAAGACTCAGATGTATGCCATGATTAAGGTTGTGCGTGGGCGCACTCCTGCGGCATCTGGCACCGAGGACCGATTTCGAATTCCCCAGTCAACGTTACACCAGCCGACCCCCCGGATCAACATCGACTATGTTCGCCCGTCCAATTCTTCGGAGCGCCCGCCTCCACCCCCGCCCTTCCCTCACAAAACCCTTCTCCACCACCCAGTTTCCCCGGGCAGCAAAACGCCCATCCACTAATCCCTTCAAATCCAACCCCAGCCCCGGTGCCGAATCACCCTACAAGAAACACATTGGACTCAAAGTCGGTATGATCTTGTCCATGATATACATGGGTTACCAACTCCTCACCATTGACCCATCCAAGGAGGGGCATATCAAGCCAAAGACTTTTGAGAATCAGTTTTTTGCGCCATTTGAGGTGGAGAAGGTTGAGGATGTCTCTCCCACTACGAGGCTGTTCAGGTTGATCCCGACTGAGGGCACTGTGGTGAAAGAAGAGCAACTCCAAGCAATCGGCCATGTCTTTGTCAAAAACCCAACAATGCAAATCGAACGTCCTTACACACCAACATCATGGTCCCCTTCGCACATCGACCTCCTCATCAAAGCTTACCCAGATGGTGAGATGTCACGGTACATCCATCGCCAGCAGCCCGGTGAGATGATCCAGGTCAAGGGTGTTTATGAGACGTGGAAGGTTGACAGGGAGGTTGAGGAGGTTGTGTGTGTTGTTGGTGGAACGGGAGTTGCGGCTGCCAAACAGTTGGTAGAAGAAGTATGGCAGAAGGCCCCTAAGGAAGGAAAGGAGGAGGCGGTGGACAGGTGGACTCCGAAGATTACTGTCGTCCATGCCGCCCGCGACCCGTCCGAGCTCATTTTCAAATCCGAATTCACCAAGCTTGCCACCTCCAACCCCTCCTTCAATTACCACCCCATCACTGACGCCCCATCTTCCGCCACCACCAGAATTACAGCCGACACGTTGAGGAAGTTGTTCCCAACAGACACTGGCGACAAAGAGAAGGAAAAGAAGAGGATTGTGTTGGTGTGTGGCTCTGATGGGTTTGTCGAGTATGTTGCTGGACAGAAGGGTGTGGGAGAAGGAGAGTTGGGGCAAGGTGTCTTTGGGGGGTTATTGAGAGAGATCGGGTGGAGAGGGAAAGTGTGGAAGTTGTAAGCGAGCGGAAGCGAGCTGCTCGATCGATGGTCGAGGGCGGGAAGGAGATACGAAGGAAGTTGGAACACTGCGCTAAAAGGTCAAGATCTACGACGCAAGAGACGGCAAGTACGTCGACAGAGGCATAGACAGACGATACCTAATAGTTAGATGAAGAGCATCTTCGCACACCCAACCAAAACCACAAAAAGCAAAAAGATACAGCACCCGAGTATTCCCAGCTGGTCTCCCACGCTAGTACTGACTGGGCCCTATGATGCTTAACTTAGGAGATCGGACGGGATCCTGTGCTTTCATCATGGTATGGCCGTATCTGGCTGTTTTTTTGGTACAGCTTAATTGATTGAAGTCGAAGTTTAAGGTTGCAGGTAAGATGTGAGTAGACGTCACACGGCTCAACAGCGCACATTTACAGTCAACTCAAGACGTCCAGCCCATTACAACTGATCTGCTCCGAAAACCGACGACAATTCACCGAGAAATCACCAATGTCTGACTCTTCACCCGTCTACTTCTGGAAACCCGATCACCCCGTCTGGGGCCTCCTCTCCAACTGGTCCCCGACCCCCTTCACCGATCCCACAACCAACATCACCTACCAAACCCTCGAACACTGGATGATGTACCAGAAATCCCTTTTGTTTGGTGATGAGGTGTGTGAGATGTTGTTGTCCTCCTCTTTCGAGACCTTGACTGACATTTGACATAGAAAACCGCGAACGAGATCCTTGAGGTTCCGGGGACGGAGCCGGGGCGGGTTCAGGCGCTGGGGAAGAAGGCGAGGGGTTTTGATTCGGGGAAGTGGAATAGAAGTAAGTATGAGCTTGTGCTGAGGGGGTGTCGGATAAAGTTTGGGATCTTACCGAAGTGTCGGGACCTGCTGTTGTCTACTGGAGACAGAGACTTGATCGAGGCATCACCGAAAGATAGGGTTTGGGGCGTGGGGTTTGATGAGGAGACGTTGAGTACGAAGGATATCGACAGTGAAGAGTGGGGAGAGAACTTGATGGGGAGGATATTGACGGATGTACGGGAAGAGTTAAAAGGGGAGATGATGACATAAAGACAATGAAAATAAGTCGAAAGGTCTAACAGTCTAATGCCAATAACGATATACCTGGTATTAAGATTAAGCATGCTCACACAACAATTGCAACTCAGCTGAGACCAAAAACGATGCTTGCCTCCTCGGACCCACACCTCCTACATACCCTGCACTCAAAGTCACACCCTCCACTCCTCCCACCGCATGACCACACCTCACTCATCCATCCTCGGCATACAACTAACAACCGTCCCCCCAACCGCCAACACCACACTAACCAAAAGCACCCCCCAATTCGCACTCCACTCCCCCCACCCCAACTCCCCCCCAAAAATCTTCAAATGATAAACCAACGGCAAAATCACACAAATCGTCATCGCCAACGCCGCTCCCATGAGACTCATGATTCTATCGAACGAAGGGACGAGGATACCGAGGCCGATGGGGATGGCGGTCGTGAGGACGCGGATGAGGATGCGGGCGAGGCCGCGGAGGAGTGGGTTGGTTGGGTGTGCGGAGGATGACGAGGGTGGTGCTGAGCGTGGGTCGAGCCCGAGGAGGATGTCGAGGGTTGTTGATATCGGACGGGTGTTGAGGGGCATTTTGGTGATGGGTACGATTGCGATCGCCCATACCACGCATTTGTTGAGCAAGACGGGGTATCCCTCCAAACCCAAGATATTCTGCGACACCTGATCGAGAACGTATGCGCCGAACATGAGATACCCAGCAACAGCCATCGTCGCATCCAACAAAAACGTAATCGCGTAACTCACGTTCATCGCTTTCCCGAATTTCCGGGGATGATGCATATCACGATACACATTCGGGAAAACCGCATGTCCACTCCACGGCGCCATCAACATCCCCACGCTCAGACCAACATTCCACCATCCTTCTCCCTGAGGCCACAGGTTTGTCGGCATGGGGTGGTAGAGCGAGCCGGGTGCGGAGGATTTGTAGAGGCCGTCGACGAGGACGGCGATAACGAGGAGGATTACGGAGAGGATTCCGAGGAGGGAGGAGAATGAGAGGATCCGGAGGGGGAGGAATTGGGAGGGGAGGAAGATTAGGAAGGAGAGGAGTTTGAAGGTCGTGGATGAGATGGAGGGGATGAGGGCGTGCAATGTATCCCCAAACAAGACCACGAGCGCAACACTATCACCAAAGGTTTTAGCGCATAGGAAGGAGACGGAGGGAAGGAAAGGGAGCGCATACCATGTAGCCGTCAACTCCAAGGAAAACAGCAGCGAAGTAATATACCTCGCCCGCACCCCAAACGCCAAATACCCAATATCAGCATACGTCACCAACGTCTGGTCAACATCCAAACACTTTGCCAAAACCTTGGCCGTATACAACGTAACCCCACCCGTGAAAGCCAAGAACCCCATCCCCAATATCCAGCCTGCGTAGTGGATGGCGAGCGGGAGGGAGAGAATGCCGATACCCATGAGGATGTTGATGGAGTTGCAGATTGTTTGGTGGATTGTGCTTTGACCGAGGATGATGGAGATGAGGTTGCCGTCGTCTAGTTCGACTGTTTTTGTTACTAGGTCTTCTGGTGCTGTAATTTCTTGGCAAGGGAGGTATGAGGAGAGCGATAAACGCCTTCCTACCGTTCCGAATGTCGCGATACTGGCCCGGTGATTCAAGGCCCCATAATCCCTCACCGCCTTCGGCGTCCCATCCCTCTCCCCCCCTCCCACCTCACTCCCTCCACCACCAATACTACTCGCATCATCGAAGAAAGGTCGACTTTCCTCATCCCCTTCTCCAGCAGGCGTCTGCGGAATCCCCTCCAACGTCGGCCGAAACCCCGTCGTCTCAGCCGTATACGAAGACGACGGCAGCTGCAGAGGGATAGCAGACGAAAAAAACCCCTGTGAACGCGTCCATGAGGATGCGAAGCGGTCGATGGAGTTCCAGCCGCCGGGGGGACGGGGTTGTTCTTCGTCGTAGTAGATTCCGTCGGGGAGGGGATGGCCGTTTGCTGCGTGTGCGGCGTGGGCTCGGGGGGTGGTTGCGAGGGAATTTGAGGTGCGGCGGAAGGAGGGGGAAAAGGCTGTTGAGGAGCGGCGGCGGGGACGGGCGGTGATGTCCATTCCGGCTGCTGGGGTTGACATTTCGCTTAAGCTTGATCCTTTTACTTACGCTCTGGAGCTTTCACGATCACGGCTGATCCGTTTACCCAAGGTTGCTCGACAGCGGGAAGAGCTGGAAAGTAAACGGATCAAAAGCTTTGAACGTTCAAGTCTGAAGAGTCCGCACATTCCCGAGGTTTTGATTACAACAGCCAACTAGCGCAGGAGCTTATCTGGCGTATGTCTGGGCAGCTGGGCGCGAGAGAGAATGGGTGATCCGGGTTTCTACGGGGAGGAGTGCTGACGAAGGGTCGAGGTCTCTTGCCAGCGGAATGGACAGCGATGTGACGGCGAGACGGGGGGGCAGGTCAAGGGTGACGGGGCGACCGGGTGCGGTGCTGTGGGTCCATGCACGCGCACAACCTCGACCTCGACCTCGAGTGGAAGAGCCGAGCGATCCGCAACCTGGCATAGAGATCCGGCTGTCGTCTCATATGATCCACAATGCTTCCCAATCGATCACCCTCCACTTACACACATCGTGCCTATTCTACATGGAAACCTCGATATGTGCCACCCATGTCTTCGCAAACCGAACGAAGAGCCCCCAACGCCCCACCACCACCACCACCCTCAACCCCGGACACAGACTCTGACCCTCTCCACAAACCAACACTCTCCCAACTCCGCACCAGCCTCGGCTGGACAAACGAATCCGAACGCACAGCCTTCATCCAAACCTACCGCTCCCACGACCCCACCCTAAAGACCCAAAAACCCCTCCGCTGGATCCCCGCCAACACAACCAACATCACCTCCCACCTCCGCTCCCACTTGGCCTCTCACGACCCGAAGAGGGATAAACCACTCACGATGATGTTGAACCAGATTGCGAAGACGATTTGCCACGATCCGAATTGGGCGGACCCGATGACGGAGTGGGAGAGGAGGGGGTATGAGGAGAAGAAGGAGAGGGCGTTGAGGGCGAGGAAGTGGGTTAGGGTGGGGGAGAAAAGGCCGAAGGTTGGGGAAAGGAGGAAGGCGCAGGATGATATTTATGCGAGTTTGTGGGGTCCGGGGGCGACGAGCACGACGGAAGAGTCACAGTCGCAGTCGCAGACGAAGCCAGCGTCGGCGTCGCAAGAGTCAGAACCGCAGATAAAGGCGGAGCAGGCGGCTGCAGTGCAGAAAGAAGTCGACGACTGGATGACCACCCTTATCGAAATCGGCTCCTCGCCTGAGCACGAACAAAAGCAGCAAAATCCAGTCCTACCAACCCCAACCTTCACTCAAGCAAGCGGCTACGGCGGGCATGACGACCCCGCTTCCTCCTCCACCCATTCCCGCCCCCCATCCCGGGGGCTGAGGAGGTTAGAAGTTATGCCTCCCAGGTGGGATGAGGTCAAGACTAAAGAGACCACGAACACGAACACGAAGCGGGAAGAGTTAGATGAAACATGGAAGGACCAGGATGAGCTACCCACGCCAGAAGAATTCGACTCAAACCTCCTCGAATCAGAGCTCGAGCGCGCGAAGGAGGCGATGCGCCGGGCTGGGGTGAGAGGGGGGGATGAAACTGAGGCGCCGGCGGCGAAAATTACGTCTGCACGGAGGGGGACGGGGAGGGGTATGGGTAGAGTTGGGCGCGAGGAGGAGGGGTGGAGATGGGGTCGAGTTGGAGATAGAGTTGTCGCTGAGGCGCGAGATTATGGACTCAAGGAGGTGATGAGGATGAACGCGGATGCCGCTGAGGTGACGCTGGCAGACGAAAAATCGAAACTAATGGCAGACTACGCCGCAGTAAAAAAGGCACTCAAGGAAAACGTCCACGCAGACCGAACCACAACCCCCGACCGGTCCAACGGAGTCCCCCTCTCCACCAACCCGAACGACGACAACTCCTGGCTCGAACGCTTCGAACACAAACGCACAAAACTCAAAATCGAAAAACTCTACGAACGCGCCGTCCGGGAAGAAAAACACGCTGATCGAGCGACGCGGTTCAAGTGGTCGCAGGAGGTGAATAATGTTATGAGGAGTACGCAGCCGAGTTATGGGGTTGAGATTGGGCATGAGCGGGATTTGAGGCCGGCGAGGGAGGAGAAGTTTAGGACCAAGTTTGGGGGGCCGGAGCTTAGGCCGGAGTGGAGGGTGGAAGAGGTGGATGTTGGGGACGGGGGGCGGGGGAATCCGGATTTGCGGAGTCGGTCATCGGTGCCGGTACGGAAGAGGGGTTCTGGTGAGGAGTGGTTCCGGAGGGATACGGTGGGTACATTGGGTCGAGCTGAAGCTTCGCGGAGCTCCCGAAGTGTGGAGACAGCTCCCCCGTCAAGGATTCCCACGAAGGCGGCACGGGCCCCGATGCCGCCAACATTCTCCAAAGCCACGCCAATCCAAGTCGATACCGATACCATTCGATGGTTGGAGACCGAATGGGACATCCCCGACGACAAACCCCCTCAACAACCCAAAGACTCTGGACCCGCGGCAGATATCGAAGCGCGGTTCAAGGATATGACACTTGCTGTGGACATGCTGCGTGAACGAGCCGCGTTTATTCCGGCTAGAGAAGCGGAGAGGAAGAGAACGGAGGCTTTGCGCAGGCCTCGGGATGAGCATAGGATTATGAGGGATACATAAGTCGTGAAAGACATTTTGATGTTCACCAGGGGACCATATGATTCATTTGCGTGAGCATCGTTGAGGGAAGAGGTAGATATGCATGGAAGTCTTTGGCGTTAGGAGCATTAGCATCTTGTTACTTGGCTAAATACATATACCTACCTAGGTATTTACCCACGCCTGCATCACTCATGGACTAGAGCAATATCGAGAGTGGATTAGAGTCAGAATCGACAGCATGAATTGAGGCTGTTGGGGTTCGGATGAACGGATATGAAGACAATGAATTCGAAGCTGAGATACCACAGCGCTTCCATTACCATTAGACCTACGAGATACCTGACATCTCCCTTTCCTAAACTCCAAAAAGATACCTTACTCATCCCTTCCATTTCCGTCTCCTCCCCTCACCGTTCCCTCGTCCTATCGTACGCGGCCTACCCCGTCCTCACCTCCTCATCCTCAACCCTCAGGCCCTCCTCCCTCCTCGCTTCCTCCTCCTGCTCTTCTTCCTCCTCCGCCTCGACATCACTCCCAGCATCATCCCCCTCTTGCTCTTCCTGCTCCTCCAATCCCAACCTCTTGACAACCCTCACAACAATCGTCCCCACATCGGCCATCCCACCCATCCCCAAATCCCCACACGCCAAAACTTTCTCCACAGGATCCACGAACTCGACCCAACCCTGTTCCTCTTTAACACGGTCCATGTGGCGTTTCGTCGCGGGGTGGGTCCACATGTAGGTGTTCATTGCCGGAGCGGCGAGGATCGGGCGGTCGGGGGACCAGGCGCGCAGGACGGATGTACAGAGGTTGTCTGCCAGGCCTTGCGCGAGTTTGGCAAGCGTGTTTGCGGATAAGGGCGTGAGGAGGCAGATATCTGCCCAGCGTCGTAACTCGATGTGGAGAACTGGTTCCCCAATCCCGGTCCATACGCGCCACTCATCTTCGTCTTCCCAGATTTTGACGCAGGCAGGTACTTCGGCGGTGTCGAAAAAGCGTTTCGAGGCTTTCGTGAGGACGAGTTGGATTGAGACGCCGCGGTACCTCAGGAGGGATTTGATGATGGTGGGGATCTTGATCGACGCCACAGACCCCGTCGCACAGATCAAGATATGATGACCCCTCTGCTCCTCCCCCTCAGCGGCACCGTTTCGTTCTTGTAGGAGCGCCGGCGCATAACTATCATGCATCATAACACCCTGTCCGTGTCCGTGTCCGTGTCCGTGTCCATCCTTCCCACTCACATTTAAACTCGCCAGACTAGCACTCAACGCACTCCTCACACTCGGCACTGGACTCGTGCCCCGAGCTGAGGATGAGCCCCTTCCGACGGAGGACATCGGACTGGAGTTATCGTCGCGAGGTGGACGGGCGGGGAGTACGAATTGTGGATGGAGGTGGCCGTCTGCGTTACTTGGTGCGCGCGGGCGAGGCGAAGACGTCGTCCTACTCTCCTCATTCCCGATACCAGTACCATGCCCGGTCAACACTGAAGCTGTTGGCCTCATGGGGTTGGAGGAGGGAATGGGCGTAGGGTGCGTCGACGGCTCTCTACCGGTACCACTCCCCGGTGGACTCGGCGGCGGCATACCACTCCCCTTCACACCCATCTCTCCCTCCATGCTTAACGCGCCGCTGTTTGTAGGAGATGGACTCGGTTTGATGGCGCTGGGTGAGATGTGTGTCGTGCTTGGCGGGAGATGGAGAGGGACTGTGCTCGTTGCGGCGGAGGTTGTTTGTGTTGGCATGATTTGATCTGCTTGATCTCGCTGTTGATCCGCTTTGCTATTCGTCCTCGTTGACTGGTGGTGAACTGATCGACTTGGTGATGATCCTGGGTAGATCCTGCTCCGCTTATCTCATGGTTGAATGGCTCGGTACTCCGGACCCCGGTGCTATATACCCCAGCAGCCGCGGGTGACGTCGGCCGCGGCCCTGGCTCGGATCAGCTCCAGCACTGAACCCTCCATTTACTACAACAAACCGATCCATCTCCAAAATGCCGTCTGACGCCTTCGACACCTCTCCACGCCTCTTCCGCTTCCGCTTCCCCGCGCTCCCTTCCTTCCTTCCCTCCCTATCCTCGACTGGAGTTTACATCGCCGGTGCCCTCTTCGCCCTCGGTTTCTGGGCTTTCATCGACGCGGCGGTGTATTCGAAGGTTACATCGGGCGGTGAGGTACATGTTACCTTCGTTGATTGGATTCCGGGGATCTGCTCGGTGTTGGGAATGATTGTGTGCGTGTGCTAGAACCGAGTCTTCCTTAACCATTTGCTAATCATACGCACAGCATCAATTCGATTGATAAGGCACGGCTCAATGGGGATTCGTTCTCGTACTCTGGAAGTGGAGTTGCCTGGAAGGCGAGACTATTTTTGTTCGTCGGGTTTGCGTTGATGGCTGGTGGATTGGCTGGATCAATTGTACGTTCCCTTGTGCTTCCTCGAGGATAAGAATCCCAGGAGCAATTGCATTTCCCGCGTAATGTTTTTCATGAGTACTAACATAGCTCTCCAGACTGTCCTCACGTTGAAGTACCTCCTCCCCAACTATCCTTACCCCACGCTCTGGTTCGGTGTCGCGAACGTCCTAGCAAACGGCTTGATCATGTTGAGTTCGGCATTGTTGTGGGTGGTGCAGAACGCAGACGACAAGGATTACCAGTACAACTTGACGATCTAAACCGTCGGTCTTGGGAAGAAAACAGAAGATAGCTATAGCGCAATGCCTCGAGCCGATCACTTGCGTCGAAGGAGAAAGAAAGCAAGCTCAACAAGGTTGACTACTATTTTGATTTTGGTATCAATTGTGTGTAAGGAAGGACACAAATCTCCTCCTTCAGAAGAACGCCCGCTCATGCTATATTTTCCGTTTTCCCACCTTTCACCACCCCACCGTACTCCATCCCTCTAGTTGTAGCTACACGTTTCGCAGAAGTACACGCTTATTTGCCCTTGAAGTCGGGGAAACAGGCCTCGAAGGTCTTGCCGTGCTTGTTCTCGGCGTGCTGGGCCAACTCAGGCTGACGGGTGGTCATGAGGAAAGTCTGGAAACAAGTCTTGCAGATAACGTTCTTGGCGGTCTCGTTCTGCCGTAGACGTTAGATAATGGAGTAAGAGAGCGAACGATGGGGAGAACGTACGACTTTGAGCTGAGACTTAGCGGTAGCACCCGTGTTCTTCGCGTTACGCTCACGCTTCTGCTGGGCCTTGGCACCCTATGTGAATTGTCAACAAACTGCGTACCATGATGGTTATCCAGTTACTAACGTTTCCCATTGTATAAGATGATAAAGAGAGACTGTTCTGTTCGTGGTCGAGACCGTTGTTTTTCTCCCTCCTAAAAAAGTTAGAGGTGCACTCCCGTGACTTACCCTGATCTCCACACTTGTCCCTAAGCCTGTCAAAATCCCGCCGTAAGGAAGATCACCGACCGAGAGAAACAAGCGACGTGCGACAATACCATTCCTGGCCTTCCATTCAATGCCCTGAGTGGCTCGTCCGCATCGCCGTTCTTCGTTCTATCCTTTCTCCGAGAGAGAGATCCTGATAATCTCAGCATCGTTCCATAAGCCGCCAATGGATCTTCAATCTCGAGCACGGCTCGCGCAAGAAAAGTTGAGGAAGCAGAAAGGAGTAGGGGGTGGGAGTGTGAAGAGAGATGATCCGGTACAGGCTGCGAATGTGAGGGCGAGGAGGAAGTTTAAGGTGTCGTTGGCTTTGCTGGTGGGCGTTTTCTTGTGGTTTACGGGGTTGCACATTGGTGGATTATACCTCTTCACGAGGGGATTCTTGCTGAATCGGATCGTGTTGGATAATGTCTCTACGATGGATTCATTGGCATCAATAGGAGGGAACGCATATGATGGTGGGTGGCATCCCAAGATTTTTGACAAGGTCGTCATTGTCGTCATCGATGCCCTTCGTTATGATTTCCTTACGCCCGTGGAGGGGAGTTCAGCGGCATATCATAACGCATTTACGTTACCACATGAGTTGAGTTCTGCACACCCGGAAAACTCTCTGCTCTTCGAATTCATCGCCGACCCGCCCACGACCACTCTTCAGCGCCTAAAGGGGTTGACCACCGGCTCCTTACCTACCTTCATCGACGCCGGATCGAACTTTGCGGGTACGGCGATTGAGGAAGATAACCTCATCCACCAACTCAAGGCACAAAACAGGACTATCGCATTTCTCGGAGACGATACCTGGACTAGTCTTTTCCCCGGCGCATTCGATATCTCACATCCCTACGATAGCTTCAACGTTTGGGACCTCCACACCGTCGACAATGGCGTGAAAGAACACCTCTTCCCTCTCCTTGCGTCAGCAAACCAGTCATCTTGGGATGTCCTCATCGCGCATTTCCTCGGCGTCGACCACGCTGGACACAGGTACGGTCCAGACCACCCCGCCATGACCGGAAAGCTGGGAGAGATGAACGAGGTCCTCACCCGCGTCGTGGAGCAGATTGCGGATGATACGCTTCTGGTAGTATTTGGTGACCACGGGATGGACGGTCGCGGTGATCACGGTGGTGATTCGTATGATGAAGTAAGTGCAGGTCTCTGGCTTTACTCCAAAGAACCACGATTCGCACCCATGTCGTCCGGACGGAGCATCAGCCAAGTCGACCTCGTACCCACCCTCGCTCTCGCCTTGGGTTTACCGATTCCGTACAACAACCTCGGCACACCCATACCAGAAGTCTTCCTCGGTCTCGTATCGGATTACACAAATCTTGCATCGGTCACCAAGCTCGCCGCACACCAAGTTCAGCAATATGCTGCAACCTACGGCACAGACCTCGACCTCACCCTAGCCCAATCATTCCTCGACCTTGCATCCAAAACAACGGATGCGAAGGAGCAAGTGGAGTTTTATGTGCAGTACCAGAAAGCTGTGTTAGAGGTGTGTCGACGCATGTGGGCACAATTCGACATGAGTAAGATGGTTACGGGTATCGTGACGTTACTCGGGAGTTTGGGCGTGTTGGCGGGGTATGTCCGCGGTACGTTTACACGGCAGAGCGGGCCCATCGTTGTTGCTGCAACGGTGGGAAGTGGGGTTGGCTCGGTCGTGATCATGCTCGTGGGGAGAATCTTGGGGTTGAGTGGGTTGAGTTGGGGTGAGCGTGCGGTGTTTGGGAGTGGAATGGGTTCGATGATGGGGTATGTTGGAATGTCGGTACTCTCCACGCCACAGCTCGAGTGTATCACCCCCCGAAATGCCTGGGGCTGGCTCGCGGCGTTCTTGACATTGACCCACGCCTCAATCTTCGCCTCAAACTCTTTTACGGTGTGGGAAGACCGCGTCGTCCCATACCTTCTCAGTACATTCGGTTTCCTCGCCCTCCTCCACTCCTTCTCGATCTCAGTCTCGGGCGAGAGGTGGTTAGGTGTGTACCATTCCATGGTATTCATGGGTCTCACGAGGATCGCTGCCGGGATTCGGGTGTGTAGGGAAGAGCAAATGCCGAATTGCGTCAGCACGTTTTACTCGGGACAGAATACGACTGTGTCGAGTCTGTGGGCGTTGATCGGGCTAGGAATGGTGGCACTGTTGCTGCCGGGATTGATCAGGGCGTTTTTGCATCAGACCAAGTCATATGAGGGCCCGGCGTCGATGTTTATCGGTGTTGGGCTGAGAATGGGGTTAGCGTTGGTGACAGTGTATTGGACGCTTGATACGGCCGATAATGGGGAGTGGCTCGGTGAGGGCGTGGAGTCGCTTGGAGTTAAGTTGACTCTGGCGAAGATTGTCCTTGGGTTGGCAGTCGTTGCGGGAAATGTTGCGTGGGCATGGGGACAGCAGCTGTGTATCCGGGTGGATGTGAGGAAGAGTGCTGCTGCTGCTGCGAGTGCTGAGAATAAGGATGGGGTTCAGGTGGCAATTGTCGGGTATGCCAATGTATTTGGGTCATACTATTTGCTGTTCCTCCTAAACGCTTTCTTGGCGATTACACTGGTGTTGAAGCCGATGGGTGGACTGTCCTTTGCGATCTTGCTTTGGCAGTTGCTGACGTTGCTTGAGATTCTTGACCTGAATGGCATCACGGAATCGGCTATTGGCCCGGTTGTTTTGGGCTTGTTGGCTCATGCACATTTCTTCTCGACTGGGCACCAGGGAACATTACCCAGTATCCAGTGGGATACGGCCTTCATCGCCGTGGAGAAGGTCGTTTACCCAATTTCGCCGTTGCTGGTGATTCTCAACACATACGGCGCATTCGTTCTCACCACCCTCGCAGTTCCTCTTCCCATCCTCTGGAAGCGGAACCCGGAGACGTCACGGACGCTGCGAGACGTTGGTGGAGCATGTGCTACTTACATCCTCTACCACGCCACCGTGACACTCAGCGCAGTGATCTTCGCTGGCTGGTTCAGGCGGCACTTAATGGTATGGAAGATCTTCGCACCAAGATTTATGATGGGTGCGTTAGGGTTGACGGTGGTGGACCTCATGGTGGCTCTTGCCGCTGTTGGGTTTGGAGCAGGGAGTACGATAAGCGCTGTTGCGGAGGTGTTTGGATACCGAGCATGACCCTGAGAATGAGAAAAGAGATGGCACGATACGTATACTAATGGAGGCGGCAAGGAAGGAGGGATACAAGCTTGGCATTATACTATAGTTTGGCGTTTGACTTTTGGCATATCGTCGCATACATGGGTGTTCCTATAAATAGACTTCCTTTCAGTTACATACCTTACCCGGCTCAGCGCGTGTCCTCGTCTTCTTCCTTGACCTCTTCGTCATCTCTATCACTTTCCTCCTCGAACCTCGCGAAAGGCGCAACAGTCCCAACAGCGCGTTCTAATACTGCCTTAATTCTACTTCTCAAGGGTTCGAACCCACACTCAACCTCCAGCGTCTCCAGATTCACACTTGCTTTATGATCGTCAACCACAATGTTGCATCCGACATCGGTGCTCGTCAACCATTCACCAAACTGCGCCTCGAGAAACATCAGGACACGCTCCAATCGTAACGCGGGAGTAACATTTGCATGTGAAGGATAGTGCGAGTGCGAACATGACTGATTTGTGAGTTTCACAGATGCCGGCGACGACTCCACTCCAAGTAGGATGGCGAGGACAGCATCGGCAATAGAATCGTTCATGACATTTCCAACCCACTCAATCTCAAGTTCGTACTCCTCCACACAACGAATCGTGACGGTATCCATGACCTTGAACATTGGTCGCTTTTCCTCATCCAGCTCCTTCCGAACAGCACCAAACATCTGCTCGAGATGAAACACGAGCAGGCTCACACCAGCACCAAACCGTACTCTCTGCTTCTCAACAACGATACTCGTCACCAACCCTGAGAACTCCCTCAGATCTTCTGCAGCCATGACACTCATCCCAAAGTCCTTCTGTACTAATACACCGCTCAGTATGACGCCGTTTGCTGGTGGTTTGGTCGCAAGGGATCCGATTGTCTTCGCAATCTTGTCACTGCGGAAGGGAAGCTGGAGAGGCTCGCAGTTGCGGGGGTTATAGATCTTCACTTGATCGTTCCCCTTGTAATGGGACATCAAGTTCGATTTCAAACGGCCCATGTTGTTCTGTTCGCCGTGGACAAGAATGATGTGTCGCGCCCCAATAGCATGGATAAACTCCTGGTTTTGTCTTCCGTCGACATGTGCTGCAAAAGAAAGTTCTTCGACTTGCATCCGCCGTGGTAGCGCCTGACCCGATAATGACTGAATCTCCGGCGGTTCATTGAGAATATGCTTTGCCATCGTACCCTCCACTGAGTAACCCGTCACCAACAGTGAATTCCTCGGGTCTGGACACCACCTCTCCAACAACTCCCTACTCACACCATTCTGTAACATACCCGGACTCGCCAGCATCACACACGGACCCACATCCTCAAACCGCTCCAAACTCCTCAGACTCTGAATATGCTTGAAAATGAATGGATTCCGACCTTCGCCCTTCTCCTGCCCTTCACGGAACTTGCGGCGGATGTTGTCGTTCATCATGTTGATGTAGGTTTGATACACCGCCATACATTTCCGGGCAAGGGAGGAGGCGTAGTAAATCGGGACGGAATGAAGCTCAGGATGGTTCGTCCAGTATTCTTCTAGAATAAGAAGGAGCTCTTGTGCTCGTCCCAACGCAAATACAGGAAGAAGTGCGCGTCCACCTCGTCGTAGTGTTGAATGGATCAAATGAGTTAACCGATTCTCCTTCTCTTCTCTTGGCTGATGTGCTGCTGTACCGTATGTCGACTCGGTAATCATAATATCCGGCTTCTCAGGCGGTACCTCAGCCACATTCAAGTGTCGATCTTCTTCTCTTGAGTAGTCTCCGGTAAACAGGATCTTCACGCCCGCGATCTCAATGAAGAACATAGCCGCACCCAACACATGTCCAGCATGGTAAGGTGTGATCTTGATACCGTCCACAATAACAGTAGAGTGATAATCAATCGTCTCAATCTTCTCATATGATGCCAACAGATCCTTCTCCTCATAAAGCTGGTCATCTGGTCCTACATTCGACACACGGACGAAATCAGACAACAACCACTTGTAGATAGCCTTTGTTGGGTGCGTCATGAACACTCTCCCTCTGAAATTGGTCTTCTGCATAACATATGGTAGTGACGCAGCATGGTCCAGATGGAAATGAGAAATCAAGAGTACGTCGACTGTTGACAGGTCGAATTCGTCGTAGAAGGGTAATGCAGCGAGACCAGTGTAGGCGGGGTGGACACCGGCGTCAAGCATGACGGTCTTGCCCTTGAACTGAATGATATGACATGATCTTCCAACCTCATTGCCAGCACCAAGGTTGGTAAATTCAAGGACATCACTTGGATCCACCGGGATCTCCACCGTCTCGGCCTTGCGTTTCGACATATCAACAGCTGTACCAAGCGTCTTGATGCGCTCGAATTATTTGGAGCGTCGGTGGAAGCACTGTCGAGAAACGTCAGTCAACGATCTGAGATGCGAAACGAGAGAACCCACGTTATGGAGTATGTCAGTAGCGAAACGGCAATCAATGGCAGCCCCAAAGCAAAGATCTCTGCTCTGGTGAACCGTATGGATTGCGTTGTCGCAGCAGGGCTCGCTCGTACGTGCGTGTGCCTGGCATGGTTCGTGCAGTCGGCCCAACACCGCGACCGTAGCAGGCAGCGGGGAGCAAAGAGGAAGAAGTCCCAGCACATCCATCAAGCAAAACGTCAAGGGGGGAATGAGTTGGGTATAGACCAACCTCCAACCGTTTTCAACCAGCCAGTCATCTCGCAGCGCGACCGCGACACGTTAAAGCTCTGGTCTTTCGCGCCGGCAGTTATCCGCAACTTATTTCTTTGATATATATCGACGGATATGGGTGCACTCAGGCGTTACCTCGATGTCGCCATCTACAGATGGAACGTGACGCTTGCGCTTTACATGCTCGAACCCTTTGAGCGAGTTATTGCGAGTAAGTGTTCCCCTGATCGTCATATCGTCATATTGTCACAGAAGGTGTTCAGTGCGCTGACATGGATGTGTGATAGATATCGTTATCATTTTGTTGCTTTTGATGGTTGGATTCAGTATCTATAAGTCTGGGGACTTGATCATGGATCACCTTTAGAGAAGGGGTGGTGAGGGGGCTATACACACGAGTTGATTGGAAGGCGCGGTAGAGGTCCGCAGAAGCTTAAGACCTTCAGATGCAGAGAAAGTATTGAGGCCGGGTCGGGCGTTGGCCATGGAGTCTTTGTTTGAGGTTTTGAGCTATTACTTTGGAGGCATCTAGGAAAAGGGGTTAATATCGAGGCATCTTGGCGAGGACGGATTTACGTTTCGATATCGTTGAAGAGATACGAATGAACAGAACCATCCCGCGCATATCCACGTACTTGAATATAGGGGTCAGTTCCTGCTCGTACGCGTCATGAAGAAATCATCCATCCGATGACGAACACCCTCATGTATACGATACATTGCATACCGATGACTCAAGGATTCAAGTTGATAAAACTACGATATGGTCAATGTAGATACAACCTTGGAAGGCTCTGACAGGCTCGAAAAGTCATGCGTACCCTTCATAACACGACACAAACAACCTGAGATAAAGAGCTCGCGAGCAAAGATCTAAAGGCCAAAAGATACAGCACCCGAGTATTCCCAGCTGGTCTCCCACGCTAGCACTGACTGGGCCCTATGATGCTTAACTTAGGAGATCGGACGGGATCCTGTGCTTTCATCATGGTATGGCCGTATCTGGCAGTCTGTTTTTTTAAAATAGTATATAGCACGAATCCTGCACGATCTTCAATACTTCGGCAGCAGGGAGAAAGGTTCAAGGCGCGTGCAGATTTAAGACGTGGAGGTGGGTATAACAGGAATAGGATGGCCAGGGTAAAGGTAGAGGACGTATGGTGGATCGGTTCGGCGATTTTCTATGGATTATTGTTCGTAAATATCCATTGCCCCGAGCTCGTTATGCCCAATTACTGAGGAGCAACGCCCTTCGCCTGAGCGAACTCCTTCAAGTAGTTCACCAACTTCTCCACACCCTCCAACTCAACCGCGTTATACAGCGAGGCACGAATACCGCCAACGCTCCTGTGACCCTTCAACTGGTACATATCCATCTCCTCCGCACCCTTCAAGAACTCATCCTCGAAACCCTCACCCTGGATCCTAAAGGGCACGTTCGTTCTTGAACGGCAGTCGGCGTCAGCGACGATAGTGTAGAGGGAGGGGTAAGCGGCGAGAGTGTTGTAGAGGAGGGAAGACTTGGCGGTGTTGCGGTCTTCCTGGGCTTGGAGGCCACCACGGGCTAGGAGATGCTCGAAGACTAGGTTGGCGATGTGGACGGGGAAGACGGGGAGGGTGTTGTAGAGGGACTCGTTGTCGGCGATGGTCTTGTAGTCCAACATGATTGGGGTGACGGGGACTCCGGCAGCGGAACATTGAGCCGCATCAGCGCGCTCGAGGAGGTCTTTGCGGATGATGACGATAGTAACACCGGGCATACCGATGTTCTTTTGCGCACCGGCGTAGATGATAGCGTGCTTGCTAACGTCAATCTTGCGGGAGAGAATGTTGGAGGAGGTATCGGCGATCAACTCAACGCCCTCGGGGACTGTTGGTGGTGCAGGGAACTCGACACCGTCGATGGTCTCGTTGTCGCAGTAGTAGAGGAAAGCGGTGTTGGCGGGGTCGGAGGTCTTCCAGGTGTCTTGCGGGGGGATCGAGCCAAACTTGCCGTTCAAGGCCTTAGCGTTTGCGACAACGTTGGTGCCTTGAGGATATAATCTCTTAGCCTCGGCAGCGGCCTTGGAGGACCATGCACCAGTAACGACATAGTCGAGCTTAACACCCTCAACGGATCCCTTCTTCAGCAGTCTGTGAGCCAAGACGTTGTAGACCAAGGCGGAGAACTGCGTGGTTCCACCACCCTGCATGAACAAAACATCGTAGTTATCTGGGATCTCGAGGAGAGTGTTCAGGTTGGCGACGGCGTCCTTCAAGATCTTCTGGGCGGGCTTTCCACGGTGGGAGAGCTCGGCAAGGGACATTCCGCATCCCTGGTAGTTGATCAAGTCCTTGGCTGCCTGCTCGAGGACGTTGGTGGGGAGCGCGGCGGGACCGGCGGCGAAGTTGACGACCTGCTCTCTTGACTTGGACATGTTGCTATGAGTATGGAGAAGGCGGATCGAGGATGATCTTATCGAGGGTGTATCTCGAGGAGTCACTAACGACTTTAACTTTTGCACAGCCACGGGACGGGGACTTGCGTGACAGACATCGCATCAGCCACTTCCGATCCGCTCCTGATCCGTCCAATTCTTGATCCGTTCAGTAGTATTTCACCCCATATCCTTCTCATTTCATCGTTTTCTCCGTCGTTATTTCTTTGACTCCCACCGGGTATCGGTTCTTATCGTCCAATCCCATCACTACCGATTTCGCAGTTGCCGCTTCGAGTCGCCGCTCCCCCGCGCCACGGTCCTCGAGGAACGCCTACAACCTGAATTTCTGGATCTGTCGTGTAACGTTGATACACCCCCTCCACTCTCTCTATTCGGTGCAGATCAATAGCCATGGTCGCACTTACCAGGGCATTTGGCCTTCAGGCTCGCCAGACTGTGAGGTCCGCTCACCTCTTCTCCGGATCTCAGCGTCGTCTCCTCGCCTCCATCAAGACTCCTCAGACTGCCGTCGAAAAGATCGTCCAGCAGTACGCTGATGGTTTGGCGCCCGGTAAGGTCGTTCGCTCCGGTGACTATGTCTCGATTCGCCCCGCACACTGTATGTCCCACGACAACTCATGGCCCGTCGCAACCAAGTTCATGGCCATTGGCGCAACCAAGATCCACGACAACAGACAAGTTGTTATGACCCTTGACCACGACGTCCAGAACAAGTCTCCAGCAAACTTGACCAAGTACGCCAACATCGAGAAGTTTGCCAAGTTGCAGGGCGTTGACTTTTACCCCGCTGGTCGTGGTATTGGTCACCAGATCATGGTTGAGGAGGGATACGCTTTTCCCGGTGGTATGTCTGTCGCCTCCGACTCTCACTCCAACATGTACGGGGGTGTTGGCTGTCTCGGTACCCCTGTCGTCCGTACCGATGCTGCTGCTATCTGGGCCACTGGTCGTACTTGGTGGCAGATTCCTCCTATCGCCCGCGTCGAGCTTACTGGTAAGCTCCCTGAGGGTGTTTCCGGAAAGGACGTCATCATCGCCCTCTGTGGTGCCTTCAACAACGATCAGGTTCTCAACCACGCCGTCGAGTTTGTCGGGTTTGAGGCCATCAAGGGCTTGAGCGTCGACGACCGGCTCGCCATCGCTAACATGACCACTGAATGGGGTGCGCTCGCCGGTCTCTTCCCCGTCGACACTACCTTGATTCAGTGGCTCCGCCAGCGTGCCGACCGCCACGCCTCTCGCCAGTCTGAGGGCAAGTCCCACTCCCGTGTCACCCACGAGCGCGTCGATGCCCTCGAGAACGAGATGGAGTCTATGAAGGCTGACGAGGGTGCCATTTACGCTAAGCGCCTCACCCTCGACCTTTCTTCCCTCACTCCTCACGTCGCCGGTCCTAACTCCGTCAAGATCTCCACTCCCCTCTCCGAGCTCGCCAAGGCCGACATCAAGGTCAACAAGGCCTATCTCGTCTCCTGCACCAACTCCCGTATCTCCGACTTGGTCTCCGCCGCTGAGGTGATCAAGGGTAAGAAGGTTGCGGAGGGTGTCGAGTTCTACATTGCTGCTGCTTCCTCTGAGGTTCAGGCCGATGCCGAGGCCTTGGGTGCATGGAAGGACTTGATTGACGCTGGTGCTAAGACTTTGCCTGCTGGATGTGGACCTTGTATTGGATTGGGTACTGGATTGTTGGAGGATGGTGAGGTCGGTATCTCTGCCACCAACCGTAATTTCAAGGGACGTATGGGATCCCGTGAGGCCCTCGCATACCTCGCTTCCCCCGCTGTCGTCGCCGCTTCCGCTGTTGCTGGTAAGATTGTTGGTCCCGCTGAGTACCCTGACGTCAAGCCCACCGTCTCCATCGAGGCCGCCACTCCTGCCGCTGCTGCTGTTGTTGCGGAGGCTGCCACTACCGAGATCCTCCCCTCCTTCCCTGAGGTCATCGAGGGTGAGATCGTCTGGTGTGATGCCGACAACTTGAACACCGACGCTATCTACCCCGGAAAGTACACCTACCAGGACGACGTCCCACGGGAAAAGATGGCCGAGGTCTGTATGGAGAACTACGACACTGACTTCCACGCCAAGACCAAGAAGAACGACATCCTCGTCGCAGGATACAACTTTGGCTGTGGATCTTCAAGAGAACAGGCTGCTGTTGCTATCTTGTCTCGTGGTATTCCTGTGGTGTTGGCTGGTTCGTTCTCTGATGTTTACAAGCGTAACGCTATCAACAATGCCTTGTTGTGTGTTGACATGCCTTCCCTCGCTGAGAAGCTGAGACAAAGCTTTGCTGGATCGAAGGAGTTGACGAAGAGGACTGGATGGAAGGTGCAGTGGGATGTTAAGACGAGCACGGTGAAGATCTTTGAGCCTTCAGGTGAGGAGTGGAGCGAGAAGGTTGGTGAGCTTGGAAGGTTCGTGCAGGAGATTTACTGTGAGGGTGGTTTGGAGAAGTGGACCAAGTCTCGTCTTTAGATGTGAAAAAAAAGCGAGAATGGCAAGGAAGATATCATATACCGAAATAATTTGTCGACGTGGTCGGCGAGCCCCGAGGGTCATGAGCAATTGATGTTTATGCATAGATCTAGTGCCGAATGACTGACGTACTCCGCGACACAGTTCAATTATATGTAAAAGTAACTGGTGTTTGATCGCATTCCGACTCCAACCCGAACAACACCCGATCTTTGCTATAATGGAGCCGTGGGAAATCCAACGAGATCTTTGCATCAAGCAAGTCACGTAACACCGAATCAGCAGAGGATGGTCAAATCTTGAGGATATGTATATATTCAGATAAAAAGCCTAAAAACGACTCAGTACCATTTGTAGGTCACAGTCATCGGATAGTCAAGAAACACATCTCCTTGCTTCGTCAGTAGTGCCCGTCGCACCACCGGCGTACTCGTACTTTCACTCGCCGTCGTCGCCTTACTGGCCGCACTGGAATAGCCCGACATGCTGGACGTATCTACCAAGTCCATCACGGACGATGTCTTCGCCTGTGCCAGTCCAACCTCATTCCTCTCCAGATCAAAGAAAGCATACGCGAACTGAAGAAACGGGTCACCCAACGCAAAAAATCCCTTCCCTTCCGGTACCGCGATGATAGGTAACGCACACACTACCTTGCCCGCAATCGAGTCCGTGAACGGCAGAAGCGCTTTCGCCAATGGCACGGTGATGTTAACAGCATCCCAACCGAAGGAGTACGTCATCGTCGTATTGGCAGCTAGAACAGCAGAGCAATCATCAGTTTGGAATGCGTAGAGACCGATGTTGCTGTTGTAGCTTGCGTTGATGGAGGATGCGATTGATTGGACGGTTTTGGTGGGAAGCAATGAGACGGTGGTGCCGGAGTCAATTGACACTGCTAGCCCACTCGCATTCGAGGTAAGAACCTCTAGTGAAGCCGCGCCTGGTACGTCGATGGAGACGCTGTCCAGCTGAACAGTAAAGGTGGAGTTTGGTGAGAGACCAGGGAGGAGGGCGAGTTCTCCTTCAAATTTGGTGGAATCAATCCCGCCGAGGATGAGCTCTCCTGTATCGGCGTCTTCGTCATGGTAAACGCTGAAGGATCGTGAGGAAAGTACACCTTGAGAAACAAGATTATCGAGGAGTGTGGGATACGCAGACCCGTTCCCTTCGTTAATTACGACACTTTCCTGCGCTGCAAAACCCATCCCAAGAACGCCGTATGTCGAGGATACCGTCCCTGTCGCTAAACCGAAAGTCTGGTTACTCACAGTCGCATTCCCTATCGAGACGGTTTCTGTCGCATAATCACCCTCCACACTCTCCCCGCCGACATAAGCGACATTGAAACCCGAGTCTCGGTAGACATACGTAGACGAACTCGAATTGTCATACGCGCCCGACGTACTACACGACGCCGTCGCTTCCTTGCAGTATGCACTCGACGCAGACTGAACCCACAAATCACTTGATCCCGTGTCCAGCACGATCTGCACAGATTGTGGAGGAGTACCGATGCTCACTGTAAGATTGGTCAGCGCTCACGTATCCGTGAAGTCTTTTCGCAGTCATCCTACCGTTCACGAAACAAAAGCCCTGTGTTTCCCAGGCATTGTCGAGGTTGATGAGAGCAGCCCTCTTTGCTCGTCTAGAAATCCGGGAATTGCGAGTGTTGGAGATGTTTCGTCTGAATGGCAACGCAAGAGTTCCTTCCTCCGTGCTTGCTCGATCAGGCCTGCAGAAAGGCGCCGTTGGCAAGATATCAAGCTTCGGTGATGCTCTTGGGGCAACATTCTTGGCCGCGACGTAGGACGCAACCAAAAATACAGACGCAGTAAGTGTTGCCTTCATGGAAGACTGTTACCAGTCGTGGGATAGAGGACGACGACAAATCAATCGCAAGTACCCTGGGTGCGTTCTGTTAAGTACCGCCAGCTGGCATCCTCCGCCATGGCTCCAGATTGCGTGATGTCCACACTCATATCAAGGCATCGGCTACGGGCCGCAGCAGCTGTTCTTCAATACCCTGCTCCTATATATAGCCCAGTTGCAGCTATGCCGTCAGCACATTCGCGGTAAAGTGCAGCGGTACGGGTGCACGGGCCGCTTCCGAAAGTTGAACCTTGATTTCAAAATAATTAGCGTTATGTAAGTACAACGACAAAAACGATCAGATACGGCCATACCATGATGAAAGCACAGGATCCCGTCCGATCTCCTAAGTTAAGCATCATAGGGCCCAGTCAGTACTAGCGTGGGAGACCAGCTGGGAATACTCGGGTGCTGTATCTTTTGTCCATCCTTTCTTTTACCTCCCACCTCTTTTATGACTGTAGTCGCCCTTATGATACCGTGACTCTCGTTTCCCACGGAATGTAGCCTCAGAAACTCTCGGGTTCCCACGCGAACATGAGGGACACCACCTAATCTTTTGGCTCCCACGGACTCGCAAGTTTAAGTCATCCGTAAACAAGCAAGGGTTATCCAGAGGAGCTTGGTGGCCGCTGCTTTTGAAGTTTTATGCAGTATACCATACCTTTGTGAACGGTTTATGCTTCGATCGATGTTGTTCTAGCTTCGGCTTTCGCAAAGGTCGTTGAGTGTTAAGTCGGACTTCTTTCCGAGTTATGCATGCGGACGACGCGCAATACGCCAGAATGTTGTCCGTTAGTCGTTCGTACGAAACCTTGGGCTAGGTTGTTCTGCGGTGGTTTGATTTGCGTCGCGCCCAAACACCGGTACCATTATTTCTGGGCTCGTTGAACATACAAAGGTCATACTGAGCGTACGGTCCGAGGTTCCTATGCCATGTAGAACAGCTTTCCGCACGGTTTAAATCTCGTAACTGCTAGCGCTGTTAAAAAAGCCGTGGCAACGACGTGGCATGTGTTCGTTTAGGCGTTGCCGTCGCGGAGTCCTAGGGAAGATATGAACATATTAAAAACGTTGGGCAGTTGTTTACCGAATGAGCAGCGACGTACTCGACGCAATGCGCCCTCAGCATGAGAGCGTTGTGACAAAGCTGTGTGCTGACGTTGGTGTAGTAAGGTGTGCGTCGAACAGATGTCTGATGAACAATGTGCGATGTGGGCAGTTACTGGGTTAAGCGGTAGCGGTAAGAGTTAGATAAAGCATCTCGCGGATCCATAAATTCTGTTTGGCACCGAGGCTAGCTTTCGTGTACTGCCAAACGTACCTAGGCAACTGGCGTGAGAACCTGTGCGATCAGATGACCCGTATAGGTATTAGTGTGAATCAAAATTGTCATCTCATTCCGGCGACGATGGTGTAGTGGTATCATACCTGCTTTGGGTGCAGGTGGTCGTCAGTTCAATCCTGGCTCGTCGCCTTGATTTTTGCTTTATGGCGGCATTCGTCCCGAGCACTGAGAGGCTGCCAGCTATCACGCGTCCAGGTACCCGACGTAAGAGCGGTGGGGGAACCCGAGGAAACTGAACACCAAAGATTCGACCCGACTTGATCCCAAGTTCGAAAGACAACGAAACGACAACCTCAATCGTTCACCACACGGACCTGTCCTGCACTGGCTGTTCTCATCACCCTTCCCCATCAGCAGATCAACCTATTCAGAATGTCTTCCACCACACCCGCTGATCGTGACATTGTCGTCGTTGGGTTCGTCCTCAATCTACCCTTTCTCCCCTCCAACACCCATCACTAACCGCTCCTGCAGTGCCGGCGTAATTGGCCTCACAACCGCCCTAATTCTTACCCAACGCGATCCCTCCATCGCTTCCCGCATCCACCTCATCGCACAACACTTCCCCGGGGACCACTCTATCCACTACACCTCCCCATGGGCAGGCGCCAACTTCTCCTCTGTCGCCGGTGCGGACGAGAACGCGATCAGGTGGGATCGCATGACCTACCAGAAGTTGTGTGAGATGGCCGCCGATGAGAAGATTAGCAAGGAGGCTGGGATCAGGTTCATTCCGGGAAGGGAGGTCTGGGATGAGGATGTGTTACCGGATATGGCGAAGATGGAGAGTTGGTCGAAATATGTCCTGGATGTACGTCTCCCTTACACATTTATAAGCGGACAAGGCAGGTGCTAATGTGAGGCCGGTGTAGTACAAAGTCGTCCCAAAGAACGAGCTCCCAGAAGGAACAGCGTTCGGGATAACCTTCCGCTCACTCGTCGTCAACCCCGCCATTTACCTCCCCTACCTCCTCTCCCGCCTCACCTCCCTCGGCGTCACCACAAGCCGCACCACCCTCCCCTCCATTACCGCCCCCTTTACCATCTACCCCGCGACCAAGGTCGTCATTAACTGCACCGGAGTGAGCGCGCAGACCTTGAAGGGCGTCGAAGACAAGAAAAGCTATCCCACGAGGGGGCAGGTCGTCATGGCCCGGGCTCCGCACGTATGGGAAACCGTTTCGAGACACAGGAAGCAGTCGATTACGTATATTATTCCGCGTCCGTACTCGAATGGTACCGTTACGCTCGGAGGGTATATGCAGAAAGGGGTCGCCACGCCCGATACTTTCGCCTCTGAGACTGCGTCGATCCTACAACGTACCACTGACCTCCTTCCCGCCCTCAAGACTCTTCCCGACGAAAGCAAGAACCGGGGTGTTGATGTGTTGAGGGAGTGTGCGGGGTTGAGACCGTCTAGGGAGGGAGGGGCGAGGGTCGAAAAGGAAAGGATTGGGGAGGGGTGGTTGGTGCATAATTACGGGGCCGGAGGGACGGGGTACCAGGCTGGGTGGGGGATGAGTGTCGAGGCGGCCGACTTAGTTTTGGGTATTTTGGGAGAAAAGAGCAAGCTCTAGAAAGAGAAAGGGACTGAAAGAGACAACCTTCGTTGTCATGAGTAAAATTGATAAATGGATTGACCCCATGACTTCAAGATATTTACACGCACACACTGGATGCCCGTGTGCAGCAGCTGGTGCATGCTCTCGGTGCGGGACGCCGAAATGCGGGGAACTGAGCGCTCTACGTATATACACGTCCCGCCTCTCCTTCACAAATGACATCTGCTCCAATCGCAAAAAAGCTGCTTGATATACCGCAATGACAGAGAGGTACGAATGTTGGTTGCGTTACTCTACCATGTGCGGCAACTAACGGGTTTCCCACAGCACAGCTGACACAGAACCCGACGTCTTCGTTGTCGAGCACCACCCGCGTACGGCGACGACCCCGGCCATTGCCGTTATTAGAATTAATCGGCCGAAGAAACTCGGAGCCTTGGATTTTGCTTGTACGTTCTCGTCCATCTCCCTCCACTTCTCTCGCTGATCATCTGCTTGGGACAAAGTGTACATGAGACTTGGGTGTATCTTGCGTGAGATCGACGCCAGAGACGACGTCGACATCACCGTCCTAACTGGCACTGGAAAATTCTTCTCCGCCGGCGCCGACGTCAAATCTATCGCCGCCCGCCCTCCTCCCACAACTGATCCCCGCATCCACTGGCTCTCCTCGTTCTCCCTCGGCAACCAAGACTTGACACGTGCCTTCTATACCCACCGCCACCTTCTCATCGCAGCACTCAATGGGCCTGCGATAGGATTGTCTGCGGCATTGGTGGGGTGTTGTGATTTGGTGTACGCGGTCGAGGGTGTGTGGTTATTGACTCCGTTTACGAGTTTGGGACTCGTTGCTGAAGGTGGAGCGAGTTATTCATTCGTGAAGAGAATGGGTGTCGGCAAAGCAACTGAAGCACTCCTACAATCGAAGAAAATGGGCGTGGGGGAATTATACGAGTGTGGCTTCGTTAACCGCATATTCCCTCCGCAAGGGTCGTCCGAGTTCATGGAGACTGTGCTGGGGTACGTGAAAGACAGCTTCGAGGGTGTGAATATGGACAGTGTACGAAAGACCAAGAAATTGATTCGGACGCATATGGAGAGAGATATTGAGAGGGCGAATGGGATGGAGGTGCAGGGTGCTGTGGAGAGGTTCACGGCTGGGATACCGCAGCGGGAGTTTGAGAGGTTGGCGCGGAAGGAGAAGAGGCATAAGTTGTGAGTGGATTAGTCTTTGCTGATTTTTGGTTGTGTGCCGGCACGAGTAGTGAACGTGTATTTCTATTCCATCTCATTACGATGTCATGAGGGACCATCACAATCGACTGCTCCACCTTGCTTTTCATGCTGCTCATGACCCTGCGAACAATCCAAGCATGAATGACCTGTAGCTCTCTCCCCAGCTGCTGCCACTTGTGACCACCGCGCAAACTCGAATCACAATAGGAACGTGGGACCGAAAGTTTTGATGGCTGCGAAGTGAGGCTTCCCTGGCGTCGAGCGTGGGAAAGGAAAATTTGGAGGTACCTCTTAGATGAAGTGGTGTTCACATGTACCGGCACATCGCGAGGGTTACACACAGAATGACGAGTTACAGCAAAAAAGCAAAAAAGATACAGCACCCGAGTATTCCCAGCTGGTCTCCCACGCTAGTACTGACTGGGCCCTATGATGCTTAACTTAGGAGATCGGACGGGATCCTGTGCTTTCATCATGGTATGGCCGTATCTGGCAACAAAACAAAACATGCTGTTCTATGGTAGAATTATGGCTGTGGATATTCATGTGTGTTTGAGATCCATTTTACTGTGCTTTGACTCTTGGCGAGTACGAAGCATGATCACTACTATGAGCGGAGATGTTAAGGCATAACGATATTATTTCCATCACTTCTCCTCTTCCATCACCTCCGGCTCCATCTTCTCCACCTCCTTCGGCCCCTCCGCCAACCACTCCCACCCCCCTTCCTCCACGCAACAACAACCCTCCCCCTCCCTGCCCCATCCCCCCAACTCTTAACCCCCTCCCACCCCTTCCCCTTCACAATCCCCTCCACCCTCCCCGCCTGTTCCCACCCCCCAACCTCCATCACCAACCCCCTCGCTCCACCCACAAACGCCTTCTCCGCAATCACATGATAAAACCCATCACCCGTCCCATCAGGCGAGAGCAGCGCGAGCCGTGGTTCGTGGTGTCGGACGGAGGGGGCAGTGAGGCGGGTCCAGTCGTGGGGGGGGATGTAGGGTGGGTTCGCGGTTACTAGGTCGACTTCGTTGGATGGGAGGGAGAAGGTTGGGTGCAGGATGTTGGCGTGGTGGAGTTTGGGGGGGTGGGGGAGGTGTGAGGCGAATGCTGCGATATTGTCTTTTGCGAGTTTGAGGGCGCGGGGGGAGATGTCGTAGGCGGCGATATGGGTCGTGGTTGGTGGGAGGACGGTGGAGAGGTAGAGGGGGATACAACCTGTGCCGGTACATAGGTCGATGATGTGGAGGGGTGGAGTGTTTTCTGCTGGTACCGTGATTTCTTTTTTTCCGTTGAATTGTTTTTGGAGTTTGCGTGGGATTTTTTGGGTCGTTGTTTGTATGAGGTTTTTCTGGATCAAGCTTGCGAGGTGGACCGTCCACTCCTCTGTTTCCCATCTCGGGATCAGGACACCTGGTCGACACCCAATATCAATCCCCCCAAATGGCTGGGAGCCCAGCACGTATTGGAGTGGTACACCCTCAGCGCGTCGCATCACCATCCCGCGGAGCATCATGCGTCCTTCTTTGTAGTTTTCGACGGTGGTGCGTTCTTTGATAATGTCGTACATCCATTTCATTTCTGCTATTGATTGTTCGATTGTGCGGGTTTGGGGGAGGAGGTGGGGGATGAAGGGGGAGATATTGAGGCCTTTGCGGAGGTAGGCGGGTGATAGTCGGGGCATGGTATATCGACCTTGGAATAAGCTGGTGGATCGGGGGGTGAGGAGGACGAGACTACGTTACAGGGCATCGTATACTGCTGTGTGCAAAATTCTTGACGCGCATTTTCGTACATGCGCGAGACCCCTGTAACGGTAACATAAAACACCTCCAAACAGCTCGAAAAAGGGTCTATGAAACTCAGTAAGGGTCGAAATGCTTGGGAAGATATGTGCCGATATCGACCGCGACAAGGTAATCAACCAATATGCTTCTGGGAAGGATGTCTACGAAATAGCGACCAACATTGAGAGGTCTCCTCGCACGGTTTACCGAATTGTGAAGAGATTCGAGGAGACAGGTCTTACTGAGCGTAAGGGCAACTCAACCTGCGGGCGCAAATCGGCTGTTGACGAGTTTCTGGGCTCGGTAAGTAGACTATTACTGCTCATGGGTACCACCGAGGGCATGACTAAATGACCGCAGCAAATCAAGTACCTGTACGACAAAAACCCTACCCTGTATCAAGACGACTGTGCTGAGTTCCTCAATGATCAATTCGCTACATCTCTATCGCGCTACCATGGCACCCGCTACCTGCAAAAGATTGGATATACCCGTAAGGTTTTGACCTTACGGGCAGCCCAGCGCAACCCTATCTTACGCGCAAACCATGCCATTGAAATGGCTGACTATACTCAAGAGCAGCTGGTATTTGTCGACGAATCAGCCGTGGATGAGCGCACGGGTTCACGAAAATTTGGATACTCACCAATAGGCGCCCGCGCTATCCAGGAGAGGGTCTTTGGACATTCGACACGTTGGAGTGTGCTGCCGGCATTGACTATTGAAGGTTTGAAGGCGCTGCGGATCTTTCAGGGGTCCTTCAATGCTGACCAATTCGTCGAATTCATCGAAGAGGACCTCCTACCAATCGTTGGGCCATTCCCTGGTCCAAACAGTGTCATTGTGCTTGATAATTGTCGAATTCATCATGATCCAAGGGTTGCTGAACTCTTAGTGAACCAACATGGCTGCCGCATTGTGTTCTTACCGCCATACTCACCCGACCTCAACCCAATTGAGCTCTGTTTCAGCATGATGAAGGCCTGGATGAAGCGCAATAACAACGACCCTGACGCCCGTCTCGACCCTGCCTCATTTATTCGCAAAGCGATCGACTATATCAATGCAGATCTACGAAAAGATCCACAATTTGTACACGGGCTGTGGTTATGCGCTGACCGGCATGGATTTGCGCC